ATTTTAAGCTACAATCGATCATCGTGAAACGAATAAAATTTCATTTTGATTTTAGTTAAAATCTATTTGAGTGATTTTACCTTAAAGCTATGTTCCCAGAAAAGTATTTATCGGGTGGTTATTTCCAATAAAAGTTTGGCAATTTTGGTATATATGGAAAGTAGAGATATCCAATCTTACTAGAAAAATAATGGATTCCCTGAAAAACACTCATGGAGCACATGCAGGACAAAAATGTACGAGTTTCCCTAATCGACAGCCCAATGATTAGGAGTGTCTGCACGCGTGACATCGAAGGTTGCATGCGGAGATTGAGCGCTTGATGTACATGTTGATAAACTTTATGAAGAGTTAGACGTACAACACCTTCTGAGATAAAAATCACGGAAAAAGACGCGGGCAGTGGATAATCCGAGAATTTAATTAGGCTTCGATATTTGTAATAAATATTCAGAGATAAAGGCAACATCGTCTTGTGTTTTCAATGAATTCTCCTCTGCTCTGACCTTGCACCCGTTGTGTCACGTGACACAAACATGACCTCTTTTGATCGATTTTTTATAGCCGGCTATTCCCTGACAATTGCAATGTTTTGAGAAAGATTTGAAGCAAAATTATGATAAATTATTTAGTTTGAATATGTTTTTAGTCCAAATATATCATCAAATCGCCTAGTTTGTACCCGGTAATGTATGTTTAAGTTTCTGTGAGTTTCTGTGAAACAAGGCCCTGCTTTCAACCAACATGAGAGTGGGGGGTTTGGAGACAAAAAATCCCATTTAAAGTCTCCATGTGACATTTGCATTTTTGGGAAATTATCAATTTTCTACGACTTAATACACACTAAACTGTACTCCTATTGATTTATTAACATTTAAAGATACATTATGTAAGGTTTAGATAAAGAGCTTACCATTCTTGCTATAATACAGTAGCTCAAAAATAGATAATGTAAAATGAAAATATTGAAAATTTCATTCAAATTTCTTCATTCTGAGCCAAGTTATTACTGATTGTAATTTTGACAAGATGTGTGCATTGTGGTAACCAGGGCTCTGGTATATTCGAGTCTTAGCCTCGCTTTCCCATTTTTAAATTAAATTTTAAATGGTGAACCGTTCTAATCTAGTTAAAATCTCGAGGATCTGATGCCTTTGAGAGTTGATTATGGTCTTGTTTTGTTAATATACATGTCTAATTAATAGTTTATATAACATTTCAGGCCTAAAAGAAAGACCTGCAATAGGCAGATTTAGCTCTTGTGTAATGTATGTTTAATTAAGAAAACAAAATAAAAATATCAACATTTCATAATCTCCCAGCTTAAACATACATTGTGCAAGAGCAAAATATGCCTGTTGCTGGTCTTTTTTTAGTCCTGAATGTTACATGTATCTAAATTATTAATTAAAAATTAATTAACTTATCCAGACCATAATCAACTCTCGATGTCATCACTAGCATATTTCCTGGATTACATTACCTAGTTTTTAACTATTATAGTGAGAACTGCCCGCCCTTTATCTACATGTATCTCCCAAAATGTATCCTTAAATTAAAAAGAGGCCGATATAAAGATTTTACTGGCATTGGCTTTTCTTGACAATATCATAAGCTTATCATCAACAGTGGATGCTTCATGTTGACAAATTTTCATTTAATCTAATCATACCTTTGTAAATTACTTAATAGAATTTTACCACATACAGACTGATATGCCATTTATTTATAGATTCAACTATCACAATGTTTCACAATGACATTTATATTACAACTGTAAACACCCTTATAACTGTTAAATTATTAAAAACAAGAGTGGTCTCCCTTTACATGCTTGCTTTGACTGTTTAGAAATGGTTGTTAAAGGATGAATCTTATTTTAAAGATACACAGTTGTAATTATTTATTTGTGGAGTCAAATCTTCCCTTCTAACCAGTACTGGATCTACAGGGGGAAAAGTTTGATAAATGTCCCAGGCCCCCCACATTTTGGTTTGAATACAAAATCCAAAGTTCCTTTGATGACCGAGAGATTCTAATTTAGATTTGAACATATATAGATCATTTCTTGGGCCCTCATTTGGTCTACAAGGGTTTTGTTGGTAATTTTGACTTTGTTGTGAAATTTGGTGATAAGAATCTATACTGAGTGCCAAGGAAAACACATCACTTTTTTTCCCAAATATTTTATTACTAGGTGGTTTTGTATGTATAATATTATGCAATACTATGAACTATTGTTTCACACAATGCTCCCTAACGCAAAAAATATCGGCCCGTGTGCAAAAAAAAAAAAAAATGCACGAGATGCACACGAAAAACTCAATATTCACGTGCAACATTGTGTGTGAGCCCTTTAAAAGCATGTTTTCAACTTAATGTGCAGTACATGAACTGTGAAACGTCAATCTGTCGTAATTTGTTGTTGAACGGGTGAAGGAATCGAGCTAGAAATGCCGAGACTTACTGAAAATCAACGGAATGAAGTCATGGGAATGTCCAGGGCTGGCATGTCTACATGTGCTATTGCCAGACACTTCAATTGTCATCAGTCCACTATTGTAAGGTTGGTGGAACGTGTTCGAGTTACTGGATCAACACATGACCATCAACATCCTGGTCCAACCTAGGCTCGAGACCGCTACATCCGGTTCACTCATCTGCGTAACAGAGTACGCCCAGCGACTCGAACAAGTGCAGCAGTCATCAGAAGACAAGGACCAGTAAGTGCCAACACCGTAAGACGTCGTCTAAGAGAAGTAGGACTCCGTGCACGACAACCTTATTTTGGAGATATCCTCAGGGATCATCACTGTCAGCGGTATTTGATATGGGCTTAAGGACACCAGACATGGAGAAAAGTAGACTGGCAGTCAACGTGTGTGGAGACGTCTTGGGAACGTCTTGCAGACTGCTGCGTCTTCGAAACGAATCGATGGGGTGGGGGAAGTGTAATGGTGTGGAGGCTTCACATTTCATCACCGGACCGCCCTAAACATTTGCAGGGGTCGCGTTAATGCTGTAGCCTGCCGTGATGATGTCTTGCAACCAATTGTTGTTCCGATGTTTTGAGCGCACCCACAACTTCAGCACTCCCAACAGGATAATGCACATCCGCATGTCGCCCGTTTTAGTATGGACTTCCTGGCTGCTAACAACATCAATGTCTTGGACTGGCCAGCGATGTCTCCGGACATGGCACCGATAGAACATGTCTGGGATGAGATTGGATGCCGTCTGTATTGGAGACCACAGATGCACACCATTGCTGCTTTAGAAGCTGCTCTTGTCCAAGAATGGAACAATTTGCCCCAGGCCTTCTTTCAAACATTGGTAAATTCCATGCGACATCGCTGCACAGCGTGCGTAAGAGCCTGTGGAGGGCACACACGCTACTGACATCTGTGTCGTACTTTTGGTTTTGACCCCTCTGACTTTGTACCGTTGATTACAGATTAAACATCCATAAGTGTACAAATGTGTTGTTATTGATGTGTTCCCATTTGAATATTGTTCACAATAAGAAGCAAAATAAATAAGATATGTTTACAGGATCATTTTGTTATACGAAAAACTAAGTGATACGTTTTCCATGGCGCTCAGTATATATATTTATAGTGGAGCCAATTTTTAGGAAAATTGATACGATTGACTGGAGTTATCCAAGTTAGTAACTTGATCGACTTTTGGCTAAAGGTTTCTCATATAGTCTTTTATTAGTGACCGTTTGTCTTTAAGAGGACTGGCAGGGATTTGTACCTTGATTGACGTTTGAAACTTATGTTCAATATTTCTATTTTATTTAACTTGCGTTACTCATCCAGAATATAGCTCAGAATGCACCCTATTAAATCTATTTTCCAAAATTTTAAGGTTCGTACTTCGACCTAAACTGGTCCCTATGCTGTTTTCTTAATTCAGTAATTCCCTCATTGAATCGTGCGCACCGTCCCCCATCCCCCACAAGGTTAACCTGGCCCTGCTTCTAAGTTCTAACTAAAACCATATAATCACATTACAAGTCAGAGTTTTTCAGATTTTGTTTTCAAACTTAATGGGATTGTTTGACAAATAAATAATAGATTAACATGGTCAACTTTTGACAAAGTTTTGTGTATTATAAGGCCCATGCTTTTTTTTTTTTTTTCAATAACTACCAAAACCTGAAAGAACTTTATGAAACTTAAACAGTCAATATGGCCTGAAGTGCATGTCTATACACATATTATAGTTTTTAAAAATTCAGAGTTTTGAGAGAGGGTTATGTGGAATTGGACTTAGATTTTTTGATAATCACCCCCAGAGTTATATCCCTTTGTCTCAAAATCTTGTTAGCCCTTTAGGCCCATATTTTCGAAAGTAGATTAATGCTAATCATAGATTTAATATTTGATTTTCTGACCAGTCATATTCTGGAAAGCTGACTAAATTTTAAACTTAAGATTTTTATAAACTTTTATTAGCCTAAGTTAGCCTAAGTTTATTAGTTAATCATTGTTCGAGAATACCATATAAATAAAAATTTAAGTACAAAAATATTAATAATAACACCATTTTTAAAGTAAAATGGGGCAACTTTGAAAATGTAAAACGTCTTTAAAAAGACATTTATTCACAACATTTGTTATGTTTCTTGCATTTGATTATCTATAACAAATGAATTTACAGTTGCATTTTGATAAATTTATTAAATTTTCGTTAATTTATCGAATGCAATTTTATGAACCGTTCAAAGTAACCCTACTTTTGAGGCAACATTGAACACCTTAATTTTTTGTCTTGAAAATTGAAAAAAATAATATTTTTAAACCAAAACTTTTTCTTATTTTGTTGAAATGTTAATTCTATAAGTATTTTGATGTATTTAAATTATTTTAAATGGAAATTTATGTGTTGTTCAAAGTTACCCCACTGGCGAGGCAAGATTGAACACCCACATTTTTTTAAAACAAATGAAAAGTTATAGAATGTAATTTTTAATCATATAATTTTTCTTCTAGATTATTGCTTGAATGGATGAATACGAAGGAGGTGTCAAAGAGAAGAATCAGATCCCACCCTTTGTCTTCCAACAGCCATAGCAATGTTTAAATGTTCCAGTTACTTGGTTACATATCTTTTAAAGTAATTGAAGATAAAACGCGATATAAACAGTCATTATAGATTAAAAGAATGACTACAAAGTGCAATACTCTCAAAATATTGAAAATTCTGCTGGTAACATGTTTAACTTTAGTCACATTACAATATGTGATCAACTTAGTTGCCTACAGTTATGTGTCACGATTTTTTGGAATGGAGCTCATGTTTCGTCATAACATATCATTAGTTCAATACATTCCAATGTTTGGTAAACAGTCCAAGTCTTTTAGTTCTTTTAATAAAAGTGTATCTGTGATCCCACCTTATTCAGAAAGTGTTAAAAACTTGTTTCCCTCAAATACAAGCCAAATAAACAGAACTACTTTAAACCAATCACCCACAACAGCACCCACATCACCAAACATATCATTACTTACCAAGGAACGAGTTACAAATGAATCCCTGCCATTATGTCCCTTAGTACCTCCAAAACTAGGTGAGTTGATTTTCATTTCAATATATTCTGTTGATAAATTCAAGTTACGATTGCTAGCACCTGCAATAAGTTCCAAAAATATTTTTTAAAGGTGCGACCAGACAGTAATACTTAAAGTAGCTATAAGTCTCTAACTCAATATATCATCCAAAGTCTTCGACATTGAAAAAACGAATTATTTGTCAATTTAAATCAACATTGGTCTTGTGATCTTACCGGGAAAAGATGGGCTTCTGATATCCAATATTTAAGACAAAATAAACATTTTACCATTGGTACACGAATCGTGTATCATAATGTGTTTCAACGCTATTTGTAACAAGGGACTCGAAGAACAAGGCTAGAAATATTCCACAAGTCATGTTAAACGGTAACGCCATATTCTTATCTGGAGAGCATGCACAATAAATACTATCGGTGTAGACTGAATAACCAGATGCTAGAGAATGCCATTCGATTGAGATCTCTCACTGATTTCACGGAAAATAACTGATTTGAAATTAGAGTAAAAACAAAACGATTGAATGTAATTCAGTTTTTATACATTCATATCACATTATTATATCCGTTGCAACCCATTTGTGTCAATTTCTATATCCCAAATATTAGCGATTTGGCTCCTTTAAAGGGACATTGTGGTGACTTTGAGATATTTGACTATTGATTTCAGGATTTACAATGAAAAGAATATGTATAGCTCCGACTGGGCTAATGAAGATGGGCATACGCCATACAGTGTACTATGAGGGAAATTTTGCCCAGACAGCGGCGTTATGGCCTACTCTTATATCGAATTCCAACTGCCAAGGATTCTTTTACGTGCATGCCCCTGTGTAAACGGTACCTCGGTTTTCCATCCCATCCGAATGACTAGTTATCTGTTCTTGTCAGGCCCTCCGTCCTGCATCACTGACAAAGGGAAACCACGTCGGAAAATCCAGATGAACTTTCTTGGCCAACACCAGGAGCGAACCCTGGGGGACTTCAAGGCTAGCAAGCCAGTGTCTTACTCCCCTGGGAGAACACAACATACTGATAAAACTTGTCAGATGTGGGGTAAAAATGAAATGTAAGGCAAATGAAAACGAAAAACGGATTGTAAAACGAAAACACACCTGTAGTATCTAGCAATATCCCTTATAATAATAGCCTATAACAAACCTGAAGATGATGTTGAAAGATAATTGTTTCCCAAAAAATTGAAATGGTTCAAACCAATTCAGAGCTGCTAAATATCTGCCAAAATCGAACATTTTAAGGGTAAGTTCTTCTCAAGGACCACTCATGGAGAATTAATTAATTGCAAAGGTCATTCATCACTATGAATTATTCATGAAGTTCTTATATAGTTTGCGATAAATGTGGATTTTTTATGGCCAACCCCATATGAAAACTAAAAGATTATATTTCTTGAAAAAGTACCACAAAGCTTCAGATATTTTCACAAGAATAGGATCTATGCACTGCCTTACTTATATTTTTAGGAGAAAGGTATTAACTACCTAAAATTTGGACATATTGTAAATTGACAGCAACGGACTTAACAAATTAAAGATACATTCCCGCCTACAAAATGGGTGATTTGATGATACATTTGGACTAAAACATATTCAACTAATTAATCTATCAAAATTTTGCTTCATTTCCTTCTTAAAACATTTCATTCACAAGGGAATACCCCTGCTATAAAAATATATATTAAAAGAGGCTAAGTTTGTGTCACGTGACTTGGCTGACGAGGTACATAGCAATAGATCCGTAGGCCGGAGGAGAACTCATTGCATAAACAAGACGATGTTGTCTTTAATTGCTATTCATTTATTATAAATATCGAAGCCTAATTAAACTCTCAGATTATCCACAGTCCACATCTTTCGCCATGGTTTTTATCTCAGAAACTGTTGTATGCTTAAGCTCACCATCTAGTTTATCAATATATACATCAAACGCTCACTAACGCTGAGAACTCAGACAATCTTCGCGTGCAACCAATGACGTCACTCGAGCAGACATCAATAATCGTTGGGTTGCCGGTTAGGGAAACACAAACATTTTTATACGTCCACATGACGTCGCCGCTGTTTGTCCGTTCGTCCAAAATTTGTTTGTGGACACTCTACAGGTCACAATTTTTATCCGATTTCAACAAAACTTGAAATATAGGTTTATCTCAATAAGACCTCGGTTCCTTTCAACATCGGCATGTATCGCACCATAACTTCATGAATTATGGTCCCTGATTGTACGAAATATCGCGTTTTTAGCTTGTGGACACTATAGAGGTCCCTGGAGATCGGGTGTTCGATCCATGCATTGGCCAAGAAAGTTCACCCAGATTTTCTGGCGTGGCTTCCCCTTGTCAGTGATGCAGGATGGAGGGCCATGTACACATTGGCGTGCAGGTAAAAGATTCCTTGGCAGTTGGAATTCGATATAAGAGTAGGCCGTAGCGCCGCTGCCCGGGCAAAATTTCCCTCATAGCACACTGTATGGCGTATGCCCGTCTTCATTAGCCCAGGTTAGGAGCAGAACAGTAGGACGTTAAACCCCATTTCATTTCATTTCTATAGAGGTCACAATTTTTATCCGATTTTGTTGAAACTTGAAATGTAAGTTTATAACCCAAAGATATCAGACCGTAACTTCCTATATTATGGCCCCTGATTGTACGAAAAATCACGTTTTTAGCTTGTGAACCCTATAGAGGTCATAATTTTTATCTGATTTAAAAAAACGTTTGAATATATCACCGTTACACCCTAAGGATGGTTGGGTTCGAATTTCATAAAAATCGGACCCAAACTGACAAACAAAATGGCCGCCCCTAGTACTCAAATAGTGTAAAAAATATGGTATATCAAGGTTGTGGGCCCTCTAGAGGTCACAATTTTCTTCCGATTTTGATGAAACTTGAAATGTAAGTCTATAACCCAAAAGATCTTGGTTCCTATCAATATTCACGCATATCGGAATGTAACTTCCTGAATTATGGCCCCTGATTGTACGAAAAATCATGTTTTTAGCTTGTACCTCGAGAGGTCACAATTATTATCCGATTTAAAAAAAAAAAAAACTTCAAATATATCACCGTTACACCATAATTTTGATTGAGTTTTAATTTCGTGAAAATCGGACGAAAATGGCCGCCCCTCGTACACAATTAGTCTAAACATCTGGTATTCATAATAACACAACTGCAATTTTAGTCTAGTTGGTGGCTTCAGTCCCCTAATTAATCTGTATATTTAAGAGAGACAGCGAAGTCATATTGAAAGGGAAATGGTTGTTGTTATAAGTCTTATTAATGTTATGTTTTGATTGTTAATTTGTTTTTACTCATGGATGTACTATAAATGTAAGGTTATTATTCATTATTGATCATTGCTTGATAAAGATACTTGTAAGAGTATTGAAACATTGCATGTAATAAACTAAGAAGTAGTAAATCCATAAAGTTGTGTTATTATGAATATTATACCTCTACTTCTAAATGTCATTCAAGGAACATAAACATCTGGTATATCAAAGTTGTGGACCCTCTTGTAACTTCCTGAATTATGGCCCCTGATTGTATGAAAAATCATGTTTTTAGCTTGTGGACCCTCTAGAGGTCACAATTATTATCCGATTAAAAAAACGTTTGAATATATCACCGTTACACCGTAATATTTACTGAGATTGAATTTCGTGAAAATCTGGCCAAACGCCCCCAGTACGCAAATTGTGTATAACATCTGGTCTAGAGGTCACAATTTTGATCCAATTTTGATGAAACTTAAAATACATGTTTATAACCCAAAGATCTTGGTTCCTATCGATATTCGCGCATATCGGATCGTAATTTCCTGAATTATGGCCTCTGATTGTACGAAAAATCGTGTTTTTAGCTTGTGGTCCCTGTAGAGGTCACAATTTTTATCTGATTTAAAAAAAAAACTTGTGAATATATCACTATGGTCTTGGTTCCTTTTGATAATCGCGCATATGCGAATGTAACTGCCTGGATTATGGCTCCTGATTGTTCGAAAAATCGCATTTTTAGCTTGCACAATTTTTTTTGTCCGATTTTAAAAAACGTTTAAATGTATCACCATTTCACCATAATGAAGGTCGAATTCGAATTTCGGGAAAATCAAAATGAAACTGCATGACAAAATGGCCGCTCTTTGTACGCAAATTGTGTAAAAGTATGCAATGGATTATGGCTCCTGATTGTTCGAAAAATCACATTTTTAGCTTGCACAATTTTTTTTGTCCGATTTTAAAAACCGTTTAAATTTATCACCATTCCACCATAATGAAGGTTGAATTCGAATTTCTGGAAAATCAAAATGAAACTGCATGACAAAATGGCTGCTCTTTGTACGCAAATTGTGTAAAAGTATGCAATATGAAGGTTGTCGACCCTCTAGAGGTCACAATTTTTATCCAATTTTGATGAAACTTAAAACATATCTTTATATCCCAAAGATCTCAGTCCCTTTTGATTATTGGGTATTTCAGACCATAACTTTCTGGATTATTGCCCCTGATTGTACAAAAATTCCTGTTTGTTTTTAGCTTGTTCTCTATCCATCTCTTGCAAAATGTGGGCATATCCTGCTTGGCAGCCGCTGGTTGTCCTCTATGCGCTCCGTGGGTGTTTTTCAGGGAATCTTGTATTTTTCTAGTAAGATTGGATGTTTCTACTTTCCATATATACCAAATTTGCCATACTTCTATTGGAAATAACTACCCATGCTTTTGTGGGAAAGTATCTTTAATTGGCCAATTGTTCAAATATTTTACAATCAATCCTAATTTATCACCCTAGAACTGAATTTACTGTGTAATTAAAGATTTCTGATACCTCTTCAAATAGTATTTATGATTCTTAATAATTTTTCTCCAAATTAAGATAATTTGTTGTATTTTGATTTTAGTTGGACCATTAGCAACTTATACCAACGCTATCAGCTTTGAAGAAATATTGAAAAACAGTCCAAATTTACAACCTGGTGGAAGATATAAACCAAAAGATTGTGTAGCAAGACATAAAGTAGCCATTATTATACCATATAGAGATAGAATAACACACTTACAGATACTGTTGCAGAATTTACATCCTATACTAGAGAGACAGTTGATTGATTATGGAATATATGTTGTTGATATGGTAAAGTTCTTATAAATAAAGTAACATATTGTATTGATTAATACACAGATGTAGAATTCTAATTGATTTTATTAACTCAGTATGAAATGGCCAACTTAATGTATTGGCTTGCTTATTTTCACAGCATTATACTTTTGAATAATTGATTTTTAGAAACCGACTAAAGATGACAACTATTTCTATTTCTATATTGATACAGGGGTGGGGGGTTGGATGGCCGAATGGTTAGCACGTGCATGCTGTATCATAAGGTCTGTCATTGAGTCAACTGGCGTGGTTTCGAATCCCCAGTTGTACATGACAAGGAGTAGGGTCGCTTGTCCAACCTCATGGGTTTTCTCTGGGTCCTCCGGTTTCCTCCCACTGCTAAAGACCCCTACGCGCAAGCAAATTATTGAAATAAAATTGAACCACATGTTAGTTCGAAATGACCTAGTTTGTGTCGAGTGGAGGTTAACACCCATTTCCCTCTCTCTCTATATTGATACAAGAATAGGTGTGTCTAACTAACTCAAAAGTAATCACAAAAGAATAATTTCAATATTGTAATAAATATGAAATAGTCTCTATTTTTAAAAAAAAAAATTTCATGCAATGATTTTTTCAAAATTGGCTGCACGAACAGTTGGGATACAGACATTTTGATGTGGGTGGAGTGAAGGATATAATTTGAAATCGGTGATGGGGCCCTGGTGGTTCACAAAGTATACCTAAAGTTTGATAAAATTGTATAGTCATGTCTTACCTGTACTTGTGATAGGTGAAGTTAGAATCCGGCAAAAGTATCTTTACCCGCAAACAACAAAACTATAAAACAAAACCTAGCTTTCTGTTCTTCTCAGACTGTCTATAGTTTGGTGTATTAATTGATAAAAGTCATGATGTTCAAATCTAACTTAGAAAATTATCCCTCGCATGAAAAGATCCTCTATTTTTTTTCACGCATCAAGATATGCCCAATTACAGTAGTACAACATCCCCGGTTGTATGTGACATGGAGTAGGGTCGCCTGTCCAACCTCGTGGGTTTTCTCCAGGTCCTCCTGTTTCCTCCCACTGCTAAAGACCCCTATACACAAGCGAATTATTGAAATAAAATTAAGCCATATGTTAGTCCCGAAATGACCTAGTTTGTGTCGAGTGGACGTTAAACCCCATTTATCTCTCTCTCTCTCTCTCTCTAACTTGGTGTAGGTATTCATTAGGTGAATGTCTTGATAGAATTCGATGATGAACATTGTCTGCTTACAGTAAGCAGAGATAAGCAATTTGATTGGTTGATGCTTTTGGGCACAATAACTTTGGGTCTTTGCTTATAAGTAAGTGAGAGCTATGACACTCCGAGTATAGATTCATTATATCATTACCTTGACTAAGTTTGATGATGAGACTTGTCTGCTTACGCTAAGGAGGGATACACAATTTGATTGGTCAAGACTTTGAAACATAACAACTCCGCTTTTAATTGAGATGGAATATTTAAATTTGATGTTGATGTTCATTAGGTGAATGTAATGATTAACATTTCCCGCTAAAGTTAAGCAGAGCTAAGCAATTTCTATGACTTTTGTTCTATCTGATAATTAGTTTGATTGTTCGATACTTTTGAAAAAGTTAAACATACAATTAATTAATGTGTATTCTCTTTCGGGATTTCAGCGGGGTGCATCAGTCCTCAGCGTTGGCTTGTATTATTAGTTATTTTTTTAAAATAAAAATGGGTCATGCTTCGCATTTTAATTGACGTGGGATTATCTGGTCTAACTAGAATATTTTTTCTATACTGATACATTCAACAGTATTCTTTATTATACCGTATTTCAAAAGAAATGAAATGGGGTTTAACGTCCTACTGTTCTGCTGCGAACTGGGCTAATGAAGACGGGCATACGCCATATAGTGTGCTATGAGGGAAATTTTGCCCGGACAGCGGCACTACGGCCTACTCTTATATCGAATTCAAACTGTCAAGGCACGCCAATGTGTACACGGGGTCTCAGTTTTTCGTACCATCCGAACGACTAGACAGCTGTCTTTGTCAGGCCCTCCGTCCTACCACGCTGGAAAATCTGAATAAACTTTCTTGGCCAATGGAGGGATCAAACACCCAACCTCCAGGCTAGCAAGCCAGCGTCTTACCCACTTAGCCACCGTGATCCCCCTATTCCAAAAGATGCACACAATGTCTAACATAAAAAATTTAACCTCCTAGGAGACTCATTTGCACACTTCCAATTGTATGATAATTTATTGTATCCTAGATTTATAACCTAAATTTTTTTGTTTGAAATTAATTTTATATTTTATTTCGGACATTACCAATCAGTTTTAATTGAGCGATGTTAATGAATATAGGTGTCATCTATTTATTTTGGGATTTCGGCGGGGGACATCAGCCTCTCACTGTTGGCTTGTTTAATGTGTCCTAGATTTATAACCTAGATTATTTTGATTGAAATTAAGTTTATATTTTATTTCAGACATTACCAACCAGTTTTAATCGAGCGATGTTAATGAATATAGGTTTTGCGGAAGCTTTGAAGATATATGATTATCAGTGTTTTATTTTCCATGATGTGGACTTAATACCAGAAAATGATAGAAACTTGTATACATGTCCAGAAAGCCCTCGTCATATGTCTGTAGCTGTAGATAAATTTAAGTATAAGTAAGAATGCATTAGTTACTATCTATTATGTAAAAGGGGGGGTTGATTGACCGAATGATTTAACACATGTATGTTACTATTAGATCATAAGGTCTGTCATTTCATTAAGTCAGTCCTGATTTGATACATGTTACGATTTAAAATGGCAGACAGTTATTGTGTGATATACTGTAAAGTGGTTGTGAGGTAATAATAGGTGTGAAGGAGAATAAAGATACTAAAAGATGGTAATTATATTAAATATATGTGTTGATCTGATGTAATAATATAAATAATGAATAAATATAAACAAATTAATATGAATAAACCTGAAAATACCTTACCTGTTCTTTACATGATAAATCTGGCTGGTTCACTTGCAATCAATAAGACTCTATTTCAAACTCACTTTTAATATTACCATACTATTGAATGTATTCAATGAAGTGGTTCGATACAAACCGGGGTTCTCAATCTATTTTGAAACGAATCAGCCAGAATTGGGTCAGTTAAGAGAGAGAGAGAGAAATGGGGTTTAACGTCCACTCGACACAAACTAGGTCATTTCGGGACTAACATATGGTTTAATTTTATTTACACAATTCGCTTGCGCGTAGGGGTCTTTAGCAGTGGGAGGAAATCGGAGGACCCGGAGAAAACCCACGAGGTTGGACAGGCGACCCTACTCCTTGCCACGTACAACCGGGGATTCGAAACCACGCCGGTCGACTCAACGACAGACTTTATGATACAGCGCGCGCACGCTAACTATTCAGCCATCCAACCCCCCTGGGTCAGTTAAGATCCCTGATACAAACCCATTGAAAAAAAACCAGCAGCACATTTCTTATGCTCAAGGTGTTCATATAAAGTGCTTTTAAAACACAATATTGTGTTATAATAATAAAAATCTTTATATAATGAAACAACCTATGTAATTATTCTTCCATTAGTCCTTTCGAAACTATAGCCACAAAACCTGTCTGAAAATAATTAAAAATTAAATGCAATGCAATAGCAATGTAAAGGGAGAAGTTTAGTTTAATAAAATACTGATAATATGTTTAACAATAGTGTGAGACACCTGAACAAAATATAATAGAAGTTGAAATATTATGGTTTCTTTTGTACAGAACATAAATAGGTTTTCAGTATAAAGATCCAACCTCTTGGGTTTTCTCCAGGACATCCAGTTTCCTCCCACTGCTAAAGACCCCTACACGCAAGCGAATTATTGAAATAAAATTAAACCATATGTTAGTACTGAAATGACCAAGTCTGTGTCGAGTGGACGTTAAACCCCATTTATCTCTCTCTCTCTCTCTCTCTCTCTCTCTCTCTCTCTCAACTTAAAGATGTATTATGTAAGATTTCGATAAAGTGCTGACACTTTGTGCCATAACATAATAGTTATAAAATAGATAATTAAAAAGAAATATATTGAATTTCAGTCAAATTGGGTTGTTTTGAACGAAGTTATGACCGTTTGAAAAATAGTGTAGTCTCGATTGTTATTGCTACCTTTGTTACAATAATAAACAGAGTCTCGATCATCCATTTTTTAAAATTAGATTATGAATTATTAGATCATGTTTAAATCTGTTGAAAATCACAAACATCTGATGGTCTAGAAAGTTCAGTATGGGCTTGGCATTTGAATAAATGCTTAATTGATAATATATATAATATTTGAGGCCGAATGAAAGATCTGCAATGGGCAGATTTTGCTCTTACATGATGCATCTTTAATAATTACCAGAGTTTTGCACATTTGAATAATGATGAGGTCAAGCTATTGTTGTAGCAAAAAATTGGTGCAAAAGTTCTGATAGCAATTTAAAATGTAACAGAAAACACGATATTACTAGTAATAATACTACTACTACTTGCTTGGGTTTAACGTCTGATTCCTCCGTCAAGGGTAAACACCACTTAATAGCTATCTTAATCTATTGACTGCATGATGCGTTGAAGTAGTTTCTGGGGGTTGGATGGCCGAATGGTTAGCATGTATGCACTGTCTCATAAAGTCTTTCATTGAGTCAACTGCCGTGGTTTCGATTCCCTGGTTGTATGGGACAAGGAGTAGGGTCGCCTGTCCAACCTCGTGGGATTTCTCCGGGTCCTCTATTTTCCTCCCACTGCCAAAGACCTACACGCGAGCGAATTATTGAAATAAAATTGAACCATATTTTAGTCCCGAAATGACCTAGTTTGTGTCGAGTGGACGTTAAACCCCATTTCTCTCTCTCTCTCTCTCACCACCACTTTAGAGCTATCTTAATATATTGCCTGCATGATGCGTTTGAAGTAGTTTCTTTAAAATCTTCTTTTGAAAATTATTGTACTAACTTGAAGATAAATGAAATAGCTAATAAAATGTATTGAAGGAACCACTAATTAATTAATGATAGAGATATTTTGATATTAGATTAAAAAATTGACCTCTGATAGATGGCAATGAGTAGAGTCGTATCTAGGGATCTCTTTCTGGAATTATCTAATTTAAGTTAGAGATGCATTAATCTCTAAATCTGCATATTGTTATATAATCAATCTCTAGACCATCCAGTGGATTAGATATTAATTGGATTAGACCATTAGTGCAAAATAATCGGTTACTGTTATATTGGACAACAAACAAGATTTTGTTCATTATCATAACAAGGATACTTGACAATAGAGACTGTTTAAGCTAAATCTTGTCAAAACTTCAAACATTCATAATTAAACATACATTATGCAAGAGCTAAATCTGTCTATTACAGGTCTTTCTTTAGGCCTGAAATGTTATCTCAATTATTAATTAGACATTAATTAACTTATCCAAACTATAATCCACTCTTGATGCCATCGAATACTCGAGATTTTAACTAGATTAGAACGGTTCGTCGTTTAAAAATTTAATTTAGAAATGGGAAAGCGAGGCTAAGTCTCGAATATACCAATGCTTTGGTTACCACAATGCACACATCTTGTCAAAACTACAAACAGCCATAAATTGGGTCAGGATAAAGTAATTAAAATGAAATTTTCAATATTTTCATTTTGCATAATCTATTTCCTACTATTATAGTAGGAATGGTCAGCTCTTTATCTAAATCTTAACTAATGGATCTTTAAGCTCAGAATAAAGTTATTTCATTGAAATTTTCAATTTATTTATTTTCTATTATATATTGTATTTTGAAACTATTATAGAAAAAAAACACCTGCTCTTTATCTAGATTTTACATATTGTATAGACATGTTATATTACCTTCACATTTCTGTTATTAAAACTCAACGCCCTACAAAGCAATAAAATAATCAATGGTGATTGATTACATCTCATTAACAACCTTACAATCACATAATTACCAGTATATCATAAGACTAGGGTAGACTATGCTGCAATACTCTCAGTTTGCTGCATTTCATGACACATTAATTTTTTGTTTAAGAGCCGACTATTTAACATACCTGTGACAATATTTATACATACCTGCATCAGATACTTCTTGTTATACAGAAATGAAAAGTTGATTTCATAATTTAACTTAAAAAAAAAACTAGATCTGCAAGCAGATATGAAGACTTTCATATTCATTGTCCACAGGTCCTGGATTTTGTCAAAAATCTTAAAAAGAATTTTAAAGAGAATCATTTCAACTGGGCAAAATTTCCTGATTTAACATTTGAAAAGTTGCACAGAACAATTTTGATAAAACTTTCAAAAAAAGCACCAAATGACCTACTTAGTCGTTTGCCATCAACCTTTGACCTGATTTCAAACTTTTGCACTCTTTTATAAAATGTAATTTTATGATGTCACTTTTAAAAAAATGTATCAATTTTGGCCTATCGTGTTTATTTTAAAGCTCCGATAGAGTAGGGTTGCCAGTCCAACTTTGTGTGTTTGCTACAGGTCCTCCGGTTTCCTCTCACTGCTAAAGACCCCTATACCATGATAGGGTCCTGAAATGACTAACTAGGTTATGTTTCTCTTTCATACATGTTGAAGATTAACTAATGACACAATTATATGGAATGCAAGTTACTTAGAAATTTATTTCTTGTGACGTTTCAATGCAGGTTCTCTCGTCTTCTTGCTTGGAGATATAAGATAGCAGATAGCAAAGACAAATTCAAAAATTCACTGTCTAGATTCAAATGCATCCTTGATTTTTTAGTTAAAAACAGTTGCAATAATAAATATATTAAAGATACATTATGGGAGATTCGATAACGAATTGGCAGTTCTCCCTATAATAGTTAAAAACTAGATAATGAAAGGCAATTTGCTGAAAATTGCATTCAAATTGTTCCACTATGAACCGAGAACTAAGCGATTGATATTTCCGCCTAGCCTCGATCATGATTACTAAAGTCAGTACGATAAAAAACATAGTCTCAATTATCCATTTAATCGTGAAGGAAAGTTATGCAGTAAATTGGCTCATAATCCACTAAAGATCACAGGCTAGCGATGCCATCTAGAGTTGATTATGGTTTGGATAGGTTTATTAATGTTTAATTTATAATTTAGATAACATTTTTTTTTTACCATTTGTTTTTATAGGTTACCATATGCAAGTATATTTGGTGGAGTGAGTGCCTTAACAAAAGAACAGATGTTAAAAATCAATGGTTATTCAAATCTTTATTTTGGATGGGGTGGTGAAGATGATGATATGAATGCACGGTATGAAATGGTGTCTTTAATTTATTCCAGAACATCTTAATTAATTACTGATTTGGTTTTCTTAGCCCACAAAGTCATAGCTCACACACTTACATGACAGAGTAGGGTAGCTAGTCTAACAGGTACACGGTTTTCCCACCACTACTCTTAACATATAACATATCTGATGTTTTCTACTTGACACTGGACAAGTACATTCTATTTATTATATGGAATAAATTATTAAATTTATGAAAAATTAAAAAAACCTTTTTGATATTTTAGAACTATATATTAGTCTGACTTTTCCTTAATATCTGTTGGGGTTTGTTTTGTTTTTTTGTCCCTTTTTCCTAACCCTCTAAGGTTCCTAAAATTTTGAGAATTTTCATACAGCTCCAGAACTAGCCATGTACATGATTTCATGAACCCAGTTTAGTGGAACTAGATTTACCGGTATTTATTTCACACAGCTCCAGAGTTTACTATGAACATGAACCCAGTGAAATGGAGCTAAATTTATATATTTCAGGATACATCGGAAAGGTTATAAAGTTATAAGATATTCTGTTGATGTGGCTCGATACAAGATGATTAAACATACACGAGAAAAAAGTAACCCTGTTAACCCTAAAAGGTAAATGTTATTACATCTCACCGTAGCTGGATATGCTCATTATTCATACAAATGCCTTCTTTAATGTCTGTAAATGGTCATTAATATAGCAGAAAGTGGTTTTAATCAATCAGATTTTAAAAACAAATCACAAAGTTAAAGAGAGAGGGTTTGTGAAATTCGGATATGGACCAAATTAATATATGAAGAAGTTAAAGCTGGAAAATGTAGCAGTATGACATTACTTTAAGTTATGTCACAGATGTTATGTAACAAGCTATATGTTGAACCATGGTTTTCACTCAACTCACCAAGAACTTGAAATGTGAACATGATGTTGATTTTTATGATAATAGAAATCATATAGAGAAGTGATAAACTATAACACATACCAATACTAATTTATTTGGGTGATGTTTCATAGACTATTCTCTCAGCGCTATCAAGCTAATATTTGCCTTACAATTTTGTGTTACTGTATTAGATTGATAACGTAGAGAGAATACTCTTCAAAATGTCGCCCAAATAGATTAATAGTGGTTTTTCCATAAGTATGTGTTATAGTTTATTGCTCTATCCAGTTACTAAATGCCTCTAAAAGACTATTATATAGAGATGTGATGTGGGTTTCTATGCAATAATAGCCAGCATGGACAGTATCCCCTCAGCACACCGAACTACTATTCAAGAGCAAGGGGATAGACCATTTAATAATACAAGAGACTGTGTTAGCATGCACATACATTAATATGATTGGTTGATGAGGAAGATCTCTCTCCCGCCTTCTTTTTATTTTTGACAGGTCAATGTTACAAGTCATTTATAGTACGATTTCATTCGTTAATAGGCTTAACAGTTCGTCCCCAAGGCTGTGCTATTAATATAACTTAAACTATGGTCAACTCGGCAACTATTCCACAATATATATTGTAAAAATAAAGTTTTGTCACTTTTAACTCAACATTTAGCGTGTTATAGGAAATTTAATCTGAAATTAAATTTTAATTCTTAATATTTAGAATTAATTTATTGGGTAAAAATATTTCCAAAACGGATCAAAATCAATCTGATTAAAACGCAGATCCTATTTCGTTTCGTATTTTATAGTTCAAAATTTCGTTTTACACTAGGATCTGGAAGAGTTGTTATATAACAGGTGTTCTAGTTGATGTGAGGAATTAGCCAATAAAACGGCCTGTTACGGCGAGTTCTTGGCATGCTCTGCACGGAACTGTGGGTAAACCCTTAGAAACGTCAACACTGATTGATTAATCATTTTCTGACATAGGTTCAAAAGTCGCTTGCATGACCCCTGACGTGACCTCGAAGTACAACTAGTCAGATCTTTGTGTAGTGTAAGCCATCAAAAGTATTAAAAAACGAAATAAAATATATATCTCTATTTTAATTGGATTGGATCAAAATCATAAATAATGTAAATGTTAAATAACAAAACCTCAAACTAGTTTAGTGCTCTATAACTTAGGAAATAAAATATTTGTAAATGAGCTGATTTGTGAAATTTGTAGACAACTTGACCCCTCCTGGGTCATGATATATAATAGGACTAGTCAATCAAAACTTATTTCCCAGAAGAATGGTGGAAATCACTATGTTTATGTCAACTTTGAGTTTATTGGAAGTCATAGATTGCAGAGAACTGCAAATTAAAGTACACTGTATTTATTATATCAGAAATGAAATGAAATGAAATGGTGTTTAATGTACTACAGTTCTGCTCTGACTAGGCTAATAAAGACAGGCATTCGCCATACAGTATGTTATGAGGGAAATTTTGCCCGGACAACGACACTACTCTTATTTCGAATTCCATCTGTCAAGGGTTCTTTTACATGCGGTTTCGAATCCCCGGTTGTACGTATGTGACAAGGAGTAGGGTCGCCTGTCCAACCTCGTGGATTTTCTCCGGGTCCTCCGGTTTCCTCCCACTGCTAAAGACCCCTACGCGCAAGCGAATTATTGAAATAAAATTAAACCACATGTTAGTCCCGAAATGACCTTGTTTGTGTCGAGTGGACGTTAAACCCCATTTCTCTCTCTCTTTTACATGCATGTTAATGTGTACACAGGACCTATGGTATTATATCAGTCAATGTTATTACTATTACAGGTATAAGTTAATTAATACAGGTAAAGCTCGTCAAGATAAAGATGGTATCAATAGTTTAAAATATAAAGTGGAAAAAATAGAATTTTTACCTACATATACATACATATTAACTACAATTAATCAGACAGAAGTTGAGGCTGTAAGTTAATTTATATCATGATCATCATTCTATACATCCAGAGCGTCGCCATTTTAAGTAATTCTGTGAATGCCATTATGATGAATGAGCAGACGGTAATCAGTATACCATTCTTGACAACTATATATATTGTATACTGTTTGAATGGCATTTAATAATTGAACACATTATAAAATAAACACAACAGTTCTATGGTTAACAATGACTGTATTTCTATTAAAGCTACGTTTTAACAGTGATTCTCTTGTCGACTTGAAACAAGTTGTATTGAATTTTTTTTCAAGAAAAGCAATATTTAAAAAGATAGTGAGCACTCATGAAAAAATATTTTCAATAAATGTATACAATGAATTGTTTGAATATATGAAATTAGTTACCTCTTAAAAAAAAAATTATTTTTAACTTTTTTTTTTTGGTACGTAACATTTTACTTTTTTTTCTTTTTCAGGGGTAATTTATGGAAACTGTGATATTTAATAGTTTGATAGGATAAATCATAATATTAAAAGTTGATTAGGAAGCTTTTTATATGTACATATTGAAATGTGGTTGTATATTGTTATCAACCCTGTCCGTCCGTCCAGCATCCAAAAATGCTTGTCAGAAACTTCCACAAAGACAGGTAACACAAACCAATTACAGACTGTTTGATGGGATCAATTTTGACTAAGTCAAAATGATGCATTTGATATTCAGATAAGTTGATATACAATAATTAATAGAATACAATATCAAAAAAACATCGTTTTATACACCCACATTGAAATGTGGTCGTATATTATCGTCATCCCCCGTCCGTCGATCCGTCCACAATAGCTTGTGGACGCTCTAGAGGCTAAAGTTAATATCCAATTGACTTTAAATTCATACACAGTGTTTAAGGTCGTGAGACGAAGAATTCTATTGATTTTCAACGATTTCCGGTTATTACTGCCAAAGTTATGGCCCTTGATCACTTTGAAAAATCTTGTAGACGCTCTAGCGGCTAAAGTTAATATCCGATTGACTTTAAATTTATACACAGTGTTTAAAAGGTGAAATGAAATGAAATGGGGTTTAAAGTCCTACTGTTTTGCTCCTAAACTGGGCTAATGAAGACGGGCATACGCCATACAGTGTGCTATGAGGGAAATTTTGCCCGGACAGCGCCGCTACGGCCTACTCTTGTATCGAATTTCAACTGCCAAGGGATCTTTTACGTGCACGCCAATTTGTACACAGGACCTCGGTTTTTCGTCCCATCCGAACAACTAGACAGCTGTCCTTGTCAGGCCCTCCGTCCTGCATCACTGACAAGGGGGAAACCACGCGGAAAATCTGGATGAACTTTCTCGGCCAATGCAGGGATCGAACATCCGACCTCCAGGCTAGCGAGCCAGCGTCTTACCCACGTGATCCCCTGTTTAAAAGGTCATGAGAGGAAGAATCTTATTGATTTTCAGCAATTTCCGATAATTACTGCCAGAGTTATGGCTCTTGACGGTCATGAGACAACAGAGTCTATTGATTTCTGATAACTTGAACAGCAAAATTCATGATATCGCATGTTTTTTATACAAAAAAACAAACAAAATTCTAATGATTTCTGATAATTACTTAATGAGATGTTACTCTTAATCAGTTTCTAGTGTTCTGTAAATATTTTCATTACCGACAACCATTGTGGGCGTATGTTTCGATGCCTGGCAACCTACCTTTGTAAGATATATGTTGATTGAACAAATCATTACTTCTTTCTATGCTCATATTGAATGTGGATTATATTGTAATATTGTTAGTTTAACAAACGGGCTGCATCTTACTCTGATGGTGGCTTTGTATCGATGACATCTGAGGTGGATTCAAATATTGCTGCGATGTAGTATTCTTACCATTACAATGGAAGATAAATAATGACATTTACCTTTCCTGATGTAAAAATTTATTTTGCTTCCCCCTTTTACATAACCGATAAGCATTATATATTTTTGTTTAAATTGTTTTAACAGAATTATGGTATTTTAAGCATTATTAGCATTTTAATCTACTAATATTTAAAATCAAAAATTATGTATTTTATGGGCTATAATTGTTTTTAGATTATATGCCCAAATAATTAACATGTCTTCCCTTGGGAGTGGGAACTTGGGACCTCTACATTACATGTAAGAGTTATTCTCTTTGTATTTTCCAAGCAGGAACACTGTAATTTGTAACAAACAAGATCCACAGTGTTTTTGATATACCTTAATTAATAATAATGTAATTAACTAATATAGTTGCTAAAGCAGTGGACACATTAGCTGAATCATTCGGCCGAATCAATCAGCGACAAATTTTATTCTGCCAAATGGGTGGACAAACTAGCCGAATGCTTCGCCTGATTCAACCTGTCAATTGCATCACCTTTCACGTCACATGATTAAACATGGCGGCGTCTATGTCTTCAATCTATCACGTGACTTCTCGATATGAGTGGTGATTGGCTAATGAATTCTATATTCGGCCAAATGCTTCGGTGAAGCGGACACACCTTTTTAATTGACAATGATGAAATACAATCTATTCTGTCCAGTTAAGCTGTGCTTTTCTATTCTATTCTTTTGATTTATCTTACTTCTAAATATTATCCAAAAGCTTTACTTATAAGCTTTAAAGGACACCGGAAAAGCTTCATAATTATTTTTTAAATAATGCAAGTAATTATGTGTGGTTTAATAGTCAAGAGCGAGATATTGAAACAACATGAGGGACGTTAGTCCTGAGCTGTTGTTTCAATATATTACGCAATGTCTTAAGCTCGAGACCATTAAACACCTTAAAATACAGACAATCGCACATGCTTTGCAATGAAATATGTCACACGAGTCCAAAATTTCAACTAGTATAAATAATGTATCCTTGGCACATTGCCTGTACCATTATTTGAAATAATGGCACACTAGTCCAAAATTTCAACTAGTATAAATAATGTATGCTTGGCACATTGCCTCTACCATTATTTGAAATAATGGTACGCCAACATCAGAGTATGACGTCCCATCTCTATTTTAAGTCAACATATCCTTTCCATCAGTTTACCATGAACCTAAATTTACCTGCAACAGGTAAATTTCAACGTTAGTAATTTTAGTCCTTCTGCTCATAGAAATATAGACTAGAATATGAGCAGAAGGACTAAAATGATGTCACAGATTGTTTATTGACGGAAAGTTACGACTTCTCATGGAGAACAGGGGAAATTACTAATGTTGAAATTTACCTGTTGCAGGTAATATTGACATTAGGGTTCGTGTTATACTTATGGAAAGTATATGTTGACATAATTACTTGCATTATTTTTTAAAAATTTGAAGCTTTTCCGGTGATCTTTGATAGAACTTTTATAAACGTTTATCTTTAGAAAACTTATATTTTATACTTGTATAAGCATAAATAAATTATTCCATTGTTTTTCTTAACAATTTATAAATAACTAATGTTTTATAATGTTATTTATCGTATCACATTAGGGATTATGAATGTTTTTAAAATTTAATTGAAATGATTAATAAACTATTTATTAAATGAATACATAATTTCAGAACAGATCCAGGTTGGTCTTAGTTGTATCTTAAAAGAAATTATCTAATTCTATGATTACTTATTTAAAGTTATAATGTACGTCAAGTCCGTTGATACTTAATGCCAAAACAGACACGGGTAGGTCTTAATCATTTTTTGAACAGAATTATGTGATTATATATGTGGTGATTACATGTTAAAACAGATCCTAGTGGTCTTCATTGTGATGTGAAAGACATTTGAAGAGTCCAGGGGAAGAACGATCTAAGTCACATTTTTGTCTTTTCGCATAAAAGGCAAAACAGACTTTTGGACAAAAATGTTTGATGGGAACAGAACGACGAGTGGGTTTGATTACAACTTCAAAATGATGTTTAATACGAATCATAATTACCAGTACAACTGACTTCAACTTTTCAGGCAAATTAAGGTTAAATAAAGGGTACGATGGACTTGTATTTGTCTGGGAGCCATTTAAGAAGGGCCTTGGTTCGATGTGACTCCAATTGTTTTTACCTGAAATAGATTGTTCCACAGAAAGCTTATACAATTTGCTACCAGATGGCGCCATTAACTGGAGTTCATTGAAAAAGTGACTTAGATCGTTCTTCCACAGGGCTCTTCATTTATGTAATTATGTGATAATTTATTTTTTGAAGTGGTAATGTACATAATTACTGTTAATAGTCATCAGTACTTGTATATTAATTTTAAGTGAGAGTCCTGAAATTTCAAAGAGTTCATGTTCCAAATTGTTTGTAGATGTTACTGCTGATTGGCAAATGTATCTGTATTATATTAAAACTGTGAACTAATTACATGTACTAATGTGCAATTTCGGAATCTTATATAAGATTACATGACAAATCTCATATCATTTGTTAATGTTTTACAGTATGATAGTAATAATTAAATATCTGTGCAAATAGATTTAAATTTAAGGCTAAAATGTTGTTGTATTGTCAGGATGTTAAACCCCATTTCATTTTTGTTGTATGGTCTTCCTACTATTCATAGTTTACTATCATTTATTTTCATATAGGAATAATTCCCTCGTAATTGAGATAGTGACCAAAACCTCCTTATTTTCTGATTAATTTTGAAATCTTGTTTTCAAAGATGGTTAGCAAGCTTCATATATTCTCCTTACACCCAAATCTTTTGACCAATGGGTGGGGCAGGGGGAGAGAGTGTGGTCGTTGGAAATCCTTCATTAATTTTTATGTCCAGTTCCCACTTTTTGGGTGGTGTGTGTGTGGGGCTGAAAGAGTGCGCTGCCGAGTCATCTGAATAGGATGGAAAATCTGTAATCTGTTCAATTACGTCCCATTCAAAGGACTGCTAAGGCACACTTAAAGGAGCTAAGTCTCTAACTCAATATTTTCCATGATATTCGAAATTAAAAACAAATAGAATTCAATATTGATCAGTTTCAATCAGTATTGGGTGTTATCTTGTCGTGAAACTATAAGATCCTAATATCCAATATTTAAGACGCAATTAACATTTTATAATCAGTACACGAGTCGTGTACTCTATGGTTTCGGGTGCCATTTTGTAATGAACAAATAAAAACATAGCCTACAACACAATGTGGAAGTAATTAGTAACGACTGATTCACAAACAACAAAATAATAAGAATGCACTCAGCAGGCATAAAATATTGTCGTTCAATTTGAACTTTACAAGTATTTCACCGAACATAATTTATTAGAAATTATCACTTTACATACATGCATACTACCACTCTCCACACAAGTCTCGCTATCCAGCATTCGACTCTGTCCAAAGCTCAGCAGTAAACTGGTTGACCTAGAGGTCATTGTTCAAGTGATTAACTACATGATGAAAATGACATCTGTCAGAAAAGTTCCTGCGGTTATAAACACTTGATGAGTTTTAGTCAGAGTTCCCTGTAATATTTGTATATACATTGTTACTTTGCAATCGTGACCCCATTTCTATTTAAATATGGTAATAGTATTAAATATATTATCATTTATTTGTTTTAAATCGTATTGTTTATCATTGTCCATCAACACCAAGAATCTTGGTGGCGTAGTCAAATGAGCTGTTAGCAGAGATTGTTTGGACTGCAAGGGAAGACAACTCTGTTTGGGAGATTGTCATACTACATTAATATGTGCTTTTAGAACCAATTTTTTCTATTTCAAGTTTCCAAAAAATAGAGTCCTACACCCTTTAACTTGTCATTATCACAGGTGCCACCTCTTACAATTTGAAGGCTGGGCTTGAAAAATTATTTCCTATGGTCCTCAAGAATTGCTTATGTCATTGTCATGTAGAAGAATGATATAATTTATTAATTCATTGTGTATATTTTATTACATTAACCCATTATCTATGTATTGGTACTAACTGGCTCATATACATGTATCTTTTTATCCCTGTTTATGTAAAGTACATTCCTGAATAAATATTTTAATTAACATTTTCATTCTTAGCAAATTACAAACATTTACAGTGGATCAACGTATACCGGTATATAGCTAGTCTCCTTTGTGTTGGTATCCCACAATACGTTCAATCACTTTCGCGACCAATTCTTGATTACCGTTAATTTTGGATCCTATTGAAATTTAGAAATATAGTTGTTAATGGGTTCATTGGGCCATATTGAAGAATGGCCGTTGCCATCTATGTCTTATAGGCTGTCTATACAGTCACATATGTTAAACATACATAGCCTGGAGGTCGGGTGTTCGATCCCTGCATTGGCCGAGAAAGTTACATCCAGATTTTCCACGTGGTTTCCCCCGTGTCAGTGATGCAGGACGGAGGGCCTGACAAGGACAGCTGTCTAGTCGTTCAGATGGGAACGAAAAACCGAGGTCCTGTGTACACATTGGTGTGCACGTAAAAGACCCCTTGGCAGTTGGAATTTGATATAAGAGTAGGCCTTAGCGCCGCTGCCCGGGCAAAATTTCCCTCATAGCACACTGTATGGTGTATGCCCATCTTCATTAGCCCAGTTTAGGAGTAGGCCTTAGCGCCGCTGCCCGGGCAAAATTTCCCTCATAGCACACTGTATGGTGTATGCCCATCTTCATTAGCCCAGTTTAGGAGCAGAACAGTAGGACGTTAAACCCCATTTCATTTCATTTCATTTTGCAAGGGCTAAATCTGCCTATTGCAGGTGTTTCTTTAGGCCTGAAATGTTATCTAAATTATTAATTAGACATTAATTAACTTATTTCCAGACCATAATCAACTCTTGATGCCATCGCTGGCCTATGATATTTACTGGAATTGAATACGTTTTGTGGTGGATGATTTAACGTCAAAATGGATAATCAAGATGAATTTTTTATCGTTCTGCTCCTAAACTGGGCTAATGAAGACGGGCATACGCCATACAGTGTGCTATGAGTGAAATTTTGCCCAGACAGCGGCGCTACGGCCTACTCTTATATCGAATTCCAACTGCCAAGAGATCTTTTACGTGCATGCCAATGTGTACACAGGACCTCGGTTTTCCATACCATCCGAACGACTAGACAGCTGTCCTTGTCAGGCCCTCCGTCCTGCATTTTTAGCATTTCAATTTCATTTCATCCTGTGACTTAAGCACCATGGTGTGATTTACCATTCAGGTTTGGATGATTTGTGGTGATAAGATATATATATGGCATTTTCTGAAAGATGGCCTATCCTGTTTGCTAATAGGCACTTTTTCTCTTTTATTGTTATTATTAAAACGATATTTATACAGCGCTCGACTTCCACTGCAGAGCAATGCTCAGAGGCGCTTTACAAAAACATAAATTGAATCAATATAAAATTCAAATGTACATAAAAGTCTAAATGATAAAATTACATACATATAGAGAATGACATCATCATATGATAAAATGCAAGATATATAGAATCGCCCTGCACCACTGCAAAGGGGTAACTAGACTGGAAAATACTGAGGAACTTTCTCGGGCCTAGGATCTCCTGGTTATATTGTGAGCCAATGTCATACTCAATGAGCCACCATGGTTCCAGTAGACCCATGTAGATTATACAAAGCTTGAAAATCAATAGGACAACCCAGATCAGTTTCCAAAACATTACATTGTAGCTTCTTGCAATTGTCCATAAACAAGAATGACATACGTCTAACGTACAGATGGATGTTGACTAAACTTCATAACAAAGGGGCATAACTATGGAAGTACCTGTATTTAAGCAACTAATACAAATTTCAGGAAAATTAGATCATAATTGTAGTCTAAGGTGCATCGTTCACTTATATTGTGCGATACCACCCTTAAGCCTTAGTGGAAGTGGGTGTGAAACTTTTATTAGTAGCCTACCAAATTAGAGGAGACTGAACTTTATTATTGAAAAATCGTTCAAAAACCACAGAGATCTTCCTTTCGATAATCATGTAGGCTACATATAGGCCTACTCTACACTAGTCTATATATCATATATTATCATCAGTGTCTAATTATATAGTCTAAATGAAATAACATTGCCACATCGGGACAAGTTGGACCAACGAAAAAGACACGTCAGGCCAATATATGCTTTTGAAATAAGAAAGTAGCCTATAATTGTTTTAATAAACTATGTAAAATATTTATAGTGTTTGGTTTTTTTTTTTAAATACATTTGTCATTTGATATTGTTTATAATACCGGTACCGGTAAAAAAAATAGCCTAGATTAGATTAGTGCATCAGTAAGTCTTGGGCAATAATTTGGTCCGACTTGTCTTTTGTGTTAGTTCGACTAGTCATTTTGTTGGTCTAATTTGTCTGAGTGAGCTTTGGTCCGACTTGTCTGCAGATAACGGATCGTAACGAGCCGGAACAAGTGACCGACTTTTGCATTTTATACAACATGAACATGTAGCGCCGGGCCTACCGGTACCCTAATTTACATAAGTGTGCAATGTCAATGAGAGTATTATTATTAATATTATAGGGTCTACACATGTACACTACGAGTACGTCCCTAGTTACACAAAATGCTATATTATAAGTTCCGTGGTAAAACCACAGTCTCTGTTAGTCCATGAAGTGCTAATTCCAATACATAAATAAGACATAATTCATGTTGAGAGCAAAAGTAACGTTCATTTTTCATGTGACAAGGTCAAGGTCGTGACAGATACCTCCATGTCACTTCCGGAAAACAACATGGCAGTCGAAAGTGGATTGCCTAATTTTCAACGTTATATTAATGGTGTTCCCGTTCCAAATGGACGTAAAATGCTACGATTACGTGAAAAATATATTATTATGCTTGTGCTCTTGACATTCGGTACAGTATGTTTCGGTGCATTTTTCTTTCTTCCCGATTTACGTGATCGTGTTTCTATGGACGGTATGAGAAAACATTTGAGAGATGCTGGCAATGTTATATTTTTCCCACATGCGAGAATAGGACCTGACGGTCTTCCAATTTCGGATAAAGCCAAAATATTAAGACATGATGAATATAATATAGATCCTCACAGAATAGATGATAAAGTTAGGTTAAGGGGCAAAATTGAAGCAGCGTGGGAACAAGATAAAATGGATAAGGCTTCTTTAGTTGATCCATTGCCAAAAGGTAAAGTTGAAAAAATGGAAATTAATAATCAAGTTGTCCCAGGTGACAAACTATTGGACAAAAAAAATGATAAATTAAAAGAGCTGTCAAATGATAAACAAAAGGATGATAAAACAAAAAAGATAAATAATGATGATACTGGCGATGTGGTGAAAATGGAACAACAGGGTGACAAATCAACTGCTGATGAAACCGGAAAACGTAGAGAAACCGTATTAAAGGTATGAATTCCATTCATAGACTTACTGAGTTAGCTTATATATACTTTTCAAAAAAAGTAGGGGATATTGAAATGCAAATACCTATGCAGGTTCAAGAGGTTGTGATATGATAAATAGTCATGGACATTTGACATGCTTTGAGAGTATGTTCACAGATGAAGAACTTATCAACCCAACAGAACCACTGAGCTACACATGTGACACGCAATAGCGCCATACATGTGGGAGGGGTTCATTGTCAAATTTGACACTTCAAGGAAGGGTTGATGAAACTGCAGCGTGCTGGTTTATCTATCCTTGTTTGCTTTCCCGCAAGAATTGGCCGTGGCACTGCAAGAGGAGTGGGTCAGATTGAGCATGCCACGACGAATTGCTGAATGTCTGAGGATTGGTGGAGCAATTACTCATTATTAAGACAAAAATCAAAAACGTCCATTTTCACAAGTGTATCTCTTCACGAGTGAAATGGGGCCATCAGATAAGCCACCCCATATGAACTGTTTATGTTCATGTGTAGGCAATTGACCTGTTATTAACATACGCTGGTTACCTCTAATAAAAACAGCAGTGCATTTCTGCAGTTTTGTATTGTTTCTGAATATCCCCTTCCAGAGATCGCAGTCACGCAAAAATCCACGTATTTCACGCATTTTTTTCAAAATAAACGCAAATATTGATGGACGTTGTGTAATTTACACGCAGAAAATGTCTGCGTATTTTTACGCAACTCGAAATTGATCCACTGCAACCTCTGTCCCCTACTTTTTTTGAAGAGTATATATTTGAAACTTTTCAGGAATAGGTCGATTAATGATTTGATTATCCCTAATATTATAATTGCTACCCGTAGATATGGTTCTACTGATGTTTTCCATCTTACTCCAGCCACAGTAAGCACTTCCTCTGAGCAATTTTAGTCAAATGACTACAAAAATGTTACTGGCCTATAGCTCCCTTAATTTCGATCACCTTAATTTCCAGTGTACTAAACATAGCTTAAAGATGGGTTCCCAGAAAAGTATTTATTGGGTGGTTATTTCCAATAAAAGTATGGCAATTTTGGTATATGGAAAGAAGAGATATCCAATCTTAGTAGAAAAATACTGGATTTCCCGAAAAACACTCATGGAGTGTATACAGGACAAAAATGTAAGGGTTCCCCTAATCGACAGCCCGACGATTAGGAATTTCTGCACGCGTGATGTCAAAGGTCACCCGGGAACATTGAGCTCTTGATTTATAAGTTGATAAACTTTATGAAGAGTTATATTAGACGTACAACACTTTCTGAGATAAAAATGACGGAAAAAGACGCGGGTAGTGGATAATCGGAGAATTTAATTAGGATTCGATATTTGTAATAAATAGTATGCGATTAAAGACAACATCGTCTTATGTATGCAATGAATTCTCCTCCGACTTCCAAGAGAGGTAAGTCACGTGATGTAAACATGACCTGGTTTGATCGATCTTTTATAACAGGGCATTCCTTCGCAATTACAATGTTTGAGAAGGATTTTGAAGCAAAATTATGACAAATTAATTAGTTTGAATATGTTTTTAGTCCATATATACCATTAAATCACCGAGTTTGTACGCGGGAATGTATCTTTAAAATATAATAAACCAATTCTCATTGAAATAAATATGAAACCGTACGGCATGATTCGATGAACCCCAACTGCTATGCGAAATTTATTTCTTACCCAACTTGAAATGTCCGCCCAGCCAAAAATAGCATGTGGACTCTGTTTCACATGATCATACGTCACTTTCCATATGGCTTTCATAGTGAAAAAGCTTAGTATCACTGCCTTATAAGGGAAGCGATGGGCTGGGTCAATGCAAGCGATTTTTTGGCGATATTTGTAAATTGTAAGAAATATCGCTTCAAAATGTAGAGCGCATTTCAACAAAGAAAAACTGTTTGTTAACTATTTTAGTTGTCCAGTCTTCACTATGATAGAATTACCTATTTCAATACAAACTCTTAATGATTCATGTATGTGTTGAAATTGATGCGTTTGAACCTATTTGTACTTGCGCAAGGCCTGTTAGACTGTATCAATTGTAGCGCTAATATTGCCTCCTTTAAGACAAAAATAGAACTAAATTTGTAAATAAATTGACTTCTGTTAGTCTTTTGATGAAACAGTAATTTAATCGTTTAAAACTTGTCCAACCACTAATTGCAATAACGCATCAGATCATCACCTAATTCAAGAGTGTTTGGAAGACTTAAATCAAAGACTAAGAGGGTTAGCTTTTAGTTGTCCTTGAGTCAACTGGCGTTGTTTTCGATTCCCCAGTTGTATGTTACAAGGAGTAGGGTAGCCTGTCAAACCTCATTGGTTTTCTCCGAGTCCTCCTGTTTTCTCCCACTGCGAACGACCCCTATGCTCAAGCGAATTATTGAAATAAAATTAAACCAAATGTTGGTCCCAAAATGACCTGGTTTGTGTTGAGTGGGCGTTAAACCCCATCTCTCTCCCTCTCTGTCAAAATATTGTGTCATGTGTAATAAACCAGGGTTGGTATTCCATGTAAATTGTGTTGTGTTTTTATTGTGCTAAGTCGCTATTAATGTCACTCAAGCATTATACATGTATGTCCGTTAATGATTTAATTATCTCAATTACATGCTGCTTAATAGTTACCGGTATGTCAAAGTGGTTATAACAAAATAAAATTCTAAATATTTATTCAAAAGCATATTATGAGTAGAAATAGCCACAATTGATCAAAATTGTGAAAATTTAAAGGGAAAGTCCAAAGTTTTAAACAGGCATAAATAAAAGTGGGTTTAAAGTATGAAAATCAAGCACTAAAATGTGAGAATATAGCCCATTTACATGTATCTTCTCTGAAAATTTCAAATCAAAATATTTTACCGGTAATCGCTGTTTGGAAATATAATAGAATTTGCTTAAAATAGGGTTACATGTACAAATGTATGTACAGGAATTCAGGAATTTTGTTCTTAAATTATATCAGGGTTTGAAAGAAAGAAGACAGGAGAGACTTTCCGGGCAAAATGTCCCTAATACATGTACATTTTGTAGCACACTGTATGTGCCGGTTAATTTCAATTTTACCCTATAGAACCCTGTGAGCACTTATAGTTCAAAGGGTTAAAGGAGCTACATGTAAATCGCTATTCTTGGGCACCTAGAAATAGACACAAATGAATGGGTCACAATGCATGTACATTGTACGTACATGTATGTACATGTAATACTGTAATAAGAAAGTATATAAACTGATTTACATTATAATCACTTCTGTTTTTACTGTAATTTCTAATCAGTTACATGTATGTTCCACGAAATATGTGAAGAGTCCAAATTGAATGGCAATCTTTGGCATCTGGTTTTTCCAGGCTGCATCGTAAGTATTTTCTCCTGTGGGATATGTTTAGCCGCATTCATAAAGTAGCTTTGAATATTACAAAAATTTTCATTTTGTCTTAAATATTGGAAATTAGAAGCCCACACTTTCACAGCAAGATAACAGCATCAATGTTGATTTAAATTGACCAACAGTTCATGTTTTCTATGTCGTAGACTGTGGATGATATTGAGTTAGGGACATGGCTCCTTTAAGTAGGATATTAAACTCCATTTCATACTTCATAAACTAATATTTGTTAAAATGATGACAAGTTGGGGGTTTTTAGCATACAATTCATTACATAGATTTATGACTGACAGACATTCATATTTGACTAACGTACAGTTATATACATGTTGTACTATAATTTTTTGATAAATATTTAACAGAATAAACTACTATAAATGCTACTATATTTATGGTGTATAGAATTTGTACTATTAATCGATTGAAACTACAATTTGATATGTATTGGTTAATATTAAAGAATTAATGGTGTATGTGTGTATTATATAAATGAAAAATGAAATACAAAAGCAGTAAGTGATATTTTCGGGGGTCGACTCCTTTTTTCCGATAAATTGACTGATCTATTATAATATCAGTCAGAGAAGCTACAATGTATTAATACATTAATGCAGGTGAAGTTTGATTTTTGCTGTGATATATAAATAGAGTTTATATTAATTATTAAAGTTAGGATAAAATTGAATATATATACTATTACATTGACCAAAGAAAATGTTGTGACAGCCAAAGTCCATAAAATAGGCCAATGATACTGTCTTCCACATGAAATGTGATTTTTAACGTAATATATGTATATTTTGTTTTGTTACCAACATTACCGGTACACTGAACACAAAAAATATTTTTAGAGCCCAAAACCCCATAAAAAAGACTGGTGTTACTGTCTTTCATCCGAATAAATTGAGTTTAATCTCTGATTTATAATGGACTTGACGTTATAGGCCTGCAGCCAAAATGTCTAGTGTGATGTTCCGCTACAAGGTCCTCCCTACTAAACTAACTAGGAACACAAATCCAGAGAGTTTCAAGCAAAATGTTTGCAATAACTCGATTTAGGGCCAGATGAAAATTATGATAATTGTCAAGTCAATGCGATATTTATATTAACAATTGTGAAGTTGAAATAGTTTGAATTATTAGAGAATAAAAAATAGTCTGGAAATGAATAAATGCTGACCACCTAGTCCTGTTTTCCATATTATTGTCATTCACCTTTTTCACTTTTCGCCAGATCAAAGACACAGATAAACAATTTGAGAGCTACATGTATCACTACCTTTTTGTATCAAAATTATTATCTAGATTTCCATGTATTAATATATAGAGAATCTTCTATGAGTCTTTTTTGATATCAAAAAATATCAACACAAGTTGATAAAGTAACAAAAAACGAGTAGGAGATTTTATTTATCACCCAATCCTTTCTTACGTGCACAAATAAATAAATATAATTCTTTGCTATAGACTTCACTTTTAAAACCTGATTACGACGTAGTGATACATCATTTTTTGATTGCAATTCAACCATTGCAAAGTCCTTTATATTGACCCAGTGTTTCCATCAAAGTCAATTAAATAAAAATAATTCATTTTTAATAAAAAAAAAGGAGTTACTTTTAATAAAAATGAACTGTTCTTTGAAATACAAGAAAGTACTTCCTTTTTAACTGACCAATCAAATTCATGTAAAGCGATATCTCCTAAGGAGATATCACAGTAGATTATGAAATTTATCACACAAGCTATATCTACTGTAGAATGTACATGTATTATTGGGTGATAAATTTCATTCCATGTTTCATTACTCAATTCATGTAATGCCTCTAGCATTCCTATATCATATTTCCATGTCAACGCTTATACTTATACCCATTCATCATACTTAAGTTGAATTTTGTGTCATTATCAGACCAGTTTGAGGTAAATGTGTATTCTGAGATGATTATCATAGTGTTTGTCTTGTTAGTAAATTTGTCTTGTTTGTAAATATTTATTTTATTTATCATATTGTTATAAATATATGTACATGCTGCCCTCAATCAATGGATGTTTGGATACAATAAAATCTTATCTTTTCTTATGCAGCGACTTTATAAAAGGTGACTGGTGCAAGTAATTAAAGATACATTAGTTAAGAGTTTAATAAAGAGTTGGCCATTCTTGCTATAATAATTCAACAATAGATGATAAAAAAAAAATATATTATTGAAAATTTCAGTCAAATTACTTTATTCTGAACGGAGTTGTCACTGTTGAAAGTTTGGACTAGAAATAGCCATCGACTGTGTCGCACCGTCTATGAGAATTGGCGATCGTTTAATTGACAGGCGATAAATCCACCCACATATTCTTTATTATCAAGCAACATTCTCAATGGCTATGGTACCCTCACTTGGTAGGCCTTTTCATCACCAGTTCCTGTAGTGACGTCAGTGACTAACAGTAAACGTTATCTTGGTCGGCCTCGGCTATTTCTTGATTTAATTTCAAATGGACTACTATTTAAATCCAAGCTGTTTCCAAGCCATCTGAGGGTCTCCAGAGTTGATTTTGAGCTTGTCATGTAAATAAAGGTCTATTTAATAATTTCTATAACCGCTGAAGCCTAAATAAAGACTTGCAATACACAGATTTAGTTCTTGCATAATGTATGTTTAATGAGTGCCATCTATTTATTTAGGGTATGAAGGCGAGGATATCAACCTTTTACTGTTGTTGTTTATGTTTGTAGTTTTATTTTCAAACACCTTTTGCCAAGATTATTGTTAGTCTTGTAAGCAAATACTAGCTTGTAAAAAAAATCATTATGGTGATCGTGTTGTTTTTTGTTCAGTTTGATTAAAACACAGATCCTATTTTGTTTAATTTTTTATAGTTCAAAATTTTGTTTTACTTGTCTTCACAACACTAGGATCTCGAAGAGTTGGTATATAACAGGCATTCTAGTTGATGTAAGGTATTAGCCAATGAAATGGTCAGTGGGTAAGCCACTAGAAGCATCAACACTGATTGATTAATCAATGTTTGATGTCATAGGGTCAATGCAACCTTCCAGTACAACTGGTCAGATCTACATGTAGTGCAGACCATTGAAAGTATTGCTTTCTATTACAAGGAAACCGGAAAAAGTGTTTGACCAAATTTGATAAGGGATATAAAGGCTGTGTTCTATCTACACTCTACAGGATATTGTTGTCCTTGCTTTATCTTGATAAGATTAAGAGCTCAACATGGAACTGTTTCACATTGCTTGACAAATAGAACTATTAGGAGACAATACATGTAGACCTTCCATTTTGAGTGTTATTTCAACTTCAACTTTTTATTTGCATATTACGTCCATTAAGAACAGTATACAAAACATACACATACATCAATATACATGTATGCAAAAATATATTTTACAATGAATAATATATTGGAATATTTTGATAGAATATTTTGAGTTTATTTTAACATGGATTAAGTTATAGAAAATATGTTTTCCAGAAATGCAAATGAATATCCATAATAATAAATGAACAATGTCCAATGGCTATGATCCTGCCTACAATTATATCAAAGTTCTGATGTTAGAAACCTTAAAATTTTGCATCAGTTTTTGTACAGGTACTGAGTACATGTAACACGATCAACATTGAAATTTGCAATTAGCAGATACCAGTTTAACTAGGTAATGTCCGTATTTGAAGTGGCTTGGTCCATGTCTTGAATTTAAACGCTGTCCTGGAGGAAATTTTTTGGGTAATGGTTCACACGATTGGTCGGCATAGAGCTATGAATAATTGTTTTCTGTTTTGTCTAAGATTACTAAGGATCAAGATTTTGAATTTCAGTTTTGTTGATGTCAATTATCGATGTTGATGCTGTGGTCATCTTGATTACTGTCGGCTTGACAGGTAGTTTGAATTTATTGGTCTAATTTGATATTTCACTGTCATTAGATAGATCACACTTTCAGATAAAAATAGCTTTTATCTTTTAAAAGACATTATGTTTTTTCTATATTTTGCAGATGATGAGACACTCCTGGGATAATTACGAGACATACGCATGGGGTGCCAATGAATTACGACCCATATCAAGGCATGGACATGCCAGTATATTTGGAAACATTCCGCTTGGTGCTACAATTGTTGATGCAATTGATACCCTTTACATTATGGGCATGAAAAAAGAGTTTGAAAAAGCTAAAGATTGGATTGATAAAAATTTAAAGTTTGAAGGAGTAAGTATTATACATGTATTCTATGAAATGAAATGGGGTTTAACGTCCTACTGTTCTGCTCCGAACTAGACTAATGAAGACGGGCATGCGCCATACAGTGTGCTATGAGGGAAATTTTGCACGGACAGCGGCACTACAGCCTACTCTTATATCAAATTCCAACTGTCAAGGGATCTTTTACGTGCACGCCAATGCGTACACAGGATCTTCTTTTTTCGTCCCATCCGAACGACTAGACAGCTGTCCTTGTCTGGCCGGCCGTCCAGCATCACTGACAAGGGGGAACCACGTCGGAAAATCTGGATGAAATTTTCTCGGCCAATGCAGGGATCGAACACCAGACCTCCAGGCTAACGAGCCAGCGTCTTACCCACTTAGCCACCGTGACCCATGTATTCTATGAAACAATATGCAAGATTTATCTTTAAATAATATTCCACACATATTTCATTGGTATGAATGACTTTATTATTGATGAAATAAAAGCACCAATATGATTGAGATGAATGTATAGAAGTAATATAATGGTTAATTTGGTTGTGATATTATTTGTTTGTTGATTATTATAATAGCCCAATATATTTCTTGATTTTGTTTTACAGTCGTCCGATCTGTCTGTATTTGAGACAAATATTCGATTTATTGGTGGGCTTTTATCAGCATACGCTCTATCTGGAGAGGAGGTAAGTACAGTAATAATCATTACACGATGCTAAAATTATATTTTTTTTACTCGATTGAAATCACATTATTTATTTGTAATCAAAATTTTGCAATGGGTTGACTAGCGTGGAGTGTACATAGGTGCTTATGTAGACCTTAGAACTGGTGTTTCAACTGAAAATCTTCGACCAGAGTACATGTACCTCTTATAACTAAAGCAAATATTTTCAGTCTGTTGAAGTCAGTTGCCCATGGTTAACTTTCTTCATCTTAACCAGCTGTCGCCTGTCCAACCTCATGGGTTTTCTCCTCTGGTTTTCTCCCACTGCTAAAGACCTCTACACGCAAGCGAATTATTAAAATAAAATTGAACCATGTGTTAGTCCCAAAATGACCTAGTTTGTGTTAAACCCCATCTCTCTCTCTCTCTTTGGGCTGCATCTTCTAATGCATTCACCATTTCTTTTGATTACGCGTTAAGTGTAATCACTATTGGGTCCGAGTCGACATAAGTTGATCAGTTAATGATTTGATCTACATAAGCAGCCTTGTAACTAGTTGAAAGCAGTTGCTTCCAATTGTAAAGTCAGCATGCATGAGCTATAAGATCACCAGTATAGAACTTTACAGTGTATTAACCCATTGTGGAACATACTTGTTAGAAAGATAAATAATTTAACATATATATTTACATAAGACACAATCAATACCTACCCACAGTAAAGCACTACCATATTTGTTAAGATATAATGCATGGTGATATGGTAAAATAAAGGGAAAAAATTAACAGCTGATGAAAGAAAATGTGAAAATGTCACCCTAACCCATATAAATTTTGAAACAACTGCATTTCCAAATTTAATCGACTGAACAGATATTTGTTAATTTACATCCTGTTGGGCTATAGATATAAAAATTTTTTATCTAATTAACCCAAAAGTTATATTTGTTTATTGACATGTTTATCTAATTAACCAAAAAGTTAATGTACAACAACAGGTTTTTAAACTTTCCTCACTTGAAAATGTGCTTTTGCCTTAATGTGGCCTTAATGTGATATTTATAGAAATAACAATTCATACAGAAATCTCTCTGACTATTTATCTGAATTTTCAGACTATTTATCTATAATGTCAACTATTTATCTATAATGTCAACTATTTATCTATAATGTCAGGCTAATTATCTAGAATGTCAGACTAATTATCTAGAATGTCAGACTAATAATCTAGAATGTCAGACTATTTTTCTGGATTGTCACTTTCCATCTGGTTTGTCAGACTATTCTTCTGGATTGTCAGACTATGCTTCTGGATTGTCAGACTATTTATCTGGATTGGCAGACTATGCTTCTGGATTGTCAGACTATTTATCTGGATTGGCAGACTATTCTTCTGGATCGGCAGACTATCTGGATTGGCAGACTATCATCTGGATTGTCAGACTATTCATCGGGATTGTCAGACCTTTTACTGGGATTGTCAGACTTTTCATCTGAATTAGTATTAGTATTTATCAGGATTTTCAGACCTTTTATCTGGATTGTCACACCTTTTATCTGGATTGGCAGACTATTATATGGATTGGCAGACCTTTTATCTGGAGTGGCAGACTTTTCATCTGGATTGGCAGACTATTCATCTGGATTGGCAGACTATTCATCTGACTGTTGTATTGGTTTGCTGAATTTTGATGGTAAAATTCTAGGTTAATTGCACAGAGGAAATAGTTTCTGTTTTGGTCCACAATGGTAAAAGTTGTCATCCACTATGAAACTTTCGGCTAAAATCCTACTGGGGAGAGCATGATTTAATCATCCAGAATCTATCCTAAATGATACCGGTAATTACATATATATTTAAGACCTGAATATAAACATATGATGTTGATAGAGTATGATGCCATAACTACAACATATACCAGTCTCAGATAAAAAATTGAATAAAATGTTAAAAAAACAAATCAAATAAACCTAATTTTAATTTTTCAGATGTTTAAAAATAAAGCTAAAATGATAGCAGATAAACTAATGCCAGCCTTTAATACACCTACAGGTATACCACAAAGTATGGTGAATGTAAAAACGTAAGTAAAACTTTCTATGTTTAACTAATTATTCATCACTGGTTACTTTTTTAGTTGACTACCAGTAAAACAGAATGGAACAATAGGATTTCTCTCAATCTGACATATTTTTTTCCCAGATGTTTTTTTTTTAAATGAAACTTTGATTGAAATTTAATACACTACTGTATATAGCAGAGCTACAATTTAATTTCATAGGATTCCATTTATTTTTTGACTGAATTATAGGCCTATGTTGACTTAAAATAATGAAAATTCTGGAATTATGTTAGGTTGAATCAAGTGTTGGTACTCTACTGTACATATATTTACTGTTTCGTGAAATTTCATTAATTTTTACTGAATTATGACCCTGTATTTATTGACTTAAAATCAATGAAAATTAGGTTTTCCGAAATGTTTTAGATGAAACTTTGGGATATTTTATTGAAATTTAATGTACTGTTTTAAATAGTAGAGTTACATTGCAGTTCTTTCGTTCAGTGAAAAAATTTTGATTATATATGTACAGGAATGTATTCACAGTATCCGAGTTGTACAATTGAAAGGGGATATATGTATTAATGTTTTAAGGAGTGTGATGTTGTTGACATTTCTGTTTTACTCATACAACTACCCATATTTCACTACGTTTTCTTTAAGAATAGAAATGGGTTTGCAATTAATGTGACCAGTGAAGGATCACATTTAAGACATTAATTTCTTAATCACATGAATTTCTCAGTGACTAAATGCATACACTTTAGATCCTAAGATCAAAAGTTGAGAATGACATGGTTTTGATTCCCTTCTTGTACATGACAAGGAGTAGGGTCGACTGTCCAACCTCATGGGTTTTCTCCGGGTCCTCTGGTTTCCTCGTACTGCTAAAGATCCCTACACACAAGCAAATTATTGAAATAAAATTGAATCAAATATTAGTTCTAAAATGATATTTTATCAATGGATGTTAAACCACATTTCTCTCTCTCTCTCTCTCTTCCTTTAATTTCTTGTTTTGGAATGTACAATGTATATACAGTACTAATACTGTGCTTTTTATTGAGTGGATGTTAAACCACATTTCATTTCTCTCTCTCTCCCTTTAAAGGGCCAATCCCAATAATATTTTGGAGAATAAAACTGCTTAATTTTGTGTTAAAATCCCCTAAAATCCTCTACCTAAGAGCCGAGTAACTAACTCACTGTTTCTGATACATGTTCGAACAATTTAAACCTGCCTGTCTTCATCTGGAAATGGAGACCGTTGTCCAAACTGTATTATATGGTGTTTGGATAAAACCAGACTTTTATTTTATAAAAGTAATGTGTAGGTGAAATTTACCCTTCGTTATGAAGTACAGCACTTGGGTCATTCACTGTAAAGACCTCTAAAGAAACGAGAATCGATTATCAGGTCACCCAACGAAAAAATTGACCCAAAATTTTAAAAGGGTTACGTGTCCGGATAACGTTCATATCCATATGACTCAATATTTGAGCTGAAATTTTGAGACAAGGTAAATTCACCATTCTTCTATATTTGAGCGTTTAAATTTCATACGTACTCTGACTTTTATTTTTGAGGCTCTGTTCAAATCAGGATAGTCCCTTAAATTTCTTGTTTTGGAATATACAATGTATATACATGTACTAATACTGTACTTTTCATGCATTTAAGTAGCATATATTGTATGAATTAATAATACATTATTCAGTTATTGATTTCTAGGAAACATGATTATAGAACTATTGAGCTATATTCACAAGCTTATAAAAAATATTGACACAATATCCGTGAATATAGTCAGTATATAACATTCCTGTGCTAATATTGTATGGATTTTTATACCATAATAATAGAGGCAATTACTTTTTTTTATTTCTGACAAATTATGACACAATACATTTAAAATTAACTTGACGTAAAGCTACATATATGAATTTGATTTTTTACATCCACATTGATTCTAGCGGAAGCTCTAAAGGCTAGTGTCTAGTCATTTGGATGGGACAAAAATACAAGGTCCTGTGTACACCTTGGCTGAATGGTTAGCATGTGCACGCTGTATCATAAAGTCTCTCATAGAGTCAACTGGCGTGGTTTCGATTCCCTGGTTGTACGTAACAACGAGTAGGGTCACCTGTCCAACCTCGTGGGTTTTCTCTGCATCCTCCAGTTTCCTCACATGCTAAAGACCCCTATGCGCAAGCGGAATTATGGAAATAAAATTGAACCATATGTTAGTCCAGAAATGACCTAGTTTGTGTCGGGTGGACGTTAAACCCCATTTCTCACTCTCACTCCATTGACCTGTCAGTCTTTCATCCACTGTTAAACTTGTATACATTATTTAAAATATGCATGGGTAATAACTGGGGATAACTACTAATGGATTACTTGCAGAAAATTCCTTCCTTCCTATCCCAACGGTATCACTTGGATCCATTCTTGTCATCAGGTACCAGAGATTCAGTCACCCATTTTATTGTACTTTAAGTAGAGAGTTAATTTATCACATTCTTGGAGTTCATTCTTTAAATAAGTGAAACATATAAGTCCATTTATTTTAATGCTTTCTGATAATGCCTTTTGATAATATTGGAAAGTTATGTTCATTCTTTTTCGGCTGAATTACTTACGTGGATGTTAGCCCCACTGCAAACAATATTTTTAAATTAAATACTCATGAATTTGCATAATTTTTGTTGATTTATATCACTGTTTGGGCATTATTTTTACATGTATGTCCCTTGTTAACTATGAAGATTTGTGCACACAATAGTTTCTAAAGATTCTTTAAATGACATTTAGTAATTGGAACATTATCAAATAACACACTATTTATGGATAACAATTACTATGGTTTATTTTACTGCAACATTTCAACAAGATTTCACAAGTCGTTATCAAGCATATAACATATTTATGCTATAAGCTTGATAACGACTTGTGAAATCTTGTTGAAACGTTGCAGTGAAATAAACCATAGAAATTGTTATCCATAAATAGTCATTATCAAGCATATAACATATTTGTGTTATATGCTTGAAAACGATTTGTGAAATCTTGTTGAAACATCGCAGTGAAATAAACCATAGTAATTGTTATCCATAAATAGTGTGTTATTTGAGCTTTTAAAGATATTGTCTAAATTTATTATTGAATAGTGTATATTCACATTGTTTAAATTTTATAGAAGACATCTAGAGATTTCCCGTGATAGTTCTGCCTTGATAATTGTAATGATTGTTTTATTGTAAACCCTATTATTAAAAAGCGACCAAGCATGATTATTGATATCTAGCTTTTAAGGACTATATTGATAAGATCATTGTTTAAAAAATTTGTTTTGAAGATGTATTCCTTCGAGAATAAGATTAGAACAACAACAAAGAAAATAATTTTTATTGTCGTAAATTTAATAGCTGTTTGGGTAACAATGGTTAGAATTTCAACTCAACAAAATTTGAAACAAGGAAATTTTTTAAAAGTTTTAAAAGTATCAAACTTTTGAATCAATAACTTCTTTAATGTATTAAGTATTGCATGTACAAAATTAATATTGTTGAAGTTATTTTAAAATTAAGTGTTGTATATACTGCAACTTGTTGGACTAGTCAGTCAAGTTTTGGTATCCGCTCCCCCACCCCACCCCCCTCCTCGATTCAACATACATAGCCGGTTGCACATATTAGACCATTTCATATGTGTTTGTTTTTTGTCATAAACTGGATATAGAAAAATAACAGTTTTTGATTGAAATTGCTGTGAGGATAAAGAGATTAAAGATCTTTATCTTGTTTCATTTCATTATTGAACATTTACCTGATAAAGATGAAGAAAATGATGTTGAAATCTTAGGTGGTTCAATATACCTAGGCAAATTATTCATGCACCAAATCTTCTGTAAAGCCAGATGAAAAAATTTGCACAAAGTTTTAACTCTACTTCTGTACCCTTTAGGCACTCTTCTCTATATTAAAGATGCTGGCTGTTCTTACTGTAATAGTTTAAAGATAGAAAATGAGAAGTGAATATATTGAAAATTCAGACAAATTATTTTATTCTGAGCAAATAGTCTGGATTGTCAAGCACCAATACCATTGCCACGATGCCAAGTCGTTCATTCTGCAGTTTCTGTGAATAATGTTTATATTGATGTTGAACAAAGATATGACTGACAGTGACATTGTCTAATCCACTCAATATCTATGCCACCCGATGGTCTAGAAACTCTAATATGGGCTTGTCATGTGAATAGATGTCTAAATAATAACAATCTGATTAAAACACAGATCCTATTTCGTTTCGTTTTTTATATTTCAAAATTTCGTTTTAACTTGTCTTTACTACACTAGGATCTGGAAGAGTTGGTATATAACCCGTGTAGCCGTGTTCTGAATGACGTGAGGGATTAGCCAATGAAACGGTCTGTTACGGCGAGTGTTTGGCGTGAGCTGCACGGAACTTAGGGTAAACCACTAGAAGCGTCAAAGCTGATTGATTAATCAATGTCTGACGTCATAAGGTCAAAAGCTGCTCGTATGGCACCTGACACGACCTTCTACTAAAACTGATCAGATCTTCATGTAGTGTAGGCCATCGAAAGTAAAAAAAAATGAAATGAAATATAAATCTGTATTTTAATCAGACTGAAATGATAATTTATATCTATAGGCAGATTTAGCTCTTATATAGTGCATCTTTAAATGACTGTATATATGCTTGCACTTATCATACATTTTTATTTATTCCAGTGGTAGTAGTCGTAATTGGGGTTGGGCATCTGGTGGATGTTCTATATTATCAGAATTTGGTTCTTTACATTTAGAATATTCATATTTATCTCAAATTACTGGCGATAAAATCTATATGGATAAGGTATGTATAAACCAACATGGCTGATTGATCAACCTTTAATCATGGTTGTTTACATTATGGATTGATAATAGGAACAGGACATGAACTGCACTTAAATCATTTTAAGTCTCTTGTAAATAATATTAATTTCCATGTTTATAGAGCTTAAATGTTCTGTAATAACCACTCAACCTTGGCTTAGTTCCAAACAAAGTAAAGTAAAATTGATAAAACATTAGTGGTTTCGAATCACCTGTTGTATGTGGCAAGGAGTAGGGTCGCCTGTCCAACCTTGTGGGTTTTCTCCGGGTCCTCCGGTTTCCTCCCACTGCTAAAGACCCCTACGCGCAAGCGAATTATTGAAATAAAATTAAACCATATGTTAGTCCTGAAATGACCTAGTTTGTGTCGAGTGGACGTTAAACCCCATTTTTCTCTCTCTCTCGTGAGGAAATAACTTAATTCATTTACTTATTATGTTACAGGTGATGAAAATTCGTAACTTTATACAAAATATTGAAAAACCACAAGGTTTATACCCAAATTATTTAAATCCTAGAACTGGTAAATGGTGTCAAAGTAAGTATTTTCAAGTAATATAGATGATGATATACAAAGGGATTACTAATACAACAGATATTTTCACATATAACCAAATCTCAGTGAAGACCAGGGCACACCATGGATTGTCTCTTGTAATCCTTGAGTGGCATTTAGTGATTGAACACAGTGAATGACACAACACAATTTATATGAAAAACATTCATTGGATAATACACTTCTGTGCTTGATAAAGATAAGAGAACTCTTGTCGAAACGTCATGCTACAAACCAGTGATTCTTTACCATATAAATCATGTGTTTTTTTATTATATGTTGACGATGACTAATTTGCAAAATTGGCTGAGAGATTATACCACCAACCATCAGATTTAATATTAATAGATTTATTTCAGACTGTATACTTTCATACCAAGGACTGGTCATGTCCATTTTTGTAGTTTGATGACAAGTTAAATCACAGTGAACTCTTAAAAAAACCACATAAAAGTAGTACCAGTATGTGCATGAAACGAAGTTGATTCAGGGGCTAAGTGAGAGGGATGCAGTGGCAAGCTTTGCGTCATGGTTTGAGTTTTGTGGCCCCTTGCAAATCGCAAAAAATAACGTTGTTTCAATGCAGTTTTCAACATTATAATCATAATGCTCAATCTGTGTCAAACATATACCATGGGTCAGATATGCTACAGATCGACAGGGGGCTAAGTGAGAGGGATGCAGTAACAAGCTTTGTGTCATGGTTTTGAGTTTTTGCTTCCCCTCACAAATGACAAAAAATCATGCGGTTTCAACATTATAATCATAATCATAATGCTCAACCAGTGTCAAACATGTACCGTGGGTCAGATATGCTACAAATCGACTGTAGCATGTTCCACTGGCTGCACTGGGAGCCCCCCCCCCCCTGCACTAACATATAAATATTGTTTTTTTGGGCCCGGACGGGATCTTATTCCTCATGCAAAGTCATGAGTCTCTACGCCCCTTGGAGAGAGAGAGAGAGAGATGGGGTTTAACGTCCACTCGACACAAACTAGGTCATTTCGGGACTAACATATGGTTTAATTTTATTTACATAATTCGCTTGCGCGTAGGGGTCTTTAGCAGTGGTAGGAAACCGGAGGACCCGGAGAAAACTCACGAGGTTGGACAGGCGACCCTAACGCCCCTTGGTTGATTATATATGTAATCATTGTGCTTGATAATGATACGTGTTAAAATGTTGTGCAATAGAACTTGTGATTGTTCCCCATAAATATTGTATTAAACATACATTATGCATGAGCTAAATTTGCCTATTGGTCTTTTTTTAGGCCTGAAATGTTTTCTAAATTATTAATTAATTTCTCTGATATTAAATAGATTAGAACAGTTCAGCCATATTTTGATTTAAGCTAAAAATGGAGAAGCGAGACTTAACTCTGAACAACCAGTACGGTGGTTGAAATTATTGCACACGTCTTGTCAAGTTGTTAAAGGCTAGTATCGCAATAAAGTAATTTGAATGAAATTTTCAAATTATTCATGTTACATTATCTATTTTCGAACTATTATAGCAAAAATGGCTAGCTCTTTATCTAAATCTTTAGATAAGATTTAGATACATTATGTAAGATTTAGATAAAGAGCTGAATGAAAAAATGGATCTATTGAAAATTTCAATCAAATTACTTTATTCTGGGTTATGTTATGACTGTCTGAAGATGTAGTGTAGATTGTTTATTATCATAGCAATGGTACTTGACAACTGAGACTAAGCCTCAATTATCCATTTTTTTAATCTCGGGGGGGCGTTCAAATCCATTTAAATCTTGACCATCCGTGTGAATTAATGTCCAAATAATAATTTATATAAGATTTAAAGCCAGAAAAATGACCTGCAATAGGTAGATTTAGCTCTTGCAAAGTGTATCTTTAATGATTATATATATACATGTACAGTACAAGGCCCATAATATCTACACAAATCTTTAAACACACTTACATAGGTACTTGTATGTAGTAGTTATTAGCACCCTTTCCGAGGTGTATCGGTGAATATCAGGACAGTTTTGGTCGAGGGGCCCAGCCGAGGTGGAGCCGTGGCGGCTCCCGACCAAAACTGTCCTGATATTCACCGATACACCGAGGAAAGGTGCTAATAAGTTACTTACATCACATTTCTATCGAGTATTGTGAAGCAAAATGTGAAAAATAGTATTTATTATCGAGTCGTTTCAACCGAAAAGTGACAAATACTTTCTGCTCTTTCATTATTTATCCCTTTATGAGCCTCACATTACATTTCATGGTAGAATGATTTCGCAGTGGAGAGACGACCTGAGTAGTATTTACACGTGCGTCTTGCTATGATACTCGGAGCGTAAAACATTCACGTGTTTGTTTAGGCCACATCGTCAAAACAAACTTGTCTATGGCGTAGAGGACTGCGATATTATTAAATGTAGTGTAAAGGAAATGCGAAACGTGGGTCATTCCTGGTGAAAGTATGCATCGGCGGATGGTTCTTCCGTTGAAATTTATTTGTAATAAAGTTTATGACTTTCTAGGCGTTTTTTTTTCATCCTGCTTATTTTCAATGCCTGTGAAGTGTCCAGCAAGAGAACTGCGCCTTCTATCATCACAATTAATTAAAATAATTATTCAATATTCTAATTTATATATTTTGCATATTAATATAAATCAAACCAAATTATGAAATAGATGCCAATTGGTATGTATAATAATTGATTTTTGTAATATGTTGTTATGTTAATTTAATGTCATTGTATATGTTTTTGAACTGCCATGTAGTTCCCCCCATTTTGTTTTGTTACTATGATTTTGACTAGTCGTTACGTGGACATTGTACAGAGCCGTCGTTATCAATTGCGATCTGGGTCAGACTAAACGTCCGCTATTTATTGCTTGAAAGTAGCTTGATAGGTATCTAAAACGGTATAAAAGTATCCGTGTATCAGAAATGAACAGTACTCTTTCTGAACATTTCTGATACACGGATACTTTTCTGCATGTACTGCAATTAAACAGGACAGTTTTATCAAAGGTTGCCAGTGGCAACGAGTAGAAGTGGGATGTAAAAAATGTAACAGCTTGTTATAAGCTGTTATTAATAAGTAGATTAATATATATATATGTGTACTGTTAATATTTTAAATAATCCACAGCTTCCAATTTTTGTCACATACTTTTACTCTGTTGATTAGAAAGACGACGTTTTAAAATTAATGTTCCTGAAAAGCTATGGTTCCATTGCTAAATGTAAGGCTTGTAAAATTAAAAAATCGTGGGAAAGTCTAAATGTCCACATTTAGTCTAGACTTATGTCATCACACAGATTCCCCTGAAAGGGCGTATGACTCTATTTTTTTAAATCTTAAAATAGACAAAAATGGTTCTAAAAGCACATATGAATGTAATATGAATGTATGTAAAGTGATTTATATTCAATTTTTGAAAAAAATATTGTAATTTCTAATCAGTTAAGTTCGGTGAAATACATGTATGTTAAGAGTTCAAATTGAACAGCAGTTGTTTTCGCCTTAGTCGATTCCACTCATTTATTAAATTTTGAGTTTGTCGTTTGTGAATCAGCCTTTACTAATACTTCCACATTGTGTTGTAGGATATGTTTTTATTTGTTCATTACAAAATGGCACCCGAAACCATAGAATACACGACTTGTGTACTGATTATAAAATGTTAATTGCATCTTAAATATTGGATATTAGGATCTTATAGTTTCACGACAAGATAACATCAATAAGGATTGAAATTGATCAATATTAAATTCTAATTTGTGTTTTTAATTACGAATATTATGGAAAATGGGGTTTAAACGTCCTACCTTTTTGCACAGATTGGACTAATAAAGACGGGCATATGCCATACAGTAGCTATGAGGAAATTTTGTCCAGGCAGCGGCACTACAACATATGTAGAATTCTAACTGTCAAGGGTTCTCCAACTTCGTGGGTTTTCTCCGGGTCCTCCGGTTTCCTCCCACTGCTAAAGTCCCCTACCATATGTTAGTCCCGAAATGACCTAATCTGTGTTGAGTGGACGTTAAACCCCATTTCTCTCTCTCAATGTCAAGGGTTCTTTTAGGTGCACACTAACGTGTACACAGTACCACAATTTTTTCATGCTATCCGAGTGACTATGCATTGTCCCTACACACGGGTATAACTGTACATGGAAGAAGATACTCATTAAATTAAGTAGGTCTACTTAAAATAAGATGTACTGATAGATTATGTTTCATTTGATTGACATTCCAGTGTAAGGAAAAAGAATAATTAAGTGTAATGAAATTGTAATGCAGAATATTTTATCATTTACAGCTCATGTATCTATGGGTGCTCTAGGAGATAGTTTCTATGAATATCTATTAAAAACATGGTTATTAACAGGAAAAACAGATAAAGATGCTAGAACTATGTATGATGGAGCCATACAGGTAAAGTTATTACTGATAACTGTTGTAATAAATATACTATTATAAATAAATGTCGTACAATATGATTATAGTTAGTCAGCATCAACCTTTGTTACTATGGCGATGAGGTGCAAAAGGTGTATAAAGCTACGATGCATCATTTACATTTTTTGCTAAAATATCAAATTTCTCATGGCTTAATTCTTTTTATATGTACTCAGATGGATTAATTAAGATCATTAAATCAAAATACCAACGCTAGATAATCTCCTGGCTTGGATTAAATATGATTTCAACTCTGCTACCAATAAAAGAGGAACATAGATGGATGAACTTTCAATTAGTGCTAAATAACAAATCATGTATTTAAAGGTACAATGACACTCTTGCTGGCTTGACAGCTCCAGAAAATAAAAAATAGCCTTATTCTAAGTACCAGATATGTTAGTGTCCTCATAGGCGTACGTGGAAATTTTTGACTGGGGGGCATTGGTGGTTTGTGCCCAAAAAATGTAGTTAGGTTCTTAGTATGTTACATAATAATAATAAATTCACTGTTAAATTGGACACATTCAAGAACACAATATTTTTTTTATACAACTTTTACAAAGTACAATTGTGTGCCCAAATTTTCCCAGCATTTGGTGCCCAAAATGGGGGGGGGGGGCAGTCGCCAGCCCCCCCCCCCCCCCAGCTCGTACGGCTATGAGTGTCCTACCTGTTGTGTAAATTATCCATTAAATCCTATTTTACTTGTCCAAAGGGTTCAAAAATATTTTTAAATCCAAGTCACATTTGAAAAGCTTTACGTCAGGCTTTTCAAATCATTTAGTTGAATTTTTCCAATTTTTTAAATTAGGTGTGTTAAGATGAAATTTGTATCATCAATTAATTGGAATACTGTAAAATAGTACAATTTGTTGACCAGAATAAAGATTGGGACATATTATTCAGTTACAACAAGAGTGGTATTGAGCCTTTAAGTATTATTAAAGCAGAATAGTTGTTATGTTTTTGATAGGAAATGTATTGGTACAAAACTTATCCAAATTGATCAGTCCAAACATAGACTGTAGTCATTTGAGGTTTACATTAGTTTCTGTTGCCACCATCTAATCTTTATACCACAGTTTTATTATACTGTCATAAGAATTGTTTATAAACAGTTCTTATGTGCCTCATGGGTAAGGGGGGGTTGGATGGCCGAAGGGTTAGCATGGTTTCGAATCCCTGGTTGTATGTGACAAGGAGTAGGGTCGCCTGTCCTACTTCGTGGGTTTTCTCCGGGTCCTCCGGTTTCCTCCACTGCTAAAGACCCCTACGTGCATGTGAATTATTGAAATAAAATTAAAATCATATGTTAGTCCCGAATTGACCTAGTTTGTGTTGAGTGGACTTTAAACCCCATTTCTTTCTCCTCTCTCGCCTCATGGGTAAAGAAAATGGATACTATGATACAAAACAACTGTTGTATGGCTTTAACCTTAATGTGTTTTATTTGAATTACTGTACAAAAACTTTTCTTCTTTTTTTTCAGGCTATGGAGGATAAAATGTTACAAACTTCAAAAGATGGTCTTAAATATTTTGCAGAGTATAAATCAGGAAGATTAGAACATAAAATGGATCATCTTGCCTGCTTTTCAGGTAGATCTATAATCGTTGTACACTCTTACAGTTAGTTCACAGTGTTACTGTATATCTGTAATAGAACTACAGTAAAGTTTGCATAAGTCGGATCTAAGTGGACTGGCCAATTTTATTCGAGTTAAGCGAAGATCCAAGTTAGCCGAAGACCGAAATTCAATCTTAGCCCGATTAAAAATAAACTGCAAGAGCCGGATAATAATTAATTCAAAGGCACATTTCAAGCTTTTGTTCGTGTGTGCGAGTAGATAACTTCCGTTTTGGCCCGGAAAGTGTCTCGTCGCATGAAATAGGCTGATTTGAGTCAAAATGATGGGGGAAGTATTTTGGGGCTCTGTGCATGGAATACCTAACCGCGTTTTAGACCATGGGTACGGAACTGGCTTAGTCAAATTCTGAACATACAGTCGATCCGACTTAAGCAAAGGAAAAAAAGACAGAATTAGATCAAATGGACCGAACATTTTGATCCGAGTTGAGCAAGCTCTGACTTAGGAAATTCGACTTAGGCGCAGAAATTTAATAAGAAAAACAAGCAGGATCAATTAAAGGGTCCAAATGATTTTGTCCGAATTGAGCAAAGATCCGACTTATACGAATCTGACTTATGCTAGGTTTACTGTATATATGTATAAATGTTCAAATTGTATAGGGGGTTGGATGGCTGAATGGTTAGCACGTGCGTGCTGTATCATTAAGTCTGTCATTGAGTCAACTGGCGTGGTTTCGAATCCCCGGTTGTACGTGACAAGGAGTAGGGTCGCCTGTCCAACCTCGTGGGTTTTCTCCAGGTCCTCCGGTTTCCTCCCACTGCTAAAGACCCCTACGCACAAGCGAATTATGGAAATAAAATTGAACCATATGTTAGTCCCGAAATGACCTAGTTTGTATCGAGTGGGCGTTAAACCCGTATTTCTCTCTTTTTCTCTCTCAAATTGTATATATACAATGAGAACTTTAAACTTTTGCTACAAAATATTTTATTCCTATATATTTTTGTTAATTTGGATATAGTTCATAAACTACACAGTCCAAATGAGAAAGTAAATTTTTTTTTTTTATCCAGGTGGAATGATGGCTTTGGGAGCTAATGGTTCATCAAATCCTACTAAATATTTACACCTTGGCGCTGAAATAGCCAGAACATGTCATGAGTCATATGACAGATCAGGTCAGTCAAAAATATACCCAAATTATTGTGTATTGAATGGAAGTTATGTACCAAATAACAGAAGATTTATTTTATATGAATACATTTAATGGCATGATTAAAAGAAAACTTATAATATAAACCCCTGGCAAAAAAAGTAATTCTATACTTAGACCAGTACAGACGGACAATGTCGGACATGAATTACTGAAGAAGGACACCTTTTGTCCGATACGTCTATTCAATAAACCTGTTTATTCTAACCATGGAGTTCGTCAAATCTACACTGGTTACAGGGGTTGCATCTCGTTATATATCGTCTTCTTCCTGAATCCATTACAGTAGAATTTGCATTAAGCAGCCACCCAAGGGAATTTTCACGACTGACCGCTTACTACTACTGTCTACCATTGTGATGCATTCGATAATATTTATCCATATTTGTGAAGAAAAACGATGAATTAATTTTATCTTATCAAAAAAGCGCATGAACAAAAAAACATTGTTGTATGTAACAAGGAGTATAACCTCTTCGGGTTTCTATGGGTCCTCCAGTTTCTTCCCACTACTAAAGACTTCTACGTGCAAGCAAATTATTGAAATAAAATAGAACCATATGTTAGTCCCGAAATGACCTAGTTTGTGTGGAGTGGACATTAAACCTCTCTCTTTCTCTAACTCTATCTCTCTCTCTCTTTTGGCTGAAATATGCTGTTTTTTTATGATGTCAAAGGCTATGACGTCATGATGTGTACAGGGTAGTTCGGAGTTCTCACACAACAATTGACTTTTAGTGTTCTACTACCAGACATTCTTTCATAAATTATCAACACAACACTCAATACGTGTGCATTGTTCTGTACAGGTTGTAGAATTTTATAGTTACATAGCGGAGGCCGATCGTAGTCTTGACATTTTTAAAAAATGTGCTATTTTTCCGGTGTGTAAAATGACCAATGGGTCAGATCTAGTTTTGGTCATTTTCCATAGCCCTTGGTCTCGACCGGCATATATGGCCAACATGGAACCCATACTTTAAACACAGTTGATTTATATTATTTAAATGTTCTTTTTATTTTCCTTTTAGCAACGAAATTGGGACCTGAAGCATTTCGTTTTGATGATTCAACACAAGCCAAAGCAACGAGACAGAATGAAAAATATTATATCTTACGCCCAGAAGTAATAGAAACATATTTCTATATGTGGCGTTTAACCAAAGAGCAAAAATACAGAGACTGGGCTTGGGAAGCTGTACAGGTACTGTACCATTGATTTTGTAGATATGTATTTGAGAAAAAATATTCTGCTGATTCAACTTTAAATGCTCAATACCACTCTTGTTGTAACTGAATAATATGTCCCAATCTTTATTCTGGTCAACAAATTGTACTATTTTGGAATATTTCAATTAATTAATGATACAAATTTCATCTTAACACACCTTATTTAAAAATTTTGAAAAATTCAACATTATGGTTTGAAACGTCTAACGTAAACCTTTTCAAATGAAACTTGGATTTAAAAATATTTTCGAACCCTCTGGACAAGTAAAATAGGATGTAATGGATAATTTACACAACAGTTAGGACACTTAAACATCTAGTACTAAGATAGAGATATTATTTATTTTCTGGAGCTTTCAAGCCAGCAAGAGTGTTATTGTCCCTTTAAAATTTGAAATTTTTTCAATGAGTTGACAGCTAACAGCTGCTTTATTGGAATTAAACACTTAAACATTTAATGATATGAGTAGCATTTCTTAAATAAGATCTGGGTAAATTGAAGCAGATTCCGAAATTTTGTTATTACGGGTGCCCAACTGTTAGTGATTATAGCAAGAAGATAAGTACAACTGATGTTTTAAATTACGAGAAATCCTGCCATTTTTTAATGGTTTATTAAAAAGTATGTTTAAAGTGCACGTAAGAACAGATTTGTATGAAGTTTGAAATGTTGCACATTTTCAAATGTAAAAAGTTTGAGCAATAAATTTTGTCGGATTTCAACATCTAAATGATATTCAAAATTTATACTAAAGGAAGTTTGAATTGTTGCACATTTTCAAATGTAAAAAGTTTGAGCAATAAATTTAGTCCGATTTCAACATCTAAATGGTATTCAAACACTAGGGACCGGGTATCATTCAGATTTGATGAAAAAAGGAAAGAAACTGAGCTTACCATCTATAACCTAATACACATATTCAATTAATAGATTGCCATGCAGAAAGTATCAAATAACGCCCAGTTTGTGCTACCGTTTTGTTTAAGAAACACCATTTAGTTTTGACATCGATCATCTAGTTTATGACCATTTAGTTTAGTTTTGATATTGGTCATCCAGTTTATGACCATTTCGTTTCATAAACTAGACAACCGATGTCAAACTAAACGGTAGCACAAACTGGACGTTTTTTGATGAATCTTGATGGTATTTAACACTTTCTGGATGGCAATCTATTAACTGAATATGTGTATTAGATTATAGATGGTAAGCTCAATTTCTTTCCTTTTTTCATCAAATCTGAATGATACCCGGTCCCTAGTGAAAACTTCTATTAAAAATGTGAAAAACAATTACAAGAGAGTAATGAAATGAAAGGGGGTTTAACTGTTCTAACACCAACACAGCTAATGAAAACAGGTTATAGGAGACAGACAAAGTTATCAGCGCGCTATTTGACCTACTGTATGGAAGTCTATTTTGAGCAATTATTACTAAACCAAGCCTGGAAATAAGGCACCTGTCACAGACAAATTGAGACTTTGTCAGACACAAAACTTCTGCCACCTGTCATTTTGTCCGGCACTGATTTGTCTTTTTTATTGATATTATTAATACATGTCTGGCACTAAGTTGAAAATGTCAGATACTATTTAATTAGTGCTGGACATTTTGTCAGGTACATCTAAAACCGTTATTTCCAGGCCTGATTATTATGTATTTATTATTGCAGGCTTTAGAGAAGTGGTGTAGAGTAGAAAGTGGTTATACAGGAATACGAGATGTTTATCAATTAAATCCTAATAAAGATGATGTTCAACAAAGTTTCTTTTTAGCAGAGACATTAAAGTATCTATATTTAATTTTTTCTGAAGATTCGGTCATACCTCTACATAAATGGGTTTTTAATACAGAAGCACATCCATTACCTATCAAGTCATAAAGTCAATACCAATTTTAGAATATACACACACTATACATGTAAACATGTAAATATTATTAATTGTCATATTTTTAATTTATCTGTTACACAAAATTTATATTATTATTTGTTCAACTGTATTGTATATAAATATATATGTAAACTTTAACTTGTTCTGTCTATAAAAATATTGATTTTTTATTAAATATACAAAACCTAGTTATTTTTTTTACTAGTCATATTATAATTGGTAAACAATGGTTTGAGTTCAATAACAAATTGAACTTTAGATGAGCAAGATTTACCTTAATATTGATAAATTGTCAATCTGGTTAAAACACAGCTCCTATTTCGTTTCATTTTTATAGTTCAAAATTTCGTTTTACTTGTCTTTACTACACCAGGATCTGGAAGAGTTGTTATCATTGATATGTTCCGAATGATGTGAGGAATTGGCCAATGAAAAGGTCTGTTACGGCAAGCTTTAGGCATGTTTTGCAGTAACATCAATGCTGATTGGTTAATCAAATGTCTGACGTCCTAGGGTCAAAAGCCGCTCTTGTGACCTCTGACGTGACCTTCTAGTACAACCAGTCAGATCTTCATGTAGTGTAGGCCTTCAAAGGTATAAAAAAATGAAACGAAATATAGATCTGTATTTTTATCAGATTGATAAATTGTAATATTGTTTAAATAAAAGAGATTTTTGGTAAGACATTGTGTGAAAGTCTATATTTGCCTTTTAGTCTGGAATTTTACGGATTTCAGATCTCTGGGTGTGATTTGAGCGATATAGGAATCCCTTGCAAGCCCTGGTTAAAAGTGAATCTTTAATAGTCCAAAAATGGTTCAATCCCCATTCTGTATTTACAAAGATATGATAAACTAAAATTACATTGATTTATGCTGCTCGCTATGTAAATAATCCCAACACCACATCTTCGTGTTTCTCAGGATCTAATTGATGGGCCTGTTTTTAATCTGATTGAATCCAAGGCGGGAGTTCATCTAGCATTGAGCGGGGTTGGATGGCTGAATGGTTAGCACGTCCACACTGAATCATAAGGTTTGTCACTGAGTCAACTGGTATGGTTTCGATTCCCCGTTTGTACAACACAAGGAGTAAGGTCGCCTGTCCTACCTCGTGGGTCTCCTCCCACTGAAGAAGACCCTACGCACAAGCAAATTATTGAAATAAAATAGAACCATATGTTAGTCCCAAAATGACCTTGTTTGTGTCGTGGATGTTAAACCCCATTTCTCTCTCTCTCTCTCTTTATGTTTCGCGAGATCTAATTGATGGGCCTGTTTTTAATCCAATTGAATCCAATTCGGGAGTTGATCTAGCATTGATATTTTGATTTTGTTTTTCTTGATTCAATATTAAATAATCAATTTTAGTACATATTAAGCCTGAGAAATTTCATATTGTCCGAAAATTTACAATTACAAACATGCTATCTATACTAATATTTGTGACTGTCGTTTGTCTGTCTGTCTGTTTGTTTGTCTGTCTGTCTGTCTGTTCGGGGTTGGCGGCTACACTAGGTCTGCCCCGAGTCTGAAATTTGGGGTATAGGGGTAGCTCGGACCGGGGAGTAACATAGGCCAGGTGGCGTTAGTCTACCACTTCCGGTTTCAGAGTTATGACCCCTGAGCGAAGCTGGGCATTCTGCTAGTAAACTATAACACATACTTATGGAAAAACAGCTACTTATTTATTTGGGTGATGTTTCGAAGAGTATTCTCTCAATGTTGTCAAGCTAATACAGTAATACAAAAGTATGCTGTTTGCTGTACTTATTTTTTATCAGAGAAATGTTGTTATGGCTACATTTAAATGTAATTATATATTTAGCTTATATCTGTAACATTTTAATATCTGACTGATGAATCTTATTTCAGATATTTTAAATTCATTTAAAGTCAAAAATATTCCTTCTTGATTTATTATTTTGAAATAGATAAGGGGTGGGTTTGTGTTATATTGTTACAATTAGTCAAATCTGCAGATCAAAACTTGTACTTATGTTAAAGTCCTGATGCGTCATTTAGTGATATAGGGATAACTTGCAAACTACAATATTGTGAAAGATGAATCTCTAATAGGAATATCAGTCAAAAAATGGTTAAATTCCATTAAGTGTGTACAAAGTTATGACGCTGCCATCTTTGATTGGAAGCTGAGAAACCTGATGGGTCAAGTTGAAATCATATTGAATCCAAGCCAGGAGATTATCTAGCGTTGGTATTTTGATTTAATGATCTTAATTAATACATCTGAGTACATATTAGCAAGAATTAAGCCATGAGAAATTTGATATTTTAGCCAAAAATGTAAATGATGCATCGTGCCTTTAATTATACACCTACTGCAGCTCATCGCCATAGTAACAAAGGTTGATGCTGACTTATTGTAATCATTTATTTATAGTAGTATATTATCAGATACGAGGAATTGAAATTTCATCGATCTATGCAGTTCTGTATCACCATTTTGTTGTCCCCCAAAATTTAATAATAGGCATGTTTTAAATGCGATTGAATCCAAGCAGGGACATGATCTAGCTTTGATATTTTGATTTTGTTTTTATGATTAAATGTTAAATAATAAATCTGAGTACATAGTGTTGATTAAGCCATGAGAAATTTTATATTTAAATGAAATATGCAAATGGGGCATCGTTACTTTAAATCACTCAACAAAATAATCTTTCCAGCCTATATTTGGTTTGTTTGGTGGATATGGTTCTGATATTTTACACTGCACAAGATGTAGAGTAAAACTGAGTCTGGTAAAATATAAAAAAGAAAGAAAAGAAATAATTGAAAAAAAAAAACCAGTTTGATCAGAACTTGTTAAGCGTCCCATACACGCACAAACTTTTTCATCAATAGTATTGACCAACGTGTTCAATATATATTGTGCAATATTTAGTTTGAGCCCAACTGTTACAAGGGACGGACCAACTGGGTTGGCTGTTGCGCTAGCCTTATAGATGGATTAAGCAAAAAATATCTATGTAGAACAGCTCCATCAATATATTGACATCAATACTTTTAGACCGTCAATATCACCCCCATACACAATCAAAAACATGTCAAATAATTTGACGTCAATACTATTGATGAAAAAATTGGGCGTAATACAAGGACTTTCAACTCTTGTGTGTTAACTTCACACACAATGCATCCCCTTTTGGTTGAATCAAAAATCCAATCTTCATTTGCCCAGTGTAGGTGCAGAACAATAAAATTTCTTTAAAGAATTAGCAAGCCTAATGACAAATCATTGTTACTAAGCCAGTTTTACACAGATCATAATATACCCTTTAGCAAGCTGCGTGCTGCCTTTAAATAAAATTGTTGATTTCATTGGATTTTTTGTGTTGATTTGTTTTGTGGCATGGCAACCGTCTTTGTTGAAAATATTTTATGTCTATAGACAAAGCCAGTGTTGAGATATCCCTGATTTTGTCTTCCAGTGAAATGAAATGGAAAGCGGGGGGGGGGGAATCTACTTTTCTACACTGACTGGGATGTCATACCCGATACAGTGTGCTACAAGGGAAATTTGGCTTGGACAGCGGTGCTACGATCTACTCTTATTTCAAATGTCAAGCTTCATTTACTTGCACGCCAATGTCTACACGGAACCCCGGTTTTCTTTCCCATCCAAATAACTAGACAGGCCCTCCCTCCATTGACAATGATGAGGGAAAACCATGCCGGAAAAATCAAGAGGAATTTTCTAGGCCAACACCAGGGGCTAACCTAAGACCGGGTTAGCAAGCCACTATTGTAGTTACAGAGCCACAGTAGCTAACTGCCTTCTAGTGACAATACTGCCAAAATTTAAACTAAAATTAGTAAACAAGTCGACTTATGCTTAATTGAATACAGATTTCCCCATCACTAATCGAATTAACACATCAGATAAACCAAATTCAATACTTTATTTTGACTTGAATCAGAGGTTTAGCTCCTTTTAAGCACAAAGTATATGTACTATCTCATCTCATAACAGCAGGTAAGTTAATAGCACTTAAAGTTACAATTTCATATTTTTAAAATGTATTAAAATAAAGCCCTAAAATAGATGGTATCTATAAACAGTCCTACCTTGTTAAAGAATAATCCTATTAATCCTATAATTCACTATTGCCAGTTGAGAAATTGGCAAAAATATCATTTTCAACTTCAAATTCAAACATTTGAAGATAGCTATTCCATAGTGGAGAATAGGAAAACAAGGGAGGTAATTGTGTTATTATTTCCGGTGTGAAGATTTTTAAGTGTGAGAAAGATAACCTATGATCGTATAATAGTGAGTTCACAAGCTATTGAGCAAAAGACATAGAAATAATTATGTTTTGACTTTCTTAGAAAATATGAAATTGTAGTTCTTGTGTTCTATGATGTTGCTAAGAGAATACTATTTGTCCGGGGCTGACAAGGAAAGCTGTCTAGTCGTTTGGATGGGACGAAAAACCGAGGTCCTGTGTACACATTGGCATGCACGTAAAAGATCCCTTGGCAGTTGGAATTCGATATAAGAGTAGGCCGTAGTCCCGCTGTCCGGGCCCAATTTTCCCTCATAGCACACTGTATGGCGTATGCCCGTATGCCCGTCTTCATTAGCCCAGGTTAGGAGCAGAACAGTAGGACGTTAAACCTCATTTCATTTCACTATTTGTCCATGTATGGTACTGTAACTAGTTTCAAGTTAAATTGTTTCAATGACATTTAGTAATTGAACTGGAATATACAGGTCACAATTCTATGGAATACAATTCTCAAGTTAGGCAAATGGGAAAAGGAAATCTCACAAGATTTGGTCTCAAGTTAGGCGATTGGAAAATCTCACAAAATCAATCACCATGATGTACAACAGTACTACTACTGTTTATGAAATTGTCCAAATAATTCTTCTCCAGTACGTAACTATTTATTTACATCAAAATGTCTTATAATAAATAGATTAAATCACAGATATTCAAACTAATCTACTTTCAACAAACACAATTATCTAATACATTCATTAATTACACAGAGATAATTAGCATCTGTAAAAATATTTCTAAACAGGCTGGCAAACTAATTACACCAATAATATATTTTCAATATATATGAATTGACTTTTTAGACGGAAGTTATCATTTCACAGTCTGACCCTTTATCGTCTTCGTTGTTAGTTCTCTTTTTAAGAGATCGTAAATAATGCGACTTTTTTCTAGAATCTTTGTCCTACAAGCAGAAATACCAAATAATAAATTAAATTTGCTTTCATTAATAAACAAATTAGTCTCATAACATAATGACTATTGGGGCAAAATTTAAATATTGGCCATTCATAGTTTATTTAGTGATAGTCCAACTTCATCTCAATTTTCTTTATGTTGAATTCAAAAAACAAATTTGTCTACTCTCAATCTAGTTATGCATTTGTTGTGTGTAGAATTTGTTGCTCAATGGTGACCAAGCAAAACAAGTATATTGTGCTCTTTTATTTATTTTTAAAAAAATTATCAAATTGAGATCTCAGTAATGATTAATTTACTTTCGTTAAAATTATAAATGATGTCTGAATGGTACCTTATCCAGTAGACAACTGGAAACACTGGAATCCAAGGAATGTTCATCAGGAAAATCATAGCCTTGTAGCACTAATGTCTGCTTTTTCTTTTGACTTTTAAACACCTCTCTAATCTGTAATATTAAACAGTTTCAATTTTTATTAATACATCATCATCTATCACCATCAATTTTAAGTGCTGTTATTTAACAGACTTTGCTGCACTTTTTGTCAATATATGGTTATTTAATTGGTTTGGTTTAATAACATATTCAACATTTCTCATGTTTGTTTTCTCTCTCAGTCAGTCAATCCTGGGAACATTATCATTTAAGATCTGTTATGGTTATTTCCATTATTTGAAAACATGTAAGTATGATGCACATGTAAGTATGATAATAGTCATTCTGATTTTAAGATTTGTCAATGACACCCTGAATGTGTATAATACAGGAGCACTGTCTGAAAAATCTATATTCACCTCTTCATGAAGTAACAGATAAAACACCATGAAAAATGCTCCCTGAAATAAAAAAAACAGATTGAACATGATGCAATTATTCCTTGTTAGCATATGACCCAATTATGACGGGGTATCGGGTTCAAAATGCAATCTAGAGTAAAAAGCAGAAAGTCAACAGTAAAAAGTAGAAAATCTAAAGTAAACGGGAAAATTCTTATCTAAAAGGGTATTTTTATGGTGAAAACCTATAAATTTATGTACTTTGTCTGCAAGATTCCGCTTGCCAAAAGTCTCTAATATCCAAGTCTACTTTGATGTATGCTCTCACTAATACTGTCGTTATGTCGTGTTGACGGGTTATGAAAATGGCGAAAAATTACATGGTCACTATCAGCCACCATAGTATTGGAGAAAATCTGCGTTAGAAAATCGTGAGTTGAAAATCTGAAGTGGAAAGTCGAGTGTTAAAAGTTGACAGTAGAAAGCGGAAAGTCAAAAGTTGATAATAGAAAGTAGAAATTATGTCCATGAAAGTTGAAAAGCTTGATGTTTCTGCAGACAAAGTACATAAATTTATAGGTTTTCACCATAAAAATACCCTTTTAGATAAGAATTTTCCCGTTTACTTTAGATTTTTCTACTTTTTACTGTTGACTTTCTGCTTTTCACTCTAGATTGCATTTTGAAACCGATACCCCGCCATACCCAATAGGGAAGATTGTCTTATACTTGACATATTTAGTTATATTCATTTGTCAAATATGATAAAAAAAATATGTTTTCAGATATAATTTAATTAGTGCAGAAATTCAATAATTTTGGCTACAAGTAATCTGCTTTTTAAAACTAAGATGTACAAACTAGGAGAAGAAAGGATCAACTTTAAAATCTTATCGTTAACCTATTGATCGATAAACAAAATCTAGTATCATTGTATCAACCTAAACGATCATTAAGATCAGAAGGGAAACTATTGTTGGATGTACCTGCCTATAATTTGAAATCATTTGGATCTAGAACTTTTCGATACAGCGCATCAATTGTTTGGAATACACTGTCAGTTTTTAAATCCAAAGTGAAAACTTGGTTTAGTTACTGTCATTAACACTCTAAAGTGAGAACATTTTCTAGCACCTAGTGCATTCCCTAGTGGATTGAATAGTTGCAAGATACAAATATCATTATTATTATTTGTTATGATAAATGGATTATCGATGTGAATGTTGGTCTTGGACTAGTCTTGTCATTTAGGCTATTATGTTATATATACCTGTAAACAGTTAAATAGAGCATAGATATATTTCAATATCTGATCCACCATTTTGATTGAAATAAAGGCAAAAGCCCAGCAAACAGTGACAAGAATTATTTGAGTCCACAACCCCTTCATATGAATCCTAAAACAAAACATATATCAATGTTTAATGTTTAAACTACTATACAAAAAAACTCTTATCAATAAACATTATCCTGTCTCTTGTAATTATCTTTACATATACACATAATTATACTGTAATTATAAGTATAAAATTTCAGTTTTATAGAAATTTTATAGCAGCGGCTGCCAGGCAGGATACGCCCACATTTTCGAGAGATGGATAGAGAACAAGCTAACAAGAAAGTGATTTTTCCTACAATCAAGGGCCATAATTCAGGAAATTACAATTCGATATGCGCAAATATCGAAAGGAACTGAGATCTTTGTGTTATAAACTTACATTTCAAGTTTCAACAAAATCGGATAAAAATTGTGACCTCTATAGGGTCCACAACCTTGATATACCATATTCTTAACAAGCTAACAAGAAAGTGATTTTTCCTACAATCAAGGGCCATAATTCAGGAAATTACAATTCGATATGCGCAAATATCGAAAGGAACTGAGATCTTTGTGTTATAAACTTACATTTCAAGTTTCAACAAAATCGGATAAAAATTGTGACCTCTATAGGGTCCACAACCTTGATATACCATATTCTTACGTATTTGAGAACGAACGGCGGCCATTTTGTCTGTCAATTTTGGGCCGATTTTCACGCAATTTGAACTCAGTTGTCCTTAGGGTGTAACGGTGATATAATAATACGTTTTTTTTTAAATCGGATGAAAATTATGACCTCTTTAGGGTCCACAAGCTAAAAACGCGATTTTTCGTACAATCAGGGGCCATCATTTAGAAAGTTACGGTCCGATATGCGCAAATATCGAAAAGAACCGAGATCTTTAGGTTATAAACTTACATTTCAAGTTTCAACAAAATCGGATAAAAATTGTGACCTCTACAGGGTCCACAACCTTGATATACCATATTTTTTACGCTATTTGAGAACAAACGGCGGCCATTTTGTCTGTCAATTTTGGACCGATTTTCACGAAATTCGAACTCAACCTTCCTTAGGGTGTAACGGTGATATAATAATACGTTTTTTTAAATCGGATAAAAATTATGACCTCTATAGGGCCCACAAGCTAAAAACGTGATTTTTTGTACAATCAGGGGCCATAATTCAGGAAGTTACAGTCCGATATGCGCGAATATCGAAAGGAACCGAGATATTTTGGTTATAAACTTAAATTTCCATTTTCAACAAAATCGGATAAAAATTGTGACCTCTATAGGGTCCACAACCTTGATACACCATATTTTTACGCTATTTGAGAACGAACGGCGGCCATTTTGCTGTCAATTTTGGGCCGATTTCCACGAAATTTGAACTCAACCTTCCTTAGGGTGTAACGGTGATATAATAATACGGTTCTTTAAATCAGATAAAAATTATGACCTCTATAGGGTCCACAAGCTAAAAACGTGATTTTTCGTACAATCAGGGGCCATAATTCAGGAAGTTACGGTCCGATATGCGCGAATATCGAAAGGAACTGAGATCTTTGGGTTATAAACTTACAATTCAAGTTTCAAAAAAATCGGATAAAAATTGTGACCTCTATAGGGTCCACAAGCTAAACACATGATTTTTCGTACAATCAGGGGCCATAATCCATGAAGTTTCGATCCGATACATGCCAATATCGAAAGCAGCCGAGATCTTTTGGGGATAAACCTATATTTCAAGTTTTGTCAAAATTGGATAAGAATTGTGACCTGTAGAGAGTCCACAAACAATTGTGGACGTCCGGACGGACAGGGGCGACGGCATAATACGTCCACATGAAAATGTGGGCGTATAAAAAGGTCAACATTCGATTTCCATTACCTAGCACAGGAAAACCATAGGATTTGTTAAAATTTTCACAACTTCCGTTCGCTTTAGAGTTGTGTGTTTTTTGTATTAACAAGAATGTTAGTTAAAAGAGAATTACTGGTAAACTTACATGATGATTTTATTGGTCTTTTCACTTTTAGTATAAGAATTTTCATTATGTTCTTTAGCAGTGAAAATCAACACAAGTGTTGAAACCTGGAAAGGAAAATATTTTTGTACAAAAAGAAAAACAAAAAGAAAGTTCCATTTGTATCCCCTGTATTCTGGAATGGCTATGTTTTGCACATACGAAAAAAGCATTTGTTTGAATTGAAATGGTCATCTATTTGCCTCATAAATTACATAAACCAATCATTGAATAATAACAATACCCGGCAAAATAAATAACAAAAGTTTTCCTACGTTTATCCCATGCTCATACAGAAATTTGCCAACTACTGTGTTGAGCTCTTTTGACGTTTAAATTTGCGGCTGTTCTCCATATGGATCGCTGGTCCAAATTCACCTCCCCGTCCCTCTCTAGAACCCTAACCACATAAGTTTCAAAAGGATGACTAGCTAATGAACATCCTTCATTACTAACATAAAGAGAGAGCAATGGGGTTTAACGTCCACTCGACACAAACTAGGTCATTTTGGGACTAACACATAATTCAATTTTATTTCAATAATTCACTTGCACGTACGGTCTTTAGCAGTGGGAGGAAACCGGAGGACCCGGAGAAAACCCACAAAGTTGGACAGGCAAAACTACTCCTTGTCATGTACAACCAGTTGACTCAATGACAGACCTTATGATAAAGTGCACACGCGCTAACCATTCGGTCATTTAACCCCCCAATTACTAATATAAAACAGATTATTCCGTTTATACTTACAGCAATGATTCCAACAGCAGGACCAATAAATAACCAAAAATGGGCCCAAGAAATCCAACACCTTTTTAAAATAGACAAAATTCATATATATGTTTTATTACTTCATGAAATTCCATTTAGAAATAAAATGAAACAGGGTTTAACATCCCACTTTTCTGCATGAACCTCGTGGAATTCTCGATAGATTTAGTCTAAATTATAATTCACGTATTTATATGGGATAATGTACGTGTTTTTCATAGAAGGCAATTCTTTTCCTCTTACTTTGAAAACAGATTTCAATATTTTAAAGTTAAAAAAAAATGAAAGTAGCTTACATATCTTCAGCGTAATAGGTATCAGAATTAGTTCCTATAAACGCTCCAACTAAAATTCCAGGAATAACTAAAAATTAAGTAGAATATAATTAAGGCAACTGTTACAAAAGCAAAACCAGGTTTTACTGCATGTTAAGATCTACAATATGGGAATTATCTACCTTGAATTGGATTATGGCGGGTATTTATGAAATGGTGACATTGAAGTACATTGTGTTGTGTGACAAGCACAACTACGGCACTAGATCCAAACATAACCAATCAATTCTCAGTCTATTTCTTACAGAAAAAGTTGACTTCATCAATTCTTGGTCTATTTTTTACAGAAAAGTAGACTTCATCAATTCTTGGTCTAATTTTTACAAAAAAAAGTAGACATCATGAATTCTTGGTCTATTCCTTACAGAAAAAGTAGACTTCACGAATTCTTGGTCTATTCCTTACAGAAAATGTTGACTTCATCAATTCTCGGTCTATTTCTTACAGAAAATGTAGACTTCATCTTTGTAAGGTTAGTAAATTTATAGCCATGTAGTTTTGAATCTTGGTCTGTTAATCTGGTATCATTGTCGAGATGTGAGACTAGTGTAAGAAAGTTTCCTTGTATTCATATTGTGACACACTAGATATTTTTATTGGATTACTGAAAGGAGTAGAGTCGAGGACTTCCAACTGCCGTTTCCAGAAAGAAATGACAGTACCATTAGTATTGTCAAGATAAACTATATTTGGTCAAATCAACACGAGAACAGTGACAACATCCCAAACTGAGGTCATATATCTTTAACAGATCCAGGTTTGTTAGAAGCTTATGTTTCTGTTTATTTGGTAATTGTTCATTTTATGTACAGTAGAATCTGCATTAAGCAGCCACTCACAGGAATATGGTAGATATGACAGACTTATTAAATCAGACAAATGGTCAAAAACCCAAACACAGCTATGTATAAATTTAAATTCTGTATTGAAAGACATTTCAAGTAACATATACATTTAATTTAAAAAATGGTCAAGATATTTAGCTATGAAGTTGAAAAAAACATAATGTTATTTTTACAAATCCAGACTCCATATCAACCCCCCCCCCCCCCAAAAAAAAAAACCCAGCAAATTTTGTGCAACTGAGGTAAGGTGTGGCCTGAGGAAATAAATATCAGGTCAGGTTTATAGAAAAATATGATGGAAACTGAAAATTGTATTGAAAATATTTTTTTACATTTTGTGCCATATTTCAAATAAGGAACCTGTGAGTCGTAGACTGTGACATGGGTCTCTTTTAGTAAGAACTAGCCCCAAGTTCACAAATCATTCTCAGACTTAAAGTAAAAATTTACTCAACTTTAAATCACTGTTTATGAGAAATATCTTTGATCCAGAAACATAAAACGTTGCACATACTGTAGTTTTTTATTGATGTATTTGATACATTAAAACAAAAAAAGTTTTATAAAAAGGGCTATATAGTAGTTAAAATAAGGTGAGAATGCTTTGTGAACTTTGGGCCAGGTCATACCCGGTATGTGCACTTTGAGGGAAGGGAGTTGGAATTAAATATGAAAAATAATGAGGCGCACCTATTTTTTTTATTACGTACGAATTTGAATATTTTGTTGACACATGATTTTTAATTGTGGTCTGAACCGCCTGCTTAAACAATGATAAGAGTTATGCCCCTTTATTTCCGGTAAAAATGTCCGACAAGAAAAATTTTGAAATCCCATCACTGGTTGGAAGGCAATATTATAAATATACTACGATAAAAAGTTAATACATAAGTTTAAAATCCCCAAAGCATATACTTCAATTAAATGCTCTGAAGTGGTCATGATTCTCAACCAATTTCTCATCTTTTATCTTTCATTCTAAATTGATTCATATAAATTTCTGCAGCAGCTAACAGATACACACAAGAGACAGTTCAACTAATCAACACCATCAATGTGATTCCCCAGTGATAAATGTTGATTCTGGATGCATTTATATAAATAAGGCATTACACATAAAACTAAACATCAGTGAAACAATGTACACTCTAACAAACAGTGCTGTACTAACTTCCCAATACAGAACAACAGATACAATCCAAATATGAACATAAAATAATAAAAACATGATACACACTTGCCAAAATTAACCTTAATGTTAAAATAAAACATATGTGAATCTACCACAGGACGGCTGTGGCAAGTGATATCCGATGTTCTGACTCATGCACAACACCAATCATTACTTGTAGCTAGGCGGCCCAAAATGGCCAGAGATGATGGCGACAACAATGCCTCAATGTAATTTAGAATGCATACTAACATTAAAAACTTCAAAGTGTGTAGTATAATATTGCCTTTACTCTACCATGATGAACAAAATAATAAATAAACAATTAAATTCTGTGGATTAAATTAAAAAGAAAGCTTACCCCATCCTAAAATATGATATCTTAACATGGAACCAGAATCATTTAAATCTGTCTGATTATGTGCTGAATATGTTATAACAATATATAAATTGAATGCTTCATTCATCAACCAGGCGTAGTTAGACAGGAAAAAAAAGTGCAGAAGAACAGCAAACACTTGACACACAGCCTGCAGAGGCAATAAATTTCATAGATAATTTGTTATTTAGGTGAAATTTTAATCAAATTTGAGAATGTTACTCCGTTTTACATCTCTATATTCTTTTTTAAAAACAAACTTAAAACACATTTATTTAATCAGAGAGAGAGAGAGAGAAATGGGGTTTAATGTCCACTCGACACAAACTAGGTCATTTCGGGACTAACATATGGTTTAATTTTATTTCAAAATTTCGCTTGCGCGTAGGGGTCTTTAGCAGTGGGAGGAAATCGGAGGACCCGGAGAAAACCCACGAGGTTGGACAGGCGACCCTACTCCTTGTCACGTACAACCGGGGATTCGAAACCACGCCAGTTGACTCAATGACAGACTTTATGATACAGCGCGCACGCTAACCATTCAGCCATCCAACCCCCCTTATTTAATCAGGCTTTTAACTGACACTGTATACAACTGTTAACATGTCCATAATCTTGTTGTTTATTTATGATTACATTGTCACTTTGTAAAGTGTCCCTGAACATGTTATATGAAAGGGTACACTATAAATATATTGTAATAATAATAATAAAATGTTTTAAAAATGATATGAGTACTGAAGATTAATTTGTATCGTAAGACAGTGTACCGATATATTGGGGTAAAGTTGGATAAGTAAAATTTAATCTAGAACTACAGTTTGTAGTTTGTTACCAAAGACAAAGTTAAGATATAAAAAAATTCTACAACCCATTCAATACTTCCTATTTATATTGAACTCACACCGAAGCATCCCAAGGTGGTTGCATATTCAGAGTTTGACACAGATCAGGATAATCTCTACAGTGGTCAGCAATGTTTGAATGTGACAAGCACTGTGTCTTTGGAATTCGAATATAATAAACATTTCTTTCTATAGGAGAGGGATAACAGAGGAGAGAATAAAATATATTTTAGGCACAAATATTTATTTTTATGTTTGTTCAAGATTTTAGATCTATTTTTCTTTGAAATGGCAAAGGAAACTATTTCAGGAGTTTACAAATTCTAAAATTCTTGTGAGAATTCTTGGGAGAGATGAATGTTTTATAGGTACAAAGTTTGTACTACAAACCCAGGCAAGATAAAACTACTAGTTCTGTAACATTTGCTTATGCCTAATATTATTATATTAATATTTCAGACGCTTGTCAATAACGGACGCACATTGGTTCCGTGAGTAAGGCACTAGCTTCACTAGCCAGGAGACACTGAGAAATTTTGTCACGATTTTTTCTTGTTAGTAGTGCAGGACGGAGAACCTGGCAAGGAACAACGTGTAGCTGTTCGAATGGAAGGATAAACTATTAAGCGTATGTCTTCACCTTGGCGTGCACATATTAGAACCCTTGGAGGTTGGAATTTAATGAAGAGTTGGAAGAAAGCGGCTGTTCTGACAAAATTTCTATTGTTGCACACTATAAGGCATATGCCCGTTTTCATTAACCCAGAAGGTTGATCAGATTTCATTCCATTTTACTTGTTAACAGTGATTAATATATTTTACTTACTGGTTGATCATATCTATCAATGCCAAACATAAATATAACCTGACTGCAACTGATAGACAGTGAGAGATTTTTGTGCAAAGCAGCAGAAGCAGATGATGTTCTGAAGAAAAGAAAATTAATTATCAATATTTATTTACAGACATGCATACATCCATCAGCCATCTTTTCCTGTGAATAAAAGGTAACCAGTCTGATTAAAATACAGATCTATATTTCGTTTCGTTTTTTATACTTTCGATGGCCTTCACTACATGAAGATCTGACCGGTTGTACTGGAAGGTTGGTTGTACGAGCGGCTTTTGACCCTATGAAGTCAGACATTGGCTCATTAATCAGAGTTGATGTTTCTAGTGGTTTACCCACAGTTCCATGAATCACTTGCCAAGAACACGCCGTAACAGACCGTTTCATTGGCTAATCCCTCACTTCAACCAGAACGCCAGTAATATAACAACTCTTTTAGATCCTAGTGTAGTAAAGACAAGTAAAACGAAATTTTGAACTATAAAAACAAAATGATATAGGTTCTGTGTTTTAATCAGATTGAAAGGTAACATAAGGAGGTCCTTGTAATAAATGGCTTTGGGATGCATTGTTACTGATGTCTGGTGCCAATACTGAATATCATCCATAGACCGACATGTATAATTCTCTGTGAAGTCCATTATGTGGTCTGCTTGAGGATGCTCTTTCAGATGTTGCATTTGTTTGTATTGTTCTTTCATCCTATACACATGCTTACAAATTCATCCATTCTACTTTCAAATTTGGAATAAATTGATCTTGATGTTATGTTTCCTTAATATAACAATCTTAATATTCTTGAAAGTTCTATCACAGACAACTCTTTTCCAATCATCAGAAATTATTTCTTTATTGTCTGGAATATCTCTTCATGGAATTTAAGAGAACATGCAGGATTATCATGTAGCTGGAGACCAGGGCCCTGTTTCTTGAAATCTTAACTAAAGATAAAATCCAAATTTTAGTAGATACTTCAATTTTGATTGGCTAAGCACTAAAATTAATCTTATATTATCCAATCAAATTACTAAAATTTGGATTTTATCTTAGTTAAAATTTCAGGAAACTGTTCCCTGGGGCTTTGAATTAAGGATCACAAATGTTTTCAATGCGAAAAAGACAGACAGAACAGAAATAAAAGGAACATAAAATAATATGAACTTAAAATGAAGAAATAAATGAAACATACCCTCTTTGAGGTGTTTCTAATAAATAGACTAAATAAGTCTAAATCATAACACTTCTATAAAACTACAAGAAAACAAAGACACCACAATAAGTAATGGCCAACAGAACAACAGGACACAGGAAAACCAAATAAATAAACTAAATACATATATTTACAGAAGGACCTATTTGAAGCTATACAGCTTAATAAATAAATACAACTTTGGCAAATTACTAAAGTAAAATAAAATACCTGGAAATTAGACCAGCGATTGCCAGACAAGATAAAATAAAATGCGATTTTTTGCACAATCAGGGTCATAATCCAGGAATTTACGGCCCGATATGCACGAATATCAAAAGGAACCAAGATCTTTGGATATAAACATATATTTTCAGTTTCATCAAGATTGGATAAAAATTTTGACTTCAAGAGGTTCCACAACCTTCGTATTACATACTTTTACATAATTTGCGTACAAGAATCAGCCATTTTGAGGGGCATTTTTTGTCCAGTTTTCACAGAATTCAAACTCAACCATCATTAGGGTGTGATGGTGATATATTTAAAGGTTTTTTTTTTAATCAGATAAAAATTGTGAACTCCAGAGGTTCAACAAGCTAAATCAAGGGAGTTAAGGTCTGATATGTGCAAATGTTGAAAAGAACTGAGATCTTTGTAATATAAACACATATTTTATGTTTTATCAAAATCAGATAAAAATTGTGATATCTAGAGGGTCAACAAGCTAAAATCGCAATTTTCGTTAATGAGAGTTGTGTGCAGGAAATCGTTAATTGACAGTTGGATAAAAAGTCTTGATTAGCACACTTTTCTTATGGTAAGTGAACTAGGTCTTGACTAGGTGACGCAAGAGTAGTGCACTATCACGTCACACATTTGGATACAATGTCAGTGCTCGCTACCAATTTGTATCTTCATATAAAGTCATGATTAAAGTATTAATATCATTTTTTCAATGGACAAAAACATTAATTATATACAATAATGTATTTTCAGGAACCTGTCCTTTTAAAACAACTCAGCGAACATATTTACAAGACTGGATAATATATCTTGGGTAGCCATCAACATAACTAGAAGACAAGGATATAGAACAGAAATAAAAACCAACACCATATATTATATACACTTTATTTACAATATAATATACAATTATAAAACATTAATTAAATTCACCATACTACAATCACTTATTGGTATTTTCAGTGTTTGAATCTTCAGGGATGCATTTTGGTGTCTGATACACAAAACATGGAAGTCTGCTGGTAAACTTTATAGTCTATATATTACTGGGACGCATGCAACAGAAGGTTGTGAGAGAAATCATGTATGTAGGGTTTTCAGCAAGATTCGATAAATGGTCAGTCCATACTTTCGTCTGCTGTCATGTACAATTTTCAATCTTCTTTGAGTCTTTCTTGCCAGGATTTGTTAGGTTGTTACCGTTCTGTCAAAAAATTCTAGGACCACGCTTTAACAATGTATTGTAACAACTTCCTACTGATCTTAACCACTCTCCCCACATAAACTTTCAAAATAGAAGATTTCTTCTTTGTTTGCTTGTATGATTTGGCAATTTCATCAATCAAGACATTTCCAAGTAAAAGTTTACACTTAACAGGTTGAGTAAGATTCAGTAAATCTAAGATGGAACTGGTTTTGCTGTTAGGTGTACTAGCGTTAACAGGTTTCTTATTCTAAACCTTTCTGTTTTCTTCAACAATTTCTGTTAAAGATGCATCATGTAAGAGCTAAATCTGCCTATTGCAGATATTTCTTTTGGCCTCAATGTTATATAAATTATTAATAAAACACTTATTAACATGGCAAGACCATAATCAACTCTCTAGACCATCAGATGCTTGTGATTTTCAATGGATTGAAACATGACCGTCATTTAATAATTTAATTCAAAAATAGATAATTAGATATTGTTTACTATCGTATCAATGGTAGCAATGACAATTGAGACTCCGCTATTCTTCAAACAGCCATAAATGAGGTAATTTGGCTGAAATTTTCAATATATTCACTTTTCATTATCTATTTTTAAACTATTATAGAAACAACTATCAGCTTTTTATCCAAATTTTACATAATGCATCTTTAATGATCCTTTATGCCAATAAGAAATCTAATTTATATCACATTCACAAGCTTTTCCGAATACATAATTATATCTCGGGAACAGAAAGTACTAGGATGCTCCAAATCAACAACGTTCATCCATTTTGAGAAGGTAACTCCAGAACATCATTTCCTTTCTGTTTGCTAAATTAATTTAACACATCAGAGACTCATAACTGCACCTTTTTTGTAAGAAGAACTCTTAACTTTTTCAGTTTCTTATATATATATTTCATTTCCTCATATCCATGTAGTACTGTAAGAATTCTGATAATGAACACAAGTTCAATGTTTGTGTTTTTAAAATGTCCATATTATCATTATGATTTTATAATAAATATATTAAAAAAAATAAGGGATTACCTTAAATAAACATGCACAATAAAAGTCATGAGGCAAAATGTTGCAGAAACAGCACAACCAATATATGAAGCAAAATTCATCAGGTGAGGTCTCTTATCTCCTTTATCCCACTAGAAATAAACCAAACAATAACAAAAAAAAGGGATGTGCCCGATTTTGAAATGGGATTGATAAGTGATATCAGGTGTTCTAGAAATAGTAAAATATGCATGATTTATTGCAACATAAGATAGAATTAGAATAATAGTTATTATAAATGGGGGTTGGATGGCCGAATGGTTAGCATGTACGCGTTGTATCATAATGTCTGTCATTGAGCAAATGGCGTGGTTTTGATCCCAGTTGTATGTGACAAGGAGTAGGGTCGCCTATCCAACCTCGTGGGTTTTCTCCGGGTCCTCCGGTCTCCTCTTACTGCTAAAGACCCCTATGCACAAGCGAATTATTGAAATAAAATTGAACCATGTGTTAATCCCGAAATGACCTAGTATGTGTTGAGTTATTATAAAACAGTTAATAACTTCTACCTTCAACGATAAATACATTCCACATGCCACTTAATTTTACTAAAAGTCAAAATTGTCTGCATAATGACATTCTCGCAGAACAGTATTTAGTAATAGTACTTACATTAACATCATACATATCTGTTGTTATAGAAAATACACCAGGTATGTGACAAGCACATGTACCAGATTTACCATCAAAATATAACAATCTACATCCTAACTTGGACCAATACCATTCATTAGATCTATAATAAACCATCATATAATATTTACATCTTCAGTTGGATGGCCGAATGGTTAGCACCTGCGCGCTGTATCATAAGGTCTGTCAAGGAGTAAGGTCGCCTATCCAACCTTCTGGGTTTTCTCCGGTTTCCTCCCACTGCTAAAGACCCCTACGCGCAAACTAATTATTGAAATACAATTGAACCATATGTTAGTCCCGAAGTGACCTAATTTGTGTCAAGTGGACCTTAAGCCCCATTTCTCTCTCTCTCTCTCTCTCTCTCTTAAGTTGGAAGTAGCATATATTTTTTATAGATATTTTATTGTCATCAAAAATGTACGAGCCCTGATTGTGCAGCGTAGTGAATGCCCAAGTCTGCCCAAGGATCTATTGACAGTTCTTTGATATCTTTATCTCAATGGTGAATATGTGTGTCTTGTGATTTTCTAGAGTTTGTCTTTCTTTGTTTTGTGAGATATGGTCCACCTTTACTTTACTAATCAACAAATAAATTAATTTTTACCTTTGTTTGTGAACAACTCGAACACATTCAGGATTTGATATATTAAATGTCTGGAAGAAACCAATATGTGTATCATAAAATCGAACTATATCATAGAAATTTATTTATAAAGAATGGTAAATCTTGATACATCATTTTAGTGTTATAGGAATCACTTGCACATTACAATATGGTGAAAAATGGATCCCTAATACGAATATCGGTCCAAAAATGGTTCAATTTCGTTAAGTATAAATTCATAAAGATATCAGGAATCAAAATTTCATTGATCTATGCTGTTCGCTAGGTAATAAGACCGCCGCCATTTTGTTATCTGCGAAAATTTACGGCAATACTATATACCAGAAAACACAGGAAAACACCAGAAAACAACTGGAAAGCACTGGAAAACACCGGAAAACAACCGGAAAACACCAGTTTATACTGAATACCGAAACACCGGAAAAACACTAAATACCGGAAAACACACTAAATACCGGAAAATACTCTAAATAGGTAACCCGGAGACTGGCACCCTAAATAGGTAACCGGGAGCCTGGTCCTCTGTGTGCCTGGGTTAGGGTTAGTTTCCGGTTTATAGTATAGCCCTTCTCCGGGTTACCTATTTAGGGTGGTTTTCGGTATTTAGTGTGTTTTCCGGTATTTAGTGTTTTTCCGGTATTCATTATAATGTGGTGTTTTACGGTAGTTTTCCGGTGTTTTCCGGTTGTTTTCCGGTGCTTTCCGGTATATAGTATAGATCAAAATTTATTGGTAGACCTGTTTTAAATCCGTTTGAATCCAAAAAGGACATTATCTTACATTGGATTTTGTTAATTAAATGTTCAATAATCTGGGTACATATTAGCGTGGATTAAACTGTTAAAAATTTGATATTTTAGCAAAATGACACATCATTACTTAAATTGGTAAAAGTCCTGATCTTTAAGATACAGACATGTTCCCACCTCTCATTAGAATATTCAATTTCTAATTCTAAAAATTTGGAAATTCTATACCACTATAATACTCAACAAAAGTGTAAATTAAACATGAAACAGAACAGGCAACTGATAAAAAAATTAGTAATACATTCCTTCTATAGTAGATCAACAAAAACCAAAAAATTTTGTTTCTTGACATGCTTATTTTATCAAACTATTAATTTGGGTTCATCAATAGAACAATAAAGGTAGATAAATATTTCATGACAGTCTAGTCATAGGCGTACGGGGAAATTTTTGACTGGGGGGGCGGTGGTGGTTGGTGCCCAAAAAATGTAGTTAGGTTCTTAGTATGTTACATAATAATAATAATATCTCTTTTGCGATGAATAAGTTCTTAATTTCTAAATCATCAATAAAAGAGAACTAAATTTTATTTACTTGTAATATACACAACTAAAAACAGTTGTTTATGTAACTGTAACTTGTGGTTTACTGTACTCCAAACAATAGAGGGTACGAGTCTTAAGATTTCAATTTAACTGCCTAACTATAGACACTCTGAATTTAAATTCGCTGTTGGACACATTCAAGAACACAATATTCTTTTATACAACTTTTACAAAGTACAATTGTGTGCCCAAATTTTTCCAGCATTTGGTGCCCAAAATGGGGGGGCGGCAGCCCCCCCAGCTCGTACGCCTATGAGTCTAGTTATACTTACATCTATTATAGGTAGATCTACTAAAATAGGTGAGGATAAATTGTTCACAGCAAAATCTCCAATATGTAAATATACAGCCATTATAGGTGTATTAACAAGATCTTCTTCTTTACGTCTACAATATAGATATTATTATTATTATCGACAGTTTATAATGTGACCTTAATCCTGTGTATAAATCTAAAGTCAATCAGATATTAACTTTAGCCTCTAGAGCGTCCACAAGCAATTGTGGATGGCGGACGGACCAAGGGCAATATAGGACCACATTTCCTTGTGGGCGTATAAAAATGGTTGGCACAATTATCTTAATCTGACTATAATATACTTACCCTTTCCAAACCTTATTTGGTACATTCTGTGCCAGTTTTCTGTACCGGAAACTGGACACTCCAATAAAAACTGTTAAAAGAAATAAATGTAAAAAAATTCCCAAAGTTAAGAAAAGTTCACCTCACCATCAGTTTTGCTCTATTTTTTCTTCTAAAAAAGCTTTAGCTAAGTTTCAAATAATTTAAATGCATCAAAACTTGACATATAACTTTAATTCTAAAAAATTATGCCACAAACATTCTGATGAGATTATAACTATATCAATAGATTTTGAAAATTCTAGGAATGGCTGATTAAGAAATTAAAGTGACATCAAATGTCATTTTTCAATCTGTAATTCCTGATAAAATTTTTAGGTGAATTTCAATGAAGTTGTGTACCTGAGTGTTATTAATGTGCCTGGAGGTCGGGTGTTCGATCCCTGCATTGGACGAGAAAGTTCATCCGGATTTTCCGACATGGTTTCCCCTTGTCAGTGGTGCAGAACAGGTGGCCTGACAAGGACAGCTGTCTAGTCCTTCGGATGAGTCGAAAAACCGAGGTCCCGTGTATACATTGGAATGCACGTAAAAGATCCTTTGGCAGTTGGAATTCGATATAAGAGTAGGCGATAGTGCCGCTGCCCGGGCAAAATTTCCCTCATAGCACACTGTATGGCGTATGCCCGTCTTCATTAGCCCAGTATAGGAGCAGAACAGTAGGACGTTAAACCCCATTTCATTTCATTTCATTTCGTGTTGCAATTTCAATAAAGTTGTGTAGCCTACCTGGGAGTTCAGATGCATTCTGTGACATTAAAACACCACGTCTTATCCTCAAGAAACCGTTATTCTTATCTAATTTGTAATGTTTCTGATCTTCTGGACTTGGAAAAGATGATCCATAAAACTCTTCTATCCAATAAGTTTCTATTTTAAACTCTATAATTAAAATTTTACAATAATGACATTTTTTTTTGCTTTACTTCAGGAAATTTTAAATTGCTTATTGATGAACAGGACCCTGTTTCTTGAAATCTTAACTAAAGATAAAATCCAATTTTAGTAGTTACCGGTACTTCAATTTTGATTGGCTAAGCACTAAAATCAATTTAATATTATCCAATCAAATTACTAAAATTTGGATTTTATCTTAGTTACAATTTTGTGAAACAGGTCCCAGGAATTTACTTAAATGTTTATTGGTAGTTTTTTTTTATTGTCACCTAACATAAGACCACACGCATAAGCCATCAAATTATGTCTTAGTTTTCTGATATTATCTTAAAATTCTGGATATCATGTGCGTTATGATATGTTGTCGTATGACATGCAAGATAAAAAATTAGAAAAAGTCCATAAAAATATTATAAAATATGTTTTAGGAAAGTTGAAATACAGGTTTGACAACCTACAGAATGAGAGATGATAATTTAGCTAACCTATATTTTCTTTAAAAACCGTGATGACAGCATCTTTATAGCTGACAAGTCCATCTATTACATGATATACAAGACTACGGGATATTACGTCTGCAAACAAATGCATAACCACTAGAAGGTTATCTCCCTCTACTCCAGCAGGTTGAGTAGCATTCCATCCTGCATCATTTTTTGAACTCAAAAGATTATCTATAATGGTGCCCAGGATCTAAACACAAAAGGTTATATATTTATCATGAAATAAGACATAAAAATATATTCCATACCTATGGATTAATACCTATGCATCTCACTTTAAATAAAAAAAAAAAAATAAACGTTTGTGAAAATACACTACGCTAATGAAGTAGATGCTTGGTTTTCAACAATAGGATAGGTCTGAGGTTATGTTTCAAAACTATTTACATATATTTTCTTGAAAAGTGTGATATATATATATAAGATCTCTTAAGATGAAGTAATATCATTTTAGTCTTAAAATTAATAAAATTAATGTTGAGGTTATCTTGTGTGATATTTTGATTAATGGAGAATTAAAAGTGAAATATCTCTAACCTGACTGAAAGTTTTGGTTTGTTCAAATGTAGGATAAACTTCTTTGGCACTAGCAAACTTGATACCACCATCTTGCCATGTAATTGTTTTTGGTGCTACACCCTGTGGAAATTAAAAGATCAGTTAATATTAAAATTATTAATAGACTTGAATATAATAAAAATAATGAAAATATTTCCTACTTCGAAAATATAAAGTGAAAACAGTTTTCTTTTTTTAAGTACACGCCAATGTGTTTAAGTGACCTTGTATTGGTTTTTTGTCCCATCCAAACAAATCGATGCTGTTCTTTGCCAAACCCTACGCCGCTGACAAGGGTAAGAGTTATTAAACCTACCTGTGTTTTGACCATGATTTGTAATAAATCTATAACAGTTGCTATATCTATAGGATTGGTATAACTATTATTCTCTGTATGATTTAACAGTTCATCAGCTAATTGTAGTATCATAATCTCATTCATATCATCTTGACCAATACTTCGAAACTAGAAAAATAAATTATTATTGTATATAGATAAATTAAAGATGCATTAAGTGAGATTAGATAAAGAGCTGGCAGTTCTCACTATAATAGTTAAAAACTAGATAATGTAAAGGGAATTAGCTGAAAATTACAGTCAAATTGATCCACTATGAACTGAGATTTTAGCGATCAAATTTTGGGTCTAGCCTCGATCATCATTACTAAAGTCGGTACGATAAAAAACATAGTCTCTATTATCCATTTTTTGATTTAATTATCAATGAGCATTAAGCAGCAGATGGGATTCTAATCCAGAAAATATCGCAGGCTAGCGATGACATTGAGAGTTGATTATGGTCTGGATAAGTTAATTAACGTCTAATTAATAATTTAGATAACATTTCAGCTCTTGCATAATGTATGTTTAATTAATATGTTCAATCTGCTTTATATGGTAATTATTTAAGTAATCTTCAAGCAAAATCATAGATCACAACTTGCGAAGTCCCATCACAGAAGCAAAATTGTCAGTTCCAGCTGTAATAGTCTAAATATAAAAAGGGAGATAATTTGTCAATTTTAACAGGATATTTCCTAATGATCAATCCCACGAAGTTTAAAACAAAGTGACCAACTTGAAGGTTTGAGACATGGGAGAAATCAAACTGGGACTAGTTTGAGGTGCTAGTTTTCGCAACTATCTGAATATATAATTAAGAAGAATGAATTGAATTAAGTGAAGGGCTGTTATAGATTCATGGATAATTGAGATCTTATGGATATAAAGCAATAACAAGTGGATGAAAACTGTAAACTCCAACATATTCACTAGCTAATATTGACTGGTTTCATGGACAGACAGGGGTGACAACAATATACATCCACATTAAATGTGGCATATAAAAAGTATGGCATGTAATTGTATGACTTTCAAAATGTAAATGTTGGGATTTTTCTCACTGCAAACATGGAATAAATTTGTTAATAGAGTAGTCAACAGAAAATTGGAAAAAAGATGACCCTGACTGGAAACACATCCTCCTGAATGCAAAACTACTTCTAGGCATATGATACCCTTTAAATTAAAAGTGTCTTAGGGAAATGATCACCATATGAGATAAAACAGAGAGAGAGAGAAATGGGGTTTAAAGTCCACTCGATACAAACTGGGTCATTTCGAGACTAACATATGGTTCAATTTTATTTCAATAATTCGCTTGCGTGTAGGGGTCTGTGGCGGTGGGAGGAATTTGAAGGACCCAGAGAAAACCCATGCGGTTGGACAGGCTTGTCACAAAAAACCACGGAATTGAAATAACGCCAGTTGATTCAATACAGCGTGCATCTGAATACAAACAAAATGGCCACCCCTTTCAATTAGGATATAGGCTTTAAAGTTTTAAGATCCACATGTAAATTTACCTTATTCTTGATCTCTAACAAGCGATCTGATATACAGCCATCAATTAATGGTTCCGCCCATATTCCATCATTAGCATTCTCTCTTAATTTACACACCCTTACAGCATGACCTATCAATGTTAACAATATAAGTATTAATATTTTATATTAAACTAAACACATCTAAGGTCCTAGATTATTTAACTATAGGAATTCACGGTGACTAAGTGGGTAAGACGCTGGCTCGCTAGCCTGGAGGTCGGGTGTTCGATCCCTGCATCGGCCGAGAAAATTCACCCAGATTTTCCGGCGTGGTTCTCCCCTGTCAGTGATGCAGGACTGAGGGCCTGACAAGGACAGCTGTCTAGTCATTCGGATAGGATGAAAAACCGAGGCCCTGTGTACACATTGGCGTGCACATAAAAGAGCCCTTGACAGTTTGAATTCGATATAAGAGTACGCCGTAGTGCTGCTGTCCTGGCAAAATTTCCGTCATAGTACATAGTACACTATATGGCGTATGCCCGTCTTCATTAGCCCAGTTCGGAACAGAACAGTAGGACATTAAACCCCATTTCATTTCATTTATTTAACTATATATTTATTCAATTCAGATTTGAGCAATAATTATGAGATGTTTGCCAGTGTGGTGCTATTTAAAAACCTCCTTTTTAAAATCTGTATTACAGAGTTTTCCTTCTTTTTACTTATCAACCATGTTCAATATTTCTAAAATGAAATTTGTCAGAGCAGTAGCATATTAGATGAGGTTTGTTTAACAATGTCAACTACCTTAATCCTTTCATTATGCCACATCAATATGATTTATTGTTTTTAGGAACAGAGAGAGAGAGAGAGAGAGAGAGAGAGAGATGGGGTTTAAGTCCACTGGACACAAACTAGGTCACATATGGTTCAATTTTATTTCAATAAATCGCTTGCATGTAGGGGTCTTTAGCAGTGGGAGGAAACCGGAGGACCCGGAGAAAATCCACGAGGTTGGACAGGGATTCGAAACCATGCCAGCTGACTCAATGACAGACCTTATGATACAGCGTGCACGCACTAACCATTCGTGCATCCACCACCACCCCTTTTAGGACAAAGACCTGAGACCCCAAATTAATGGTACCCATTTCATTACTTATTTGTCATCAATGCAATTAAACATGTCTCCAAAATAAATAAGCAACCAAATAGATGGTCTTCTTCGATTTTCGGGTTTAGGTCTATGTTTTCATACACATTGTCTTACCTGTAAGAAAAAAAAACTTTCCCCCCCCCCTCGCCCATCTTTCATTGGTGCTAGAGAACTAGGAATATAGATATATGATCTTCAATACATGACCAATATACATGTATATGACCAATCGGCCAACCCTCAAATCATATAACCAAGATGCGAGTAAAAACAAAAAAGAGCACAGTTTTAATGGAAAGAAAACTTGAACCCTTCAATACCGGTTGAGTTATCACCCTGTCTTGGACAGTCAACACTAATATTCATTTCAGCTTTTGTTCTATTCCATTTAATGTTTTCTTTGATTTCTTCATTACATTGTGCACCTGTTTTAAATAAATTAAGCAGTAAAGATAATTTGAGTTTATAAACATAGGTTTAAAAGAATCTGCCCAAATCATCTTAGGTGCAACTTAATTAAAAGTTAGTGGATTTTTGTTTTTAAGCAACATGCACTAAAACTGAATCAAGAATATTTTTCTTCACATAAAAGTTTTAACTGTCTTTTATTTTTATGCCCCTGAGGCTTGATATATACAAACATAAGAGGCCCTCAAAATTTATTTTGCTCTGAAACATAAAAATTCTCTTGGTGGCCATGTAGACATCTTCATTTCATTGAGAGAGGCAACCTATATCAATTCCAAAATGATGTATGAATTATTACAGCGCTGACAACAATATAGAACCACATTATAGGCATATAAGAAGAACAATGTATTGTAAATGTAAGTGTATAAGAGGAACAATGTATTGTAAATGTAAGTGTATAAAAGAGGAACAATGTATTGTAAATGTAAGTGTATAAGAGGAACAATGTATTGTAAATGTAAGGGTATAGAAGAACAATGTATTGTAAATGTAAATGTATAAGAAGAACAATGTATTGTAATGGAAGGGTATAAGAGAAACAATGTATGTAAATGTAAGTGTAGAAGAGGAACAATATATTGTAAATGTAAGTGTATATAAGAGGAACAATGTATTGTAAATGTAAGTGTATAAGAAGAACAATGTATTGTAAATGTAAGGGTATAAGAGGAACAATGTATTGTAAATGTAAGGGTATAAGAGGAACAATGTATTATAAATGGTATAATAAGCACAAACCTATCAGATCACTACAGAACGTATCACAAGAAATAGCAGCAGTTTTCTCTGTAAAACACTGATCAGCTGAATAGATAAATTATAGAAATACTATTATAAACCCAAACAGAACATATATATATCTAATTAGTTTATTCTACAATTTATCATTTGAAGAAGTTAAACCTGTGATGAATAGTATTCATCTAATCTGATATTTTAATCATGTGAAGAAGAAAGTGGAAATCGGTTTTTACTTTGGTGTTTATAAAGGTGTGAAAAACAAAGCATTGTTAATAAATTCTTTAAAAATTAGATCGACTTATTAGATTAAAAGGTATTCTTAAAAAACTCACTAAAAATTCCAGATGGCCATCTAATCTTCATTGCCCCTCGTGTACCACTTCGAAATTCTACCCACTGAACAGCATTTCCACAGTACATAAAATTACAAGATTTAGTTATATTTCTAACTTCCTCTTTCTCCATAGCATAGTTCCAGATGTTGAGATGAGAGAGATCTCCATCCAAGGCAGTTGCTATTTCAAATGGTTGTGACTGGCCTAAAACAACTTGACCACCAGACGGTATAGGCTTCAATGTCCGATTTAGATATCCACTCTGACGTTGATCACCATTGATGTAGAAAACCCATCTGCCATCTATTGTAATAATCAATAATCATAACAGTAGTAATAATTCTAAAAAAAAATTTGGGGGGGGGGGGAAGAGAGAGAGAGAGAGAGAGAAAGAGAGAGAGAGTAATTCATTTCCTGACTCACATATATGGACATATATGGTACAATTTTATTTCAATATTTTGCTTGCACATAGGGTTCTTCAGCAGTGGGAGGTAACCAGAGGACCTGAAAAAAACAGGCAACCCTACTCCTTGTCACATACAAGTGTGGGATCAAACCTATGCCATTTGACTCAATGACATACCTTAATTAAAACAAAGGAAGAATAATTTTTCCAAAATGCATTAAACACAAACCAAACCCCAAAACTATCTTTTTTATTCCAAGCACCCATCTCACAAACATTAAATAATACTTATTTGTAAAAGAATAAATAAAATTGTTAAAAACTATTGACATATAATGTCTTGATTTGGTCATTGGTATTTTAGAAGAAAACATCCTGTCTGGCAGGATGAAGGCACAACATTTATCATATCTCATTTAATAATTTATAAACCTATAACCGTAAATCTCTTTGATCTGTGGGGAATAACTTGCGGTCTAGGGGCGGCTTTGGATATCTACATGGGAATTTTGGGTTATTCTTCTGAAAGTTTTTCTTTAAACCTGTTACAGGTTTTTCTTCCAAGGTAGGTTTTTTTTTCCATAAGAAAACATTAAATATGGTTTTTCTTACGAGAATTCTGGGATATTCTCATTTTACGTACATGTAAACATAGACGGTTTATAAGCAAGATAAAGTCCTCGACTTCAGTTATGCTGGGGAAGAAAGACTTCAGAAAAAACCCTCAAAAGAAAAACCTGTTGGGCTCGTTTTTTCTTTTCTGCGGTTATTTTCTTCAGTCTTTCTTTCTCCAGCATAACCAAGGTCGAGGGCCTTTATCCTACACATAAGAACTCTTTGCAGTTAAATCAGGGGTGGACTGGGTAACTCAGATCCCTTGGACCAACTGATTTCATTGGATCCCCATCAGGGTGAAGAATACGTGACATGATCTATCTATCAGTAACAGATAACAATCCAACATTCACCAAAATTACCTGAATATCCACATCTAACTATACACAACTACAACATATATATTTAATACATTTTGTCATTTGAAGGAATTTTATTTTTCCAATTGGAGCTGATTTAATTTGTGGGTTTTTTTTATGTAGACCATATATGTATAGGTCGGCTTGTTGCTCGACCAAAAAGTATTAATTATAAATTCCCCTACATAATTTGATATTATCGACTATGTGCAATGGGGTATTCAGCTAGGTTCAGTTTCACAAAGCACATGTAAGCCACATCAAATAACACAACTCTGCTTTCGTAAATTTACATATGTTTTGTGAAATGAGCCCCTGTAAGTTCCCATGTAGCCCTCTGGTAAGACAGCACTCACCACTGTAGGTTATGAAGTTGTAAAGTATGTGTAGTCTTATAATGTGATCAACTGACAAAGGAACATTCGATCAAGTCTTGAACCATTCACAATCCAATCTCCTCACCTACCTCATTCCAACACCTCTAGATAAAGTTAGAAAAATATATATAGAATTTCTTACCTGTAGACGTCCAAGTCCATGTGACATGGTACCATTGATGTGGTATTAGTTTAATATTTGTATCTTTCATTCGGTTAAAAACTTCAAACCGTAAAGTTGGTCCACTCATCATACGAACTAAGTTTTCCGTACTATGAGAATAGGATAAGATGGTTCCAGGGAGAACAGGATTGCTGACATTAATCCAGAAAGATATGGTAAAATCTTTTAATTTAGGAAAAGCTTTATTCAACAGCAAGGTATATCTTGGTGGATCAACTGCTTTGAATTCGAACCTTGAGTCAATAGCAGATGCTGAAATAATTTAAAGCATAAAATACTGTAAAGCATGAAGTTAATGAGGTTGATATAAATGAGCAACAAAATTAATGCAACCTGCCATATCTTTTTTTCTATAATTACAACTGACTTTTTAAAAATAAAAATGAACATGTTATTAGTAATACATTAGTTTAATTGCATTATATAAGTACGCTGTATTATCCATCACAATGATTAAGTCTATCAATTTAATTAGTCTATCAACTTGGTTAGTCTATCAGCTTGGTTAGTCTGTTGTTTGTTGGGTATTTTACACTGTACCCAGGTATCATTTAATTACATTAGATAAGCACGCTGTTTTAACATCTATTTTCCACCACAATGATTAAAGAGAGAGATAGAAATGGGGTTTAACATCCACTCGACTCAAACTTGGTAATTCTTGGGACTAACACATGGTTCAATTTTATTTCAATAATTCGCTTGCGTGTAGGGGTCTTTGACAGTGAGAGGAAACCAAAGGACCCAGAGAAAACCCACAAGGTTGGACAGGCGACCCTACTCCTTGTCACGTACAACCGGGGGATCGAAACCATGCCAGTTGATACAATAACAGACCTTATGATACAGCCGCACGTGCTAGTCATTCGGCCATCCAAGCCTCCCACAATGATTAAGTACATCAACTTAAATAGTCTATCGCTTTAATTTGTCTATCAACTTGGTTAGTCTATCAACTTGGTTAGTCTGTTGTTTGTTGGGTATTTCAAACTGTAACCTGGGCATCATTTAATCTTGTGTATCTAGCACTAATTTCTTTCACATTAGTTTAATATCAAATCATTGTTTAAAAATTCATAAAAATCATTTAAAATTATCTAATTTGTACTTGTGTCCAGTTTAAAGCTGACTGATTAATTTTGATAATGAGTATCCAATTTACAAGTACCGGTATTTAATTTCCTGTTCAAAAATTAGTCATTATACATCAATAATCAATTGGGTTGTTTGTCTTTTAACAGTGATAGAGAAATTAATTATTACATACACCGTAATTAAACAAAGATTTGATATTGAATGAATGTGAAAGAAATTAGTGCTAAATACACAAGATTAAATGATACCCAGGTTACAGTGTTATATGAGGACATTTCTGATTACTTGTTGAAGTACCCTGGCTTTTAACACACTTTTTCTTGCTTTCATTAATTTCCTGTTTAACGATTACATATATTTGATTAGCTATGGGAAATTGATTTTGATTTGAAAAATGAATTACATTTAACTAAAAAATAAGCACTAGCTTATTAAAAAAAATTTAATTCTATTTTGAGAAATATTTAAATGCATCTTGAAACATTGATTGATGAAATCAATAAAGATAGTGCAGTGCTATTTATTTATATTTAAACCTTTCTAAACAAATTAAAATGTATTAATATCTGGTCTAAGTTAACTATTTCTATATAAACTAAAAAATAACCAACAATCTAAAGATCTCTTTATCGTGTTTAGCTCAGACGACTATGACGTACTTAATTCTTTGGTTTATATTTTGTACATACATGTACTCTCTTTAAAATGTATATATACATGTATATTTCTTCCACTTTTTATGTATTATTTATCCACTTTTCATATATTTTTCATCCACTTTTTATGTATTTTTCATGCATAAAATGTATAATTTACATTCTGCCCGAAAAGGGTGTTTTATGTAATAAATAACACTACAAGTCATATGACTCTTATTGGCTTATTAATCAAATCATATTTTTGTATAAATTACTTATTACTCTCCAAAATGCATACTAAGCATACTAAGATTTCGTTGCTCATTTTTCTCAGTAGTAACTTTTTTCTGTCGGTGAGGTATTTGACAGAAATTTTACCATGTTTGACAGAAAGTTCATATAAATACAAAAATTTGATAAATTTCTTATTGGTAGTCTTAAAATAGCAAAATTGTGATTTGTAATCTATGGTGTGCAGACTACATTAATACAAAAAAAAATTATTGCATATTAATGTTACTTACACATGCACATATAGGTATTCCAGTGAAATCCTGGTCCACATTCACATCCATAGCCATCTGGGTGATCAATACATTTAGGATCAGTATAATATGTGGAATGACATTTATACGGTGGACTTAAACCTGAGAAAACAAGGATTGTATGGGTTATAAAGAAGAGATAAACAAGAGTGAGCGTACCTCAATTAGCTTCGTTATATAATTAAATTCACCTGTTATCATCTTGAATTTCAGGAAACCTGTCTTAAAGTATCTATCAGGTAGAAAAACTTAGACAGAACTGATGAGTTATTTTGATTAAACATGTTTTAAATACAGATAGATTCACACTTTGTACAACAGATAAACACATTAATGATTTCTAATTTAGCACTGAAAGAAAGCAAGATCTAATGCACAAAATTATTGTTGGAAAGCGAAGACAGTAATGTAGCTGCCCTGGCAAAATTATCTTCTGAATTGAACAGCAATCTAATGATGAAGAGAGAGAGAGAGAGAGAGAGATGGGGTTTAACATCCACTCGACACAAACTAGGTCATTTCGGAACTAACATATGGTTCAATTTTATTTCAATAATTGGCTTGCGTGTAGGGGTCGTCTTTAACAGTGGGAGGAAACCGGAGGACTCGGAGAAAAACCATGAGGTTGGACAGGCAACCCTACTCCTTGTCACATACAACTGGGGAATAGAACCACACCATTTGACTCAATAACAGACCTAATGATACAGCACACACACGCTAACCATTCGGCCATCTAATCCCCTGTAAAAAGATATCATAACTACCTATTAGATTATGAGTAGGCATGGTCTCGAATAACAATATATCAACTTCCAAAATCATCATATCACTAATTTATTCATTACAATTTTAACCTGTTATGAGGCACCCATGTAAGTTGTGAATATAGTATATTTTCTGTATATTGTATACAGTGTATTCTATCTTTGCTTCATCGACAGGCCTGCATTAACCAATAAGCTAAATAAGCACATGCTTAGGGCATAATGGGTGGTCGTTGGGAGGGGGGTGAACCACCTGCTTTGTTAGAGGACAAATTTAAAATATAAAAATTAATAAAGAACTTTTAATGAGCTTTTTATTGTTTTTCTCCTTCCTTACTGTTGCCTTCTTTGTCTCAATTAATTTTGACGAGTATAAAACGTTATTTTGAAAAATACAAAATTTATCTTATGGTTTATTATTGTTAATAGCCTCTATTGGTCTTAAACCAGTCCTGTTCATCAAACAATTATCCTGCTGTGTTATTTCCCATACTAGGATAATATCAATTTAGTAAATGTGATACTATAAACCTTGTAGTATGAAGATATTAGCTTGTATTAACACCTACAATTGATATCTTAACACACTTGACATTTATATACAAAAATCTCAATATATAAAAATGGTGTTTAATGTCCTACTGTTCTTCTCCGGCTGGGCTAATGAAGACAGGCATGATTCTAGTAAAAATGAAATGAAATTGTGGTTTAACGTCCTACTGTTCTGCTCTGATTGGGCTAATGAAGAAGGGCATACGCCAGGCAACATGCTATGAGGGAAATTTTGCCCGGACCACGGCGTTATAGCTAACTCTTATATCGAATTCCAAGGGATCTCTTACATGCATGCGACCTCCATTTTTTATACCATCCAAACGACTAGACAGTTGTCCTTGTCAGGTCCTCCATCCAGCACCACTGACAAGGGGAAACCACACCCGAAAATCCCGATGAATTTTCTTGGCCAATTTCGGGAGCAAACTTGCCACCTCCAGGCTCACGAAGCCAGCATCTTACTCACTTAGCCACCGTGGCTCCCTGACATGATTCTGATACATGTATATATAAATGAATGAACTGGGGTTTAACATCCCACTTTTCTCCCCCAAACCAGCTAATCAAGATATTGGTTAAACATATTGATTAATCTAACACCCAGTAGCGGATCCAAGTAGGGGACCCTCGGGACACTTCTCACCCTCACACATACGCCACGCTTAAAGAATATATGTTTGTTGGGGTGATGTAGCTGTTGAAATGTTGATGCGTGCCACCTATCACCACTGACACCCCAATTTTTCCAAATTTTCTCGGAGGACCCCAGGGTTGCCCCCGCCCCCTTACCCTTTTTTCATACGTTCTTCACTGCTAACACCTAATAGTTCCAATTCCCTGGGGTAATGATAAAGACTCTAAAAGAAAATATCTCCATAAAAAATAAAAAATTCTTACCCAGTACAGAATCAGTTACACAGCCTATCATACATACAACAAATATAATTTGAAACATTTTTTCTATCTGGTCATTTCACACTGGCAATCTCATACAAACTCAACAACATTTTCTCTGCAAAAAAATACACATAAAAGAGCTGTAAAATAAAATGCTACCATGATATTGCTGCAATTTGGGGGTAGGAGAAGGTATTCATTATTTTAACGAATCATTACAAATTAAAAACCTTATTTTTAAGATGCATTAAGTAAGATTTGGATAAAGAGCTGAATTTCTTTAAGTAACTGAACAGTAACACACTAACTATTTATGGAATAATAATTACTGGTTTATTAACATGCAACGTTTCGACGATGATACTCTCATATTTATCAAGCAAATGTAACTACTTAGGGTTTGTCATCAACGCTTTGATCAGTGCTTGTTATATATAATGTCTATATTTATGGCTTCTTTTTACTGTATATAAATACTAAATGTTTTACATATATGTTATCATTTGCTTGATAAAGTCGAGAGTATCATCGTTATATAACGTTGCATGTTAATAAACAAGTAATTGTTATTCCATAAATAGTGTTAGTGTGAAAAAGTTGAATGAAAAAATGGATATATTGAACATTTTATTCAAATTACTTGTTCTGGGCCATGTTATGACTGTCTAAGGATGAAGTGTAGATTGTTTATTATTGTGTAGATTGTTTATTATTGTAGAGAGAGAGAGAGAGAGAGAGAGAGAGAGAGAGAGATGGGGTTTAACATACACCAGACATAAACTTGGTCCTTTCGGGACTAACATATGGTTCAATTTTATTTCCATAATTCTCTTGCACATAGGGGTCCTTGTCACGTACAACCGGGGAATCGAAACCACGTCAGTTGACTCAATGACAGACTATATGATACACCGCGCACGTGCTAACCATTCGGCCATCCACCCCCCTATTATCGTAGCAACATAATAAGTCACGATTATCCATTTTATCATTAAACTTTTAAATCTTGATGGTGTTTTAATCTATTTAAATCTCAGTCATCGAATGGTCTATATAGCTAGTGAGTGGATTATATGCTTGTCATGTGAATAAATGTCTAAATAATAGTTTATATAACATTTGAAGCCAAAATAAAGAACTGCAAATAAGTAGATTTAGCTCTTACATAATGCATCTTTAACAAAAAAAACACATATCGAGTAGCAAAGAGTTCATATAAATTATGGAATAAGTGCTGTTAAGTTTAATGTGAAATATAGATCCACCATTTCAATATTTGGATAAGCCCAATAGGTTCTAATGTTGAGTGTCCATAGCCTTTTTATAAGTCGATAGAATACACCATTGATGTCATACATGTAAAGCTCTCGGGCAATCGTTACAAATACAATTCTAAGCTGATAATATCATGTATCAAAATTATGCACCTCGCGTTGCTTAAAAATACTGCAATAGCTTACCAACGTATAACATGGCTCAGACTTGGGGTCGAAATAGATTCACTATGTAGAACTGTGTGTTTACAGTGTAAATTTAACACGTCTTACATATCTGGAACCGTTGAGGCAGACTTGGTCATTAATAATTTATAGGATTCCATCTAATGTGCCTGTATTTATGTGACACTGATTACTTACCTTTATGTATAGCGAGGACGGAGACCAGACGTCGTACGATGAGACTAATGCTACGAACGTAAAATTAAAACATCTCTGGTGACATTTGGTGACTTTTCTTCGCCTATTTCTATAATGGTGCCATATACAATCGATCCACATTCACCAATACATAGATTCTGGTCAGGATTCTTCAGTAAATGCGCATGTTTCTACAGACGATCGATCGCATCCATTTATTCGCTGGGGTACATAACTGTCTAAGTCGGTACCGCTTCATCATAGAAACGTCAAGGCGGGAAACCGTGAGCAGTAGCGTGATTAAGTGTGTTTCGTTGGTGAGCCTGAATGTGGGTAGCAGGGAGGAGGGCGGGGACGGCATTTGTGGCAAGGTTTGGGGCCTAAGTTGTGAGATTTGTCACCGTAAGAGTTCCACAAGATGTTGGATTTTTTTTTTTTAAAAAAAGGCATACGTTCGAGATTGAGCAAGGGGGAGGGGAGAGGGTACGTCTACCGAAATATAGGAAAAAGAATTTTCGGCCGGATAGAAGGCGCCCAACTCATTTTGTTTTTCTTTGACAGTTTAATTATGTATGCTGTTGTATATTTATGCGGGTGGTGGTGGGGTGGGCGCGGCAAACTCTAGGTACGCCACTGACCGTGAGGACTGACTTTTAACCGCTGGGGAACTTCGAAAAGCAGGGCAGTTTTTTTTTAACACAGTAATTAGTGGGGCAAATGTCCCATTGCTGACAAAAATGTCCCAATGATGAGGAACAAAAATACAAAATCAGTGGGGCAATACAGATGATGTCAAGTGAAAATCGGGGGGGTTGGACGGCCAAATGGTTAACGCATGCACGTTGTATCATAAGGTTTGTCATTGGATCAAACGGCATGGTTTCGATTCCCCGGTTACAGTGACACGGAGGAAGGTTTTCTTCGGGTCCTCCGGTTTCCTCCCACTGCTTAAGACCCCTACGCGCAAGCGAATTATTGAAATGAAATTGAACCATGTGTTGGTCCCACAATGACCTACTTTGAGTCGAGTGAACGTTAAATCCCATCTCTCTCTCTTAAGTGAAAATCACACGTTATTATAGTAGCCTACTATGTGAAAGTAGTATATTAAGGTAACGTTACAATTCTAACACAAAACACATACCCAAACTCCACTATGGTTTGCAGAAATTCATCAAAAGTTTTCCCGTTTTTAGAAATCCAAAAGCTTCCCGTTTTTAGAAATCCAAAAGCTTCCCGCGCCCGGGGGGGGGGGGGGGGCAATCTCCCTGGGACTCCCTCAGTGCTTCAGATTCCTTAAAGAATGCCCTGCCGAGATATTTATTACCACGAATGGCATAATAATAATCTCGATTAAAATATTATATATTTTTAAATATTATACATAAAACACAATACATAATACAATGTTGTTATTAATGTAAAATCAGTCCCGATTTTTTTTATTTATTATTTTTTTTCATGATAACAATGTTTTTTTGTACTATCTGCCGATGTGACATATGTTTATCTGTACTGTACTTTTCATTTCTGTTGTGCAATGATCATAATATCTTACATTTTATTGTTTATGTGTTTATGCTATAAAATATATTAATTTTTAATGAAGGTTGATCTTATTTTGTCGTCGCTGTCACGCTGTGTACTTGTCGGTGGTTGTCGCCGGTCATCGGCGGTCGTCAGCGGTGAAAAGTCAAATCTCAGAAAAACCTCCATTTCCAACTTAAAATCGAACATTTATATTTGATTGTGTTAAATTAAAGTCGTTCAGTTGTTATTTTGGGAATTCTTTTTTTAAATAAAAAGATACTATAATATTTTTCCACTTATTTTTAAATTTTTTTATATTGCATCCAGATGTGCAATTTTGCAGCCTCAATATTCTGACATTACGGGGAGTGGGGAACGGTAATAAAATGGGAAAAAGTTTTACGGACATTGGGCCGTTGATTAAAATATATTATAGCAACATTACTTTTAGATAGGCCAACATTGTTTTATTTATGAGATACTAAATGAAAATGAAATGGGGTTTGACGTCCTACTTACCAGGGCACCGAAAAGCTAATGGAAACCGTTACATTATGTGGTTTACAATCCCTTTCCCAGATATACACTTACTGTAACACGTGGTCAGACGGTCGTATACCAATTAAGGTATAACAAACTGATGTTAACTAGTTCTCAGTATGGCACATGTACTGAATAGATCAGAGTAACACTTTTTATTTAAAGGGAAATTACACATAATTACGACGATGGCCTGATCAACTGACAGCTTAACTTCCTTTACTTTAAAAAAAAAGCCCCCCCCCCCTCCGATCATCCACCAGGCATAACATTTTTCGTCAAAATAATAATAGTTTAATAAGTATTTAACAGTGACGGGATGCAAAATAATTTTGCTGTGAAACTAAAGTGGGGGTCAAAAACTGAGAAAATATTCTTATATGATCTAATCATTCATTATACTTATATTATAGTAGGCTGAGGGAAAATATCTTCATTTTTGTCTATAAAGTGGGGTAAAAACTGGCAGGCCATCAACTCTCATGAAGATTAGTCTTGGACGCACTGCACTCACAAAATTTGAATTTTGCACATTTTCCAGTTTCATAAAATATATGGCTTATATTCATTTTCTATTAATGATAAAATAATATCTAGATCAAAAAATGCATTATAAATGTCATGTTTCCCTGTCAACCGCCTGCACACATATGGCTAAATTGTCTCTTTAGAGCGGGAACAGTGTGTGTTATTTTGAGATTCTCCCTGTCACAGCTCGTCGTTGTAAATAATTGAGTAAATACGACCATGTTCAGAAAATTGGTGACAGGTTCGCTGACCAGCCTGATGTATGGAGCATCTAAATAAACTTCTGTGCATTTAAATGTTAAGAATTCTGTGTACCTTCTGGTAAGTTGACTTTTTAAACTTTCTTTTAAGGTAAGTGGTTTGACCGTACAGGTGGCAAAGGTGTGCTATAGCGACGTGTTTTGTCGCAGCTGCATACAAAAGTTGAATGTTAGTTTAGAGTTTGGGGTACACGCCAATGTCACATAAAAGAAGTAGTTCAGGGAATTTCTATCACTTCTGCTAGTTTTATCCAGACGCCAACGCATTTTTTATTGTGAGTGTACAAATGACAAGTTGATTTTTAACTTTTATTTTTAGGCTTTAACCCTTAAACATTGGGGTTCGTCATAGATACGCGTGCGATGATCGACTGGATTTATGATTTAGAATACACATTCGACAGATCCCGTTACATTTTATGTATGGGTGTGTGTGTTTACAAAAATTCATATTGTTCCTTGTAAAACGGTGCATGAATAGTCCTGTTTCAAGCTTATAAAACATTGGCGTATTCAAACAATATATAATAACAAAAATATGTAGGCAAATAATATGGTCAACCCTATGACCGACCTATTATATAATATTACTTAAAATAAATTGATACAGCCTCCAGCATGGGAGCTATTTCAAATACGGGTAGGCCAAAGATGGTATCATGTAACGAATAGAGCAAGACCAAATGTTTATTTTAGGGTTTATAAATTAATTTTTTATGATACTATATGACACCAGTGATGGGTTCAAGTATTGTAATGGCTGCTAAATGCTAGATAACTATATAGGCATCCTCCTTTTACACCAAAACAAAATCGTTTTGAAATTAGTCTACCTTAAAGGAACAACAAATTAATGGTGTTCATGCAGGTAATAGCTATATAGGGAAATTCCCTATATGTTGAAATATGTCCCTATAGTGGTGAATCCGGTGTTCTTAGCGTGACACCTGGCATATAAAAATATACCTGTAAGAAGTTTTGTAAAATTGATACAGAAAACATAGTTTTGACGAAACAGAGAGAGAGAAATCAGGTTTAACGTCCACTCAACATAAACTAGGTCATTTTGGGACTAACACATGGTTCAATTTTATTTCAATAATTTGCTTGCACGTAGGGGTCTTTAGCAGTGGGGAGAAACCTGGAGAAAACCCACGAGGTTGGACAAATGACCCTACTCCTACAAGCGGGGAATAGAAACCACGTCACTTGACTCAATGATAGACCTTGTGATACAATGCACACACGTTAACCATTCAGCCACCCAACCCCACTTTGACGAAACAAATATTGATAGATAAACAGTTTGGAGAGTATAATATAACCATGAAAATGGTAATTCGGCAAAAGTATCAGTATGTAGCCATGAGCCATGTTATAACAAGAAAATATGCGGAAATAACTACTTAATAAAACTGATAGAATATAAAGAGATACAAAGTATACATGTATTAATTAAGTAATTAAATAAGGTTGCACTAATTAGTAATATAATAAACACTACAAGCACTTCCTCTGAGTAGAAATAGAAATTTTAATTATCAACAGTTATTTACCTAAAATATCATTCAGTTCTGCAGTGTCTATGAACATTTTGGGGGGTTGGGTGGCCGAATGGTTAGCACATGCGTGCTGTATCATACGGCCTGTCATTGAGTCAACTGGCGTGGTTTCGAATCCCCAGTAGTACGTGACAAGGAGTAGGGTCGCCTGTCCAACCTCGTGGGCTTTCTCCGGGTCCTCCGGTTTCCTCCCACTGCTAAAAGACGCCTATGCGCTAGCGAATTATTCAAATAAAATTAAACCATATGTTTGTGTCGAGTGGACAGTGGACGTTAACCCCATTTCTCTCTCTCTCTCTCTCTCTCTCTCTCTGAACATTTCAAATAAAAAGGAATTTAAGACTAAGAGACAAAAATCTTATTCCATATTATATTCCATATTATTTTGAATAAGTGAATTTTTTATTGGCCTGCTCTTCTGTCATGTTTCCTCTTTCAGTGACAAACTAGAAAAGGAGATATATAAAAAAATTATAAAAATCTACTGTACTATAAGATATAAATGTATCTAAATGTAGGACATAAATTCAGAAATGTGCTATCCTTTGAAACAGTTTCTTTATCATTGTGGCTATAAAGTATTTATATGGTAATAAAATTGGTATGAAGTTTTAAAACCCGCTGAATTCTTTATGCATGCAGATGTGTAAATAAAATAGCTCAGAAATAAATGTTTGTGTCTGTGTTCACTGCTCCCACTGATTAGTATATTAATTTGGTTATTGTATGGTCTATTATTCAGTGTTTTAACATCAATTTGTAGTTATTATATGTCTCTCAGGACACTCTAATAATAAAGGAATCATTATGGTAATGAAGTTATATCCACTCCAATATTACATCTATATAGAATTCACACACATGGGTACAAAGTATTTTGTCACTCATGACAAAGTAAACTACAAACAAACACCAATATCTTAATTGATATAGGCTGGAGAATATTTTACTCTCAAGTTGATAACATAAGGGAACTGTAAAGATATATGGCTTATACCGAGAAATTAATTCATTTTGGGGAAATTTGGCATTACAGTGGCATTACAGCATGTCTTTTATCGTCTCTCCTGTCCATACAGTAGATAGTTGTCGCCCTTGTCAATACTTTATAATTGCCCTGAATTTCAAAATGGCATTGTTTGATTAGTGATAAGAATACATTTTGAAAATTAAGATTTGTGTATCAATTATTTGCAGATTTATTGACTGTAACCACTGGCTTACAGATATGGTTTTAAAAAAAATTATTTCAAACTTGCTTGTATTGTTTGACAATTTCAAAGTTTCAGTGCTTCTCAGGAATTTATTTTCTCAAAATTTTTAACCTTAAAATGTAACATTTATAGAAAGTCCAGACAACCAAGCTTGTGTATGGACTATGGAGGATTATATGTTTTGTTGCCTGGCAACCTATATTTATGTAATTTGCATCTGAATATGCAGACACTTGTCCTGAGGCTTGAGAATAAAGCCATACCAGAAAACCAGTAGTTGAACAGTCATTAACTCAAACATCCAAAATAAATGAGCAATTTTCCAGACAATTTACAAGTACATGTATAATGGTTGAAAGGGTAAAGTGCATATACATGTATATTTAGGTAGAACTAATTTATACCACATGTATTCCTGTCTTGTGTAAAATTTGATAGATGACATTAGAATTTAAAATCTGATACAATATTTTTATAAAACATGTTGGGACAGGGTTTTTGTTTAAGGTTGTTGATCATCATTTGAGGTATTTTTAATCCCTTACAAACTACAATATAGTGAATATCTAAAATTATAAATCTGTAACGGTAAATCTCTTTGATCTTTGGGGTATATTCTATGCCCAGAATAACTTGTGGTCTGAAAGTCGGGGGGGGGGGGGGGGGGCAGCTTTAGATATATACAGGGGAATTTGGTGTTATTCTTCTGAAAGTTTTTCTTTAAACCTGTAACGTTTTATTCTTCCAGGGTAGGTTTTTCTTCCAAAAGAAAAGGTTTTTCTTATGGGAATTCTGGGATATTCTCATTTTGCATACATGTAAACATAGACGGTTTATAAGAGTCCCCGACTTCGGTTATGCTGGGGAAGAAAGTCTTTAGGCCTCGGTTTTTCTTTTTCTCGGGTTATTTTCTTCAGTCTTTCTTTCCCCAGCATAACCTCAGTCTCATGCTTTATCCTACACATAATATCAGTCCAAAACATGATTCAGTCCTGTTCAGTATTTACAAAGATATGATGAATTTAATCTTCAAACAAGATATGGTCAAAATGGCCTCAAACCGAAACAACCAAAATTCACTAGGGTCCAAACGGACAAAAATTTGGTCAGGATTTATGTAAATATATAACAGAGGATTCATAATAAATAACAAATATTGAATCAGTTGTTCTGATATTTTTATGACCAATCTAGGGCCTATTTGAGCAAATGTTTAGGTGGTTTTGGTTTAAGGTCTTTTTCTTTATAACCCATATAAACAAGCCAGCTAAACGCTTTTGATATGTTTCTCTTTTTAATCCAATTGAATCTAAGTCAGGAGATTATCCATCAATTGTGTCAAGTGGATGTTAAACCCTCTCTCTCTCTCTCTCTCTCTCTATCTCTCTCTCTTTCTCTCTCTCATTGATATTTTGGTTTTGTTTTAACTAAATGTTAAAGAATCAAGTTGAATACATTTTAACATGGATTAAGCTGTGAAGAATTTGATATTCTCTGAAACAATCTGATTAAATACAGATGCTATTCCGTTTCGTTTTTTATAGTTCAAAATTTGATTTTACTTGTGTTTACTACACTAGGATCTGAAAGAGTTGTTATATAATCTGTGTTTCGGTTGAAGTGCAGGATTAGCCAATGAAACGGTCTGTTGCAGTGAGTTCTTGGCGTGCGATGCGCGGATCTGTGGGTATCCTACTAGAAACATCAAAGCTGATTGGTTAATCAAATGTCTGATGTCATAGGGTCAAAAGCCGCTTGTATGACCCATGACGCGACCCTCCTCCACAACTGGTCAGATCTTTCAGGCCATCAAAAGTATAAAAAAAAGAAACGAAATATAGATCTGTATTTTAATCAGATTGCTCTGAAAAATGTTAATGACAATTAATGGAGTTAAGTTTTATTGGTTATTATTTTGATTTTAACATTTTAGGATGACCAGATTTAAGGAATAAATGTACCCTCTATGTCCTCAACAATGGATTCCACATTTGTCAAATACCACAAAGGAAAAGGTAAGTCTCCGAATGTCAATTTATTATTTGGTGGTACATTTTATTTAGAAAGCTATAAATAGCTCTCAAGCTCTAGGTACATGTATATAAAATATCAATTGTTATAAATTTAGAATTTTTTGATATTGGTGATACACTTTTGTATGATTTTGAGGTTTTGGGGTGTTAGAAAAAACGATTATTTGAACCATCAGTCATGACTAGAGGGGTTTGATCAAGCAAAGTGATAACAATTTCATAAAACTACATAATGCATGTACATGTATGTATGTTATTTTTCAGATGAAAGAGAAGATGTACAAAAGAAAACTTTTACAAAATGGATAAATTCACAACTACAGAGGGTATTTATATGTTTTAAACCTAATAAAAAAACAAACACCACTTTTTTAAGTTTAAATTTTCATCCTTATTTATTTAGCATTCATAGCTAAATTTTGTAGTGTGTCTACTAAAGTAGAAAACAAAAGGATTTTTGTTCTCACCTTATTTGCTTGTTTAGATGAAATGAAAAACATTGATCAATTATATAAACAAGTAAAATTGTATTCTGAGGAGATATGGACATTAGTGTAAACAGACTATGGTGCAATAAATATCACAGGCCTGGTAATCTGTTCCAATTCCTTATATTACCAACTATTTTACTATACAGACTTGGTACATAATTAACACTTCATTTTAGTTCAACCATTTATTACCAGGCCCCGAGTTCACAAAGCATGTATCAAATACATCAATAAGAAACTATGTGCAAAGTTTTGTGTTTCTGGATCAAAGATATTTCTCATAAACAGTGATTGAAAGTTGAGTAAATTCTTAATTTAAGTCTGTTATGGCTTTGTGAACTCGGGGACAGCTCTAGCTGAATAAAACAAAAGGTCAACAGATTGAAACACAACTATTTATAAATTTATATTCTGTAGCCAATACATGAATTAAATATGGAAAATTTTCCGAAAAGTGTACCTATTTATCGTTATTTTTGTGGTAATCACATACATTAGAATACAATGGTATGCAACAGATTCATTTATCTGAAAGAAATTGCAAAAGCTTCCTGATCAATCTATTGTCTCGCGTCTACTCAGACAATTTCCATGCCAGTACATGAATTCTCCATAACAAATTACCAAGAATTATTTTGGTTGAAGTCGGGTTATATTAAAGGGAATGAAAGCTTATAATTTCCCTATTTCCTACCAGGACCTCATTTAACCCAATTCTGGCCAGTTTGTTTCAAAATGGATCAATGCATCCACTTCTTATCCCCCTTTTTTAAGTGATTAAGCATCCATCAAACTCGATCTATTTTCTATGTTAAGAGAAATTGAAAGATTCATAAAAGAGTCGATTATTTTGATTCAAAACGCTAAGTTAAAAGTTCCTGCAGAACAAGGAGTTTTACATTTTGCTTCAGCAATGGATTGTATTGAAGCATTTTTTTCTTGAAGTTATATAAAGATTTCATGAAGATCTTGAAAATATCTTCAACCAAAAACAGTCTTAATTAAGGTTTGTCCAAAGTTGAAACAAGGGTTGGAAATATGACTGCTATATCTTGTTTTCAGCAACTTTCATCAATGTTGAGATAAAAATGGACGATATATTTAGCTTCTATGCAAAATACCATTAATGTTCAGTAAAGTAAAAAGCTATTGAAAGTTATTGAAACAAACAAAATAACACTCAATATCAACCAAAACCCACAAATTTTGCATTTGAGCATTTGGGGAAAAAATGCAATTGTGAATACACATATACTCGAAACTCTTCTTGTACGTGTTTTATTCCGTACCTCAAATAGGGAACCTGCTTAATGCATCTTGTTAGAAGTGGTCACATTTTAAGGCTGACCTGTTCTTCATTTATGTGGCTGATTTTAATTAAACCTATTTTCACAAGTGGGAATGGTTCAGTTGATATCATCTGGTTTATATTGTTATTGTGATGTCAAAGGTCTGTTTAGATATTCTTGGCCATCAAAGCTGGATTGTTTGAGTTTAAAGAACATAGACAAAAACAGTATAGATGACTTGTATAAAATGTCTAAAATTATATATATGTTACCAACTCTGGCCAAAAGAAGCAGTTATGACATTAATTTACCAATTTGTCTTCAAAAATGACTCTATTTTTATATCCCAAACACTCTAAAGGAAAATACACAAAATTTGCTGTATTTGGTTGCTATTTAGTACTGCCTTGTTTCAATCATTTTTAATCACTTTTTTTAAAAATTAATGTTAATTTGGCATATAGCATCTTAAAACTAAAAAAACACAGCCATTTTTAAAGATAAATGCATTACTCAGTCATTTAAAGATTATGGAAGGAAGACAATAATGAAATTTATTTATAACTACCGATAGCCAGAGTTGGTCACCATGCAGGTTTTTTTTCCAATTTAATTTTTGTCAAAGTTTTAAATGATTGTATTTTTTGTTCCAGGGTGGTCGTCCCCTTATTTCTGATTTATTTAATGATCTTAAAGATGGAAATGCTTTATTATCGCTATTAGAGGTTTTAAGTGCTTTAAGCATTGTAAGTACCGGTATATGTATTTAAATTTATGTTTAGTATCAGTGGTCAAAGCCTTGGCTAATAACCAAAAATGGTTATATGCATCTCAAAAAAGGGGAAAAAAATCTGTAAATTCAAAGCCAACTAGCTGGGCCAGGGCCGTAACTAGCTCAGAGCAACGAGGGAGGCGGGAAGTGTTCTTAGGAGTGCTGTAAAATTGACGGACAATGTATTTGTATGGTCGACAATTTTTTCACAGGCGGGGGATGGGGGGGGGGGGCCTTAGTTACGGGCCTGAGCTGGGCTGGCAACTGGCAAGGATTGTTTTAAAAGCTATTTTCATTGTTTTAGATATAGTTAACATTGTGAATTGTGATACCATGTAAATGCTGTGGCTAATATCATTGCATGCATTATTCCATTTCTTGTTTACCATACCAGATATCAGACATATAATTCATTGTCATTTCAGGGCCGGGAGAAAGGTCGATTACGAGTCCATCATATAAATAATGTCAATCGTGTACTGTATATAATGGAGCATAATTATAATGTAAGATTTTCTACTGTGAAGTTTGAAATGTCAAATGGTTGGGAAATTAACCTTTTCCAGCAGTTCTCAATTGATTTAAATCGTGTCATCAGAAACACTAACAAGTGCAGTTGCACAGAGTGTATAATCAATCAAGTTGAACAATATAGCTCACAGTTTTAGCTGAGAGTGCATAATGAAATAAAACTAAAGGGGTACTTTATAGTAGGATAATAAATAAAACTCAACAAACATTTATAGGAAAAACAATCACAGCTTGTTATACATATAGCACAAAGTGTATTCTTTTATCGTTTTCAGTGGGGTGGATGGCGGGATGGTTAGCATGTGCGTGTTGTATCAAAAGGTCTGTCATTGAGTCAACTGGCATGGTTTCGATTCCCCGGTTGTATGCGACAAGAAGTAGAGTCCTCTGATTTCCTCCCACTGCTTAAGACCCCTACGTGCAAACCAATATTGAAATAAAATTGAACCATATGTTAGTCCCGAAATTACCTAGTTTGTGTCAAGTAGTCCTGCCGATGTCAAAGAAGTAAAACTGTTTCATATCACGATATTGATGTGGATCAAAATAAGGACCAAGACTATTTAAGGGTGTTTGTGTATCTATGGATAATGTGTGAATGGATAATTAAGAGTAACAGGTTACTTACTAAAGCGACAAAAAAACTTATAAAAAAGAATCACGATATATCGATTCACTGTCTTACGATTCAATATGCAAATTGTGAGAAAATGAATCGCGATGTATAGTGCGAGCACTAGAGGGAAAGTTCTAAATGTATAACAGCAAGTGATTGCTTTCCATATAAATGTTGTGTTTTGTTGAGCTCAATTACTAAAAGCCACTCAAGGATTACAATGAAATATACCTTGAATATAATATAATCTCAATAAATTGATAAAAAGTCTTCATGTCTCTTAAACTTGTATATTTCTAAAGATGGCATCACTTTGAGACAGATATGTATTTCCTTAATGAAAAATTTAGGGGTTATACGTAATAAACCTTTTATATTTCAATTGTATCGAAACCTCTGTGTACAAGTATTCAAATGAATTACCAATATACGTAATAAACCTTTTATATTTCAATTGTATCGAAACCTCTGTGTACAAGTATTCAAATGAATTACCGATTGAGAAGCTGTAGTTTGACAGATGAGGTACTTGCCTGATCAAATTGATAGTGGGTCTTTACTTGCATGCATTTATTTTACTCAATTGAAATTGGCCATAAGCCATAAATTAAAACTCGCCTGATATTAACACTGTCTCGATGTGCAAGCAACAAATGTAAAAAGAGATAATTTCATATTTTTTACGTATTTATTCAAAACCGGTTAATTGTGATTTTTAGCAGAATATATAATATATATTATTTCAGATAAAACTGGGTAATTGTGATTTTTATCAGAATATAAAATATAAATATATATAATTTCAGATAAAACTGGTAAATATAAGTAGTAGTGATATTGTTGATGGTAATCCTAAACTAATATTGGCTTTAGTATGGCTAATAATACTTCATTGGCAGGTACTATAGACTTTTTTACATTTTGTATTCTTAACCAGAAGTATTGTACATGTGTGATATGTACAAATGAGAGGTTAATTACTCTCTGTATAAACTTACATATATATATTAATTATAAAATAGATTTTTGAACACAAATAATTAATAGTTTTATGAAAAACCATTCAAAAGTTTAATTTACTGGGAAATAAATCTTTTGTTTTGATTTTAATTCAGGTGAAAGACATCATGAAAAATGTCATGAAAGATTTGAAACAAACAAATTTAGAAAAGACATTACTTAGTTGGTGCAAACAGTCAACAGCTGGGTATGTACATATTAAAATATTTAATTTTAGGATGCAGGTAATTTGATTGTAGGAGGGAAATCTACTTAAAACAAAAAAACCAAATCACCATTTGTCTGAAAGAAAAATAAGTCAAATATTTTACTCACAGCTTATTTTTACCCGATTTATGAATATTAAAGATCCGATTTTATGAAAGATCAAGTTTATGAAAATAAAAGATTATATTTATGAAAATGAAAGATTAAATTCGTGAAAAATAAAGATCAAATTTATTAAACTGAATGTCAATTTTATAAAAATTGATAGTCAAGTTTATAAAAATTGATAGTCAAGTTTATAAAAATTGATAGTCAAGTTTATAAAAATTGATAGTCAAGTTATATGTCACATTTGTGATAATTAAATATCAAATTATAAAAAATTAAGAGCAGTAATTATTTACAGGTATGAGCGAGTGAATGTTGTCAATTTTGGTTCTAGTTGGCAAGATGGTTTAGCTTTTAATGCGTTGATACATCACTACAGGTAAGATACTATATATATATTGATGTGTTATATAACACAATCTGATTAAAATACAGATCTATATTTCGTTTCGTTTTTTTTTTATACTTTCGATGGCCTACACTACATGAAGATCTGACAAGTTATAGTTGGAGTTCAGGTCAGAGGTCATACGAGCGGCTTTTGACCCTATGACATCAGAAATTTGATTAACCAATTAGCATTGATGTTACTAGTGGATTACCCACAGTTCCGTGCAAAACACGCCTAACGTCAGAGGTCATACGAGCAGCTTTTGACCCTATGACCTCAGACATTTGATTAACCAATTAGCATTGATGTTACTAGTGGATTACCCACAGTTCCGTGCATAACACGCCTAAAACTCGCCGTAACAGACTGTTTTATTGGCTAATGCCTCACATCATTCAGAACATGTTAATGATAACATCTCTTCCAGATCCTAGTGTAGTAAAGACAAGTAAAACGAAATTTTGAACTATAAAAAGGAAATGAAACAGGATCTGTGTTTTAATCAGATTGTATATAATATTATTATATTCTGAAAGTACCATGGGTTCTGTGTATTTTGGACTTTAAAGGACAATATTGGTGCCAGTCATTATCACATATGTGATAGAACTGGTTAAACACGTTCCAAATATTATTTTATCACACTCACAGAGATCATTGCTACAATGGAATTATTAGTGAGCAGAAATTCTCCCATGTATCTGTTATAACCCGTCACGTCAGTCAGTTAAATAGAGGGATAACTTGTGTTTTCCTTTTGCGTTCATCACTTCAGGCTATTATTGAAACATTGATTACTCATCTATTGTAGCAATGATCTCTGTGAGTGTGATAAAATAATATTTGGAATGTGTTTAACCAGTTCTATCACATATGTGATAATGACTGGCACCAATATTGTCCTTTAAAAGAAAATCAGATGGTTAAAAATTACTTTGTTTCTGAAGACTAAATTATCTCCCTTGAATTGAAATGGGTAACCATTTAGACAAATGGCCACATCAGCCTAATATTTAAGAAATAAATCATATTGAACACTACTTATATATCATCTTGAATGGGAGATTAGATATATTTATGTAATTTTTCTACAATTTAAAAATTGAGATGCATTATGCTCTGATATGAATTAATAAGACAATTAATTTATTAAATTAAGGGGAGAGAACAATATAAAACTAAAGATTATCTGCACACATCTATGTATGAGATTCTATTAACATTTCTATTAGCTACAAGTTTTTTTTTCAACTTGAAAAGGACAAAACATACCTGTTCTTATTTGTACATGTACGCTTTTGTATATTTGTATTTATAGACCAGATTTATTTAACTTCAAATCGTTATTGAGTAAAAGTGCTGAAGAATGTTTAGAACATGCGTTTGATATTGCTGAGAGATATTTATCAATATATCGACTTTTAGATCCTGAAGGTAAGTAATGTTGTTGAGTTTTTTTTTTTACAATAATCGTGCTGCAATAAATTTTAAGTTCAGAAGTCCAATCAATCTGACTCATAAAATATGTACACTGGAATTTTGCCAATGATGGGTAATTTAAATTTCATATATTTTAGTTGTATGTCAAAAGCATGTAAATAATAATTAACTCTTGAGAAGTTTCACCGTGTGAAGGGTAGATACATGGTTCTGTAATAATTAATTAATTTCGGATATCACGCACAAATATGAACTTGTTAGTTTTACTTAGGGTTCACTAGACATCATCATTACTGAAATTTGGTTTTAATTACTATATAAAACTGTTTACAATTAAAAAGTAATTAATTAATTTGTTTTTCCAGATATGATAGGATTGAGTCCAGATAAGAAATCATTGATGACATATTTAATGTGTTTTTTCCAAGTTTTACCTCATTCACAAGTTGCTATTAAAGAAACTAAGATAACCAAAGAAAAACAAATTCATGTAAAGGTAAAAATTTCAATTTCTAATTCGAGTACCAATTCTTGGTTAAAATCACAACTAATTGACTATGTGGAAATATATTCCCACAGACAGACAGATGGGGGGCACTGACATATGGAGTTTAATTCCCAGTAATATTTAACAGTGGAAGTATGTAAAGTAGTCTGTTTCATGTAAATTACTCAGAAATGTATGTGAATGGATTGAAATAGTTTAAGGAGAGAAGCTACCTGAAAAAAAATTGAATTTTAAAGATAAGTGGTTAGGAAATGTAATAAACAAAGAAAAAATAACATTAAAATAAAAAGTTGTTGCCAGAGTAACACATTTTTTTGGAAAAAGTATGAAAAACGTAGGTACACCATATCTCTGGCACTAATAAAGATAGATGTCTCATTTTTGGACCCCTTAATGAAATGTCATTTGATTTCATTACTACTTTAGGGGTTTCTGTAAATACGTACGACATCAACTACCGTCTCGTTAGAAATTTATTTTTAAATGAATTACAATTCACACACACACACACCATAAACACTCAACAATCAGCTACTAATCTGGTCTGGCTTCAAATAACCAACACATTAGTTAGATCTAACTACCACCTGTTTTCTTTTGACATATAATACAAAGGTTAACAGTGCAAAAGCTAAGTAGTTTCTGATGTTTTAATAAGAATAAGCATACCTTGCCTCATGCATGACACCATTTCTTATTGTTGCTAAATGGAGCAATATATAAAATATACCACATTAACGCCTTATATGTACTAGTTCACAAATTTATGTCACTTTATTTTGGACAATTCAGAGTCTGCACTTCAAAACACAGAAAGAGCAAACAGCACTAAATACAGCTGAAACAATACAAATACAATGACATAATTATATTGATAATTATATTGATAAATACTTAGTCTACTAATTGTTCAACCAATGTTAATAAAGACAGATAGCCACACAAAGCATGGAAATATGCCCATCTGTACAGCAGCTATGTCTCCCAAAAAAGATAGCCTTAGCAGTTCATCCGTTGACCAGAAAAGCAGCCTTTTGCCTTCAAGAAATATGAACATGTATGTCCTAGAATGCTGAAAATCAACAGGGGGAATCCTTTCCAATCCTAATGCTTCACACCTAATTTGAAAATCAATAGGTCTCATCCTCTCCAATCCTAATGTTTCACTCCAAACTTGATAAAAATCCAATGCTGAAAATTGATAGGGTTCATGCTCTTCTAACCCTAATGCTTCATACCAAATTCGAAAAACTCTATTAAAAAGATAGATCATGTCCTCTATTTACCCCAACACTTCACACCAAATTTGCTAAAAATTTGTTGTATCCTCCATTGTGTTAACCAAGTTTCTGGAAAAGGGAGAGGTTGTGAGGTTGTACTGGAAAGCTGAATATCAATGGGGTTTGTATTCCCATGTACCAATGCTTCACACCAAATTTGAAAAAAAAAATGTGTAACAAACTGTAGCCTCTGTTACATTAACAATGTTTTGGGGAAAAAGAGGTCCTTCATCCAAAATGAAAAGTCACTCTCATGGCTCAATGCTTCCACCTAATTTGAAAAAAAACTGTTAAAAACTGTTTGCTTTTTGGCTTTAATAAAGTTTTCAGAAAAGAAGGGGGGAGGGGTGTAATTCTGGAACTAAAGATCGTAAAGTGCTGAATATTAATATTGTTCAATCCTTATTTGACCGCAATGCTTCACACTAAATTAACGAACGAATTATTGATGCACCAATGGACCGATGTGACAACATGATACACACACTGAAATGTGGACAAATAAAAATTCAATCTTAAGAACTAGAACTTTGTTTAAATGAAATGATAAAATTGTAACATGTACTATTCAAGAATATTGTTTTGTATGGGCATGTGTTCTGTACTTTTTTGTACCTTGTAAGGTGTCAAAGGATGTGTGATGTATATGTAGATAAATTCCAAATATAAGTTTTCTTGCTTCTCGATGAAATAAAATATGTTATTCACTCTAAAACGACAAATATCCTCTATATATTGGCTATTTGATAATCTAGTCTATTGTCTGATATCCAGATAGACCTGAATGTAATGTCGATAAATGAGAGATATGTTACAACAGAGACAAATCTTCAGTCATTTAATTTAATTTGAGTAATAAATCTATTGAGGTTTGTGAAAGTGTCTACTCTTGGGTTTTGTCATTCATTATAGTGGCTGACAATGCTTTACTTGAAATTGAAAAGGGGAAATTCGAAGTGAATGGATGGTAATATGGCAACTCTTACTCCATGTCTTAAACAAAGAATAAACATCTTGTATATTCACTTACAAAATGAGTATGGGAAAGAGTCAAAGTGGTCAGTTGAATCAATAAATCAGGTTTTAAATAAGGCAATTTTTATTTCCGTACATTATTCTTATATATTCATATGTCCTTTAACTGTTTCATAATTCGGGGGGTTGGATGGCCGAAAGGTTAGCATGTGCACACTGTATCATAAGGTCTGTTATTGAGTCAACTGACAGGGTTTCGATTCCCCGGTTGTACGTGACAAGGAGTACGGTCACCTGTCCTCCCACTGCTAAAGACCCCTACGCGCATGTGGATTATTTAAATAAAAATTGAACCATGTGTTAGTCCCGAAATGACCTAGTTTGTGTCAAGTGGACGTTAAACCCCATCTCTCTCTCTGCTTTATAATTCTCCTTCTTCCCATTTCCCCATAGAGGTGGCTATATCATTTATTACCTAGATACCTTGTCTTGCATCCCTCGCCCCATAAAACCCCTCCAATATTTGCCATGATAGGGTCATTTGCCCTTCTGATGGATAGGTTTTAGTGACTTTTTTTTTTAAAAAGGGGCACTGTCCCTCTGCACTAGGCCCTCTGGATCCAACCTTCAATTTATGAAGAGATTTTATTGTGACATGGACAACAAGGTTGGTGATGGAATTTTATCCATTGATTGACAAACTGTATTTAAATTTGTTCTTCATTAATAAGGGAGTAAAGGTGACCCCTCCCCCTTCAATCGACTTCCTTTTTAAAAAAACAAACATTACTTTGAATATGTTATTTTATAAAATTGAGAAAGATAATCTTATTTCAGGATCTAACTGGGTTTTTTTTTTTAAACGAAAGGGATTTGTCTTTCATTTTAGTTCACTTTTTTATTTGCAATAGCCCCCTCCCTCAAGGTCTAAATCCAGACCTGTGTAGACCAGGTTATGATGTTATGGCATGCTTTTGTCAGGTAATTCTGTTGTAGGTTGGTTCCCAGTCCCACCTTCTGCTTAATATTTTATTTATGCCATTTTGGAAGAAACCAATAAGGAATTTTACACTAATATTATAGTGTGATATTGGAAGGATGTAATTGGTGACCTGTCAACACATTAGGTATATAATTGTCTAACCATTAACCTCCTACATGTGCTCATGTTGATAGATAGCCCAGAAATGTAGCAGCCATCTTTTACTCAACACACAAATTCCAACCTCACTATAGTATAATTAAAGCAAACTGCCTGAGCTGACCTAAATAGAGTATCTGTGTAGAGAGAGAGAGAGACTGACAGTATATTGAGAGATGTGTATACCATAAGGTCTTTGAGCTAAGTAAGAACTTTGGATATTCCCAGATGCTATTACATACAGGTCAGTACAACCAGACATATATAGTACAATTACTGGTTAGTTGATGAGATTATCTTGTAATATTAGATAATATGATCAATGTTAGCTTTCGTTTTTAAGATCAATAGCTAGCTAGAGAGTATTGGTATGCTTTAAAGCCAGCTATTAGAAGACTGTATGGAAGCAGCGTGCCTGTTAATTACATGTACCTGTGGAATAAGTTATCTAGGTACATTATGATGTTTATGATGTTTGATAATTTCTATATTGGAATATATAGCTTTTCATTCATAAATAATGTCACCTAAGAATAAGTGTGAACTTACAGGTCTTGATATTTATTATTTTATTTCAAGTAAAGCCTTTGAAATTTGTCATGGCAAACATTTAAATCAGTAGAAAGTTGTTTAAGTTATTTACTTATAGGCTTACAAATTAATCAAGACACAATTTTATTTGACTGTTAACATAATCAAGACATAAGGCAACCATACTTATGTAGAGAAATATGTTTTCTATTGACAAAAGAAATAAAAAAGGTAGGCTACAAGATCTTGGATTACATCATGTAAACAATGTATATTATAAGGGTATTTGAGGCTTTTACGACTTTATTATGTGTTGTAACTGTTTTCTCTGTCCAAAATGGCGTTTTACTAATTAGATTTTGGTTCGGTGTGCTGGCATATTTAGCTCAACAATTTACATACTTAAGATAGATAAACAGATGTACGGTATAGAACGTGGTAGGAAGAGAAGTCTGGTTTTTAACTTAGTCTGTATATTATTATATATATAGGTATCTTATTTTGTAGGTTATAGGAATATAGGTAATCACAATAACATTGTGGTGCTAGCGGGAGTGTATATATTAGACAGTAATTACTTAAAGACTGTTTAAGTCTCTGCCTCTTTGCCCATATTATCCTTTTAGTTGTGTGTGTATTCTCAGATAAAATACACACCGCAATAGTTTAGACTAAAATATTTTTTTTAATATTAAAATCTGTTAAATTTCCCATAAACATAATATTTAGGAATCAATAACATGTAAAAAATACACACCACAATATTTTAGACAATGGTTTAAAATATTAAAATCTATGAAATTTCTGATTAACGTAATATTTAGGAATCATTGGGATGTAAATGACATAAGATTGTTTACAGTGGATTTGTCTGTCAACCATTTTAAATATTAAAATCTGTGAAATTTCCCATTAACATAATATTATGGAATCATCAACGTAAAAAATACACACCACAATATTTTAGACTAAAATGGTTTAAAAATATTAAAATCTATGAAATTTGCGATTAACATAATATTTAGGAATCATTAGCATGTAAATGACATAATATTATGTTT